AATTATATAATAGATATTTAACCGAAGTGGCAAAAATCTTCAGGAAAAAATTCAAAATTTCACCAAATTGCATTTCTGTACATTTGGTACCAAAAAAAAAAAGTTTTTTTTTTTTGGAAATAACTCACTCGAATCTCAATATTTAAAAAATCAAAAACATACTTTTGTAGGTTAGATTAAGCTGAATATATCTATGCAGCTCAAATTTGCATTTTTGGGATACTGAGTGTCGTATTTCGCCATCATCGTTTGCATCCAAATTGGGTTAGTCTGTCGCGTCACACTATGTCGAGTTTATACTTTCCTTACCTTATCAAGACTCAAGGATGTCGTCCAGAATTAGCAAATATTGATTACGTCATTACTTTGCCTCCTCGCGTCGCGAAACTCCTTGGCTCCTTGAATCTTGGAACACGCCACCATTTACTTCTGCTCGCCTCTGTTTAACTTTATTTTATTTATTCAACGCTTAGAGCTAGCACAGAGTGACCGAATAGATGCTTGTACTCGCCGGTCTACTCGGAACTCTATGATGATCAGCTTCGGTCCTCAAATATTCGCTCTACTGGCTACACTTTACACTGCACGCGTCTGTGCAAGAAACGACGCGTATATGCCGTCGGAAAGGACTTTGGCGGGTTCGCTTGGATCGCATGAAGTTGACAGGAACCGGATCAGTGCTTTCAATCTGTTTCCAGAGGGTTCGCATTCCGCTACTCAGTCTAATATGCACATTCGGACTAAAAACATGCATGCCGTAAATCCAGAATCCAAGGCGGAATTGCTCTCACTATCAAACTCTCTTGGTCTGTATCTTAACATCCCGCATTATAGCGAGCGTACGTCTGACGCCGAGCAGAAATGCTTGAAGACGGCGGTAATCCGTACTGTTCAGATCGCGTCTCAACACTACTGCAACGTTGTACCAAAGATGCTCTCGCCACAGAAGACCGGGATGAAGGTCTGTGTTTCCTCTTCTCGCGCGAAGAACTGGCATGACTTAATGTGAACCTTTATAGCGGCAATGCTCCTGACACTTTGTGATCGTGCACGAGATTATCCGCCTCCTATGGAATGCGAGACGTTTGGCACGGATGCAGAAGGAGCAGACAAGGCATCTGTTAGGCGTTGTATAATGTGAGTTGAAGCGCTTTTCACCGTGCTGATAATCCTGTTAAATTCATACTGTATGCATATATAGTGCTTTGGATCAGCATCAGAACTTCCAACGGGCCTTCGATGTGTATAGGATTCTTGTCATTCGTACGTGTATCAACTCACAGGCTCTTATTCCTGATTCACCGGAGACCTCTCGCAGCGGAAAAATGCAAGACTTTGAATGGAATCTTCAACGTTGGTATGTAATTTATATGAATTCCTTGGTCATCCTGTAGATCTGGCTTGATTTGAAGATCCTTCACGAGAAATATACCGTAATATGACTCGCGATCTTATCGGTTTCCTCCAATTCTTCGCAAGGAAAGAATCTGAGACAGAAAACCATCTCGCGCAATGGGATGATCGCCTAAATGTTAGGAGCGTCTATACATCTGTAGCGGCTGATTAAACACTCACCTCACCTATATCAGGCGTTGCAAAACATATACTCAGATTTGAATACTGTCAAGTCTTCACTAGTGGGATATGGCGATAATTTCGCTGATTACTTAAATAGAATACTGCAGGTGCGTACTGCAGCTTGGAAATGATTTACTATCGACGTAGTGTTTATGAAACTGCCTCAGACGTTAAATGCGACCTTCGAGGACATTGCCATTGCAACGCAAAGGACGAACGAAGAAACGTCTCTAAAAGTAAGCGACTCGTGTGCTATACTAGTCCTCTTTCTTTGCTGACTCTTGGAAGTTACGGGGTGAGATTAGTCAAATTGCAGAGGAGGTCAGATATCCAGTTCCTTCAACATAACAGCAGATTCTAAAACACCACTAGCATGCGGCCACGCTCGCGTCAGCCGTTATACACCTAGAGCAATCGTTATCGACAGAACTTGACGTTGTCTTCAATGCCGCGCAGGAAAGGCAGAATCATTTAGATTTAGCAGCGGTAGGTTTACAACTTTCGGATGATCGAATCTCCCAATCATCATTGGATTTATGGCAGGCATTTACGATCGAGCAGCTAATGGGCGCCGTGAATGATTTATCCGTAGCGAGACAGGTTTCGCTTCATGCATTATTGATGTGAACGTCATTTGGCTCATTGTCATGACATTGCAGGAGTTTGAAGCTCTGGGTATCTTTGTCAAAGAAGCGACAGCGAAAGCATATAGTCAAGCCATGCTCTTAGACGTGAGCTATAACGATCTGTTCGCCATATGTTTCATACTAATTGCCCTTCCTTTTCGATTTTCATGGTATTCACTTCCCGTTGACAGAACAAGCACTACGAGTTGTCTGAATCTATTTCTGACCTCGGAACTGAAATTAGAGGACTGGCAAACACGACCCGTAGACTAAATCAATCGCTGACTGATATCAAAGACGAAGCAGCAGAACATTACTACTTCGCTGACCGTCCAGCGGATGTCCCTTGGCTGAAAGTCGTCGGCGCCGCGAAAGCTGTCCTACACTGGATGGGACTTTCGCCGTTCTGGGCGTTATCATTACTTATGCTATCTCTGCCGAGATTCCTTGTTGAACAGACTATATGGGCCCTATTTTGGATCTTCTCTGTTCTTATCTCATATGCTAAGGTGAGGGAGCAGGGACTACTTTCATATCGCAATTGGACCGCTCGGTGAACGAGAGACTAATAATACTGCAGAAAGTGATTCTTAGTCATCGAACAGGGTCGAACTGCGATGATACCGAGAAGGTTGCAGGCGATCGAGTGAACTTGTGAGTTTCATAAAATAATTTGAAGGATTCCACCATGCAGATGATTGCGTGTCGAAGTCTAATGTGGCACTGGCCTAGAAATTACCGCACGCATCCATATTACCAAACCCAAGGCAAAGTACATCCTCAAGAACTTTGTGGTCCTGATAGCCAGCTTTCTCTGCTACCATGCACAAATACTGATTCAACGGAACGTAATGACCTTGCCGATAAAGGGTTTACCAAGGTCCTTGAGGAATGGGCTACACTACGATCTCGGATCCGTGTTACTAGTGGCTCTCGCTTACCTTCGAGACTGTATGCGGGCTCAGAACCAACAGGTCGAACCTTTCCACGGACTAGAGCGCAGCTGTGATAGTCTACTGTACTTGCTGATAGGCTCAAGACAGACAATATCTTGCCGCTGATTTTCTTACAACTTGACAACATCATTGGAATGCTGGTTCCATTGGAATTCCATTAGAACTCGTGGATTATGGCTCTCCCACCCTAACTTATTCTATTCCGACTTTCCCAACTGCTTCCTACTTTCTTCGCAAGTGTATATCACGCCAATTTCATCCTGGACTAGACATGCATACATTGCATCGATTCCTTTATACTTATTCAACTCGTCGCTTTCTATGAACTGCTCTCGGATCTGGTTCTCATTCTCTTCTATTCAAGGCATTAATATCATCTCTTACCTCGCTTCATCTGCGCAATTTCATGAATTCTCGCAATATCGTTATGATGGTTCCTCAATTGCTTCCAATGGACACGCTTTTAAATATCTAGCATATGATGAATATTCACGACATATATTGCAATGCTGGTTAAGTATCGGGCATAATAAAGTTCGACACCTTCCATGTGCTGTCTCTATATACATAGGAAATCTGTGGGACCTCAAACTCAGACATGTTAAGTCATGTCATTACAAACCAGACTTCCTGTCCAACATATCCAGAAGTGCAATAATGTCACCTCACGACTGGCTCTTCTCTTCCTTAGCCTTGAACTCAGTTAAGATGGCGAGCTCCGACTCCGTTGGTCCACACAATGAAGTCTGCGTACTCGGATATCGCTGACCGGCAGAAGTATCGATAAGTTCGCGGAAACGTGAGACCTCTTCGTCACCGCTGTATCACCACATCACCACATCACCAAAAGTGTGGATGAGTTGTGAAAACGAACAAATCAGTTTTATGACTTGTCTGCAGGAAGACAAGGAAGAAAAATGCTGGCGTAGCGAAGGAGATATTTCGAAAGGAGTATGGAGTATGAATGGTAGAAGGGGCAAACTCACCGGATGAGGCCCTTCTCCATTTGCCGAGCAGTGAGCTCACGTAAATAAGGTAGCATGCGATCTTGATAAAGAGGTGCGAGCTTGTACTGTTATGTAAATTGAAAATCCAGTTAAAACAATGAAGAGGTCCTAGGAAAACATTAAGGGGAGGTCGTGATTTCTAACTTACGTCCATAAGAGTCCTGTCACCCTCCTCGTGTATCTTTGCGAGCAAGGCAGGGACGAGCGGACTATCTGCGAAGTCTTCCAACCGCTTCATGATTGGATGCCTGTCATGTCAAAATCAGGATCGTCAGCGAGGTCACTTCAAAAGTTCACGGTAAATGCGGAATATATAATAGTTAGAGAAGGATGATTGTCTAGAATAGATCCGTGGAAAATGGATAGATAGAGGCTTACACGCCAAAAATTATGCCTTTCGTGCGTGGCAGCTTCCGGAAGGTCTGGTGATCGACACGGAAGAACAAGTCCTTTGGATGTAATTTGTCTGGAAGTTTCGCATCGCCACCTTCAAGCGTTGCGATATTGTCTGTTCTCGGTTTGAAAAACAACGTCGTGAGCCACAGGCCAGCAACTATAAATCACTGTTATAGCTCACGGAAGAATAAGTCCCGATCATCAACGATCTCCCAACTTGTCCTTTCAAACGGCTCGTTCGGTGCGAAGCGCTTGAGTGTTCGCTCGACGCTAACGAGTAGCTTCTGGTTAAAGTAAGGGACTGGCGCATGAGCATCATGAAGAGATTTATTGATCTTTTTGGAAAGGAGATAAAACCCTAGGACAGCCGCATAGTAAGAAAGAAAGAAATGGATAAATGGAGGCAGTACGAACCAGGAAATGCAACAAGGCCTCCAACAAAGTACACATGCCCATCTTCGCGTTCGCGAGCCATTAAAAAGTCATCTTCGACAAGTCTACACACAATTCTTAGTACTCTTTCTTCACCCTCTTCTGACACTCTTACCTTGAACAGATCTTTAAAGCGTCTACGCCTTCCAAACCGTTTGTCTTTTCGAACTTATCATCGGTCACCTTATTCCATATCCCGACCTGTCCACTTTTTGACGCGAGTTTCTCAAAGAGCGTGGGATAGCGCTTAGGCAGGTAGTCGACGAGGATCTCCAGCAGCTCGCCACAAGCGGCATCATTCTCTGGTAGAGAATCAATTACATGTTTTCCTTTCAATAGAAATATCAAATGAATTAGAGTCAAATGGATCCTAAACCTGAGGTAAGAGTACCCTGTTCGTTGATTACTCGTGTCTTCTGCTCGATGTACCACTTAAGGTCCTTGTCAATCTCAATCCAGTCATTGATGTGCATTGGCTGGTGTGACATAGTCTGTATCCACATTGGTGTATATTGTTAGTCATGCAAGATTGAGAGAGTGCCGATACGTACTTGATAATATGGCCATCGTACTGTCTTATTTACGTACAAATGATTTCGTGTAGTCGCTGTTTCCTGTTCAGATACATGAGCGGAGCCAGATACATTGTAGATGGAAAAAAAGCACACTAAGTCAAAGTCATGCAGGGGATCCGGATCGGGTAATCCTCCTGTCAGAATTGTCGAGTCCTTTTTCTTCAAAGTATTAAGTCTGGTCGAAAGCAGGTATCCGCCGACGAAGATGGCACAAGCGCACAGAAAAGCATCGAGTACGACGGACGCAGGTAGGCTGAACATTATCGTCACAAGTGAAGAACACCTGCAAAGTAAGATAACAAGAGGGCAGAAGGGACGGAAGGAGTAGAAGCAACACGTTATTAACCAAGCGTCGCCGGATCCACACAGAGAATATTAGATTAGCCATGTGTCACCTAGTCAAGTGAGGTATTGCACGGTAAGCCGTTCCGAGGGTATGTCTATCGGTAATTCATCATCCAAAAGGGGTTCACGAAGGTAAGCTGGAAGTAATCTAGACAGAATTCGCAGAAATATGGGCGTGGTTCGAACTACAAGAACCTCCCGAGCCTGGATTTCTTTTCCATAAACGTAAAAGTATATGCAGATCAATTATGTAAGTACACATTTCCTTACTACATATGGAGATACCACTTGCTTCTCTGCTTCTCCAAAATTCTGGGGCGAAGATTAGAACGGAAGCATTCAATCCAAATAATCCATAGTCCCTCATACTACGATGGATACATGGGAGCCACCATAACAAGTCGGATACTACACAGGACTGGGATATTGTGAAGAAGGTCAGATGTGGTACAGATGAACGTGGCGAGGGAAAGCATTCACCAGCCAAAATCTAAGTCACAGATGGTCAGATGGAGAGTCATTGAGCAAACTTATATACGCAGTAGTCAAACGTCCTTGTTACACTCTGGAGCACATACTACGTACCAAAACATATCACAGATTACATTTCACCCAAACAAATGGAGTCAACACACAATGGCGGTGACAATAAAAGCATATGCTCTTATTGTAAATCTGCCATGTACATATATTGCCAACAACTCATAATACACAAAGTATCTATATACATGCACGATAGATACGCTTTCGTGTATACGACACTGGCACGGAAAGACAACTAGAGGCAAACCATTGTAAATGGTTCTCCTACGATCAAAGAGTACGAGAACAAACGACGTATACTTGCCAAATACGCAAGTATGTGGGAGGAAAGTGTTCACTGGATATAAGCTTGGATCAAAGAGGGAAGCAAAACGAAGAAGAAAGGAGGATAAAGGCAGAAGAAACTCAATAAAACTCGTCAGACATTAGCGTAATAAGCCCAGACAGAAACACATTACACAAAGAAATATCAAACCGAAACAGGGAGAGAACACTGGAAATTGCAAGGCACATATCAGAAACATGAACAAAGATATCAAAGCAACGAATTAAAAACAGAAAGAGAAGAAAGGAGAAACTAGATGCGGAAGAGAGTGCACCAGAGGTGTGCGAACAAGAAATCGTATGTGCAAATTGATATAAAGTTATGAGTAGACAAAGAAAGACTTTCGGTGTGACAAGAAAGAACAAAGAAACAGATCATGAATGACAGGGAGGTTGAGAAAAACGATATAAATGGTCCCGCAGCTCGTCTCGTCTCGTTTAGGCATAGGCGGGTTTTTCTTGTCGTGCTACTTCGAATTGGCGTTCGTCAAAACCTCGTACGGCATGAAGCCTCAGGCATACCTGTAGGTGAAATAAATTGACAGCTGCATTTATGATTGGATACGAATCCACTTACCATTACAAACACCGTTCAATATCTAGTTTGTACCGGTCCAAGGACGACTTTGTTCACTTCCAAGGATAAAAACCACGTCGTCTTCCTCGGTCTCTTCAGTCTCTTTTTCACCTTCCTCGGCCAAAGTCGGCTGGTAAACATCGATTCCGTCATCTTCCACTGTACTGGTAGCTGCACTAGGCAGAACAAAATTGGCCCATTGGTGATTGCTTAATCTCACATGATCGCCACGGACTTCGACCAAAGAAGAGATACTAAGTACCTCCTTTACTAAATGTCGATCTGGTGTTAACTGCCGCACACGGTTGAAGGAAGCTATCAAATCGATGGGTATCCACCCTTTTGAATCCATCTGGAATTTGTTATACACGTCAGGCTCTGGAATTCGAAATTTGATTAGCGAGGTACCCACCTGCTTCCTCAGGTAGACATCCGAAGCAAGATTCTGCACACTGAAATAGTATTCGAGTTGACCAAGTAAATATTGACTAGTTAAGTCCAGAGGAAACGATAGTGTGGTCACAGGCATCGGAACTGGAGGGGCCTGATGAGGTTGGGGCGGTATTTGAGATTGAGGATGCTGGACTTGCGCTTGAGGCGGGAATACCGGATTGAACTGTCCGTAAGGCGATGGTATGTATTGTGAAGTAACAGTCGTTGGTGAGATGAAATAGCCGTTTGGATTAGCGATATCCGGTGAAATTTGCTGGTGTTGCTGATGCATACTTGTTTGTTGCTGGAATGGACCTGTCGAGACGCTGAGCGATTGGTGATGTCTCTGGTAGTTCCCATGACCTCCTCTTCCACCAAACCCACCCCTGGGGAACCCTCTCCCAAACCCATTCTGCCCTCGTCCACGACGACCCCCGAAGCCACCTCTACCGCCTTCGTAGTAATTGGACCCATATCCACCCGTTGTCGAACTTCGTCTCATCCTGCTAGGGACAAAGCTGCTTCCACCACCGTGCCCGCCGAAATCACGCGCCTCTCGGTAGTTATCTCGGGGATCTCTGTAGCTATCTCGTTCGTATCGTTCCTCTCGTAGTCGTTCAGGCATATATCCATTCCCGCTCGACGGACCAAATCCGTAACCAAAGTCGCGCACTTCCCATTCGTCTCCACCGGGCATACCTGACATCGGTGCCGCAGCGGGACCACTTGATTGTGGACCTGGACCAGGTGAACCAAGTGCCAGCGGTGAAACAAAGCCGGGATTGAACGGCATAGGGGCAAGTGTTGGGACATGAGATGGCAGAGGTTGGACGTTGCTCTGCGGACTCTGTGACGGCATTGAAATTCCTGGCGCATGCAAATGCACTTGCGGAGCCATATTGTATCCGCTTACTTGGAATGTCTGGGGCACGTTCGATGGGGGGTACTGAAGCATATGATGTGGTTGTGGCTGGAGAATAAGCGGATCCGCTTGCTGCTCAACGCTCTGGGTCCGCTCGACTGAACTATGCTCCTGGTCGTCGCCTCTGTTAAAAGACTCTTCTGACTCTGCCTGTTGGCTTGTCCCAAATTCCCACTTTGAGCCCTTGTCGGTGAGATCGATAATCTTGATTGCTTCTGCAAGTTCATCTGTTCTATCAGTCCCTGAAGCCGAACGCTTGACACGAATCGTTGCAGGACCGTCAAACCCTACTGCAAATGCTGTTGGCGCCTTTTTACTACCTTGCTTCTCACCGCTAGTATGACGTACAGCTGGCGCCGGAGATGGACTCTTCAATCCCCCTGGCTGACCAATACTTCCGAAGACCATCTCTCCATTTCCTTCCAAGACCTCACAAAAGCTCTGCCGGGGAGCTGATGAGTCAAGCAGCGGACTCACTGGTACTGGCGCTATTGCTCGATAACCAGATAATGGTCCACTTTTCCCAGGTGGCGGTGGCCGCGTCTTCATGGACGAAGGCGGCAAGACAGGCGAAACGTGCGAGGCATCATTGTCATGTTGTCGCGCATCCTCATGCTGCTGTTGCGACTGTGACTCTTGCTGCTGATCAGCCATAGGCGCGCTGTAATATTGGAAGGGAACGGGATGATATATGTAAGGGAATGGAGGTTGGCCAGGAGGATGATGCTGAGGAACACCATATGGTGCATAGCCCATGAATCCTTGCTGTTGCATAGCTGCGTTGCCAACTCCAGGGCTTGGAGCTGGTGGAGGAGCATAACCACTGCTAGGAGGAAATGGACTGTAACCATAAACCTGTGGTCCTCCTGAATACGGTGGTGGGGGATAATAAACAGGTGAGTGCGAATATGGTGTGTGCACCTGAGAGTGCGGATTAGAAAGAGGTCTTGGAGCTGCGAAAGCAACGCTACTGTCTTGATAGCTACGTCGTTCTAGTGGAACGTTCTGGTCCTCTGGGGACTGGGATGTAGCTGACGGCTCCTCCGGGACAGGAACTCCATTCGGAAGCTTCTTTGCATTGGTCGTACTAGGACCCGCATTTATATTTGTAGTTGTATTAACTGCATAAGAATGCTCTTCTGGCAACCGCCGTCCGCGGTTAGGGAAGCGCGGGCTGGAATGGACAGAGGTTGTCCGGGAATGCGTTGTCGACTCAGCTCGCGACTGAGTCGTAGAAACCTCGCCAGGTCTCGATCCACTGCTAGACCCGTTGCTCAGACTCGCCGGGTAATTCTGAACTTGGTTTTGGCTCCGGTTGGTACCTTGAGACCCTCGGGCCTCAGACTGTTGCCTCGAACGTGATTTTGCCTGGTTACTTCGACGATGTCGAGACTGAGCGCGCGAATTAGCGGCCGATTGTGCTGCGAAGGCATCATGGGCAGCTTGTAACTCAGCCGGGGGAATCTGAATCCATTTTGGCTTTTCGCCTGACAATAGGATGCGTCAGCAAGGCAAGTCAAAGAAATAATGGAAACACATTAAGGATATGAGAGAATTGCTTGCCGTAAAGGACAGTTTGGACGTCCAGTAAACGGGCTTAAGGGAAAAGCTAAAATGTCACAGTTAACAGAATAAACCAACTCTCACCTTTTCTTGTCGGACCGTCCTTCTTGTCCGTCTCAGCCACTGAACCGGACACTGAAGTCGAGGCAGATAGCATAGCTTTTCCCATTTCTGGCCAATTCTCAGCGTCATCCAAACCGGGTGGTGAGTGGGTCGTTGAAGTCACGCTTGGAAGCGCATGTCCACGAGGCGGAATTCGAACGACAAATGGATCAAAAGCTTCATTTGATATGTCCTCCGTGCCTTGAGAAGGGCTGGCACCGTTGATTGGTGCACGAGAGACAGCAGTCGAAATTTGTTGCGGAACATTGTCAACAACAGAACCGGAAGCGCTTGCGTGTCCACGCTGTTGTTGCGACTGTTGCGCAGCTGCACGGGCCAATTTTTCTTTACGAGCCGTCCACACATTTGGTGTCTTGGAAGGACTCTTAGGCATGGGCGGAAAAGCTTGTTGTTGGTCCTCGGCGCTGGTCTGTGAGGAAGATGGAGGTGGAGAACCGGGAAGTGTGAGTGCTGCCGACGAATTTGGAGTTAAGTTTCGGCTCGATGACGCTGGCGACGTTGACTCGTCGCCCGAGCGTGTCTTTCCATTCGGTCCTGTCGCACGCGGACGCGGAGTGGCCTGCGATGCTGTCGACGCGCCCGCCCGCCGTGCGCGGTCTGCGTAAGACAAGACAGGCTGATTCGCGGCCGGAACGGTCGATGACGACGACGACACGGCCATACCTGAGCCTCCCTAGTCACCAAAGACGAGCAGATACAATATGACCGCCTCTGAGAGGCGGGCTGAGAGATGAGGAGGTAGTGGATACGGAAAGGGAGAGAGGGCAGGGAGGGGAGGTGTTGGGCGAGGAGGAGTGCGAGATGCAAGTATCACCCAGACCCGCCAGGTTATAAACCTTTACATGCCCAATGCGGAGAGGAACCACCCTAAATGGACCACTGTGCACTCACAAGATCGCACTGCCTCCTATATACGGCAGGTGGAAATTCCAATACCAGAGCATGTATCTGAACAACAGCACAACTGGTCTGTTACTCCTTTGCTTCTCAGAGGTCCCTTTAATTCCTTCAGCCCCCATCACTCATCACACGCATGGAATCATCCTTGTTAGCCAAATTTGGTTCGACGACTGCGTTTGTTTGTGATTATTATCCTTTGTCAAATATTCAAGGCGCCCGCACAAAGCGGTACATCCTGTACAGGTTTAATCTGGGATCCAAAATTGAACGGCCACTGCATGTCCGTGGTCAAATCTATCGTTAGCAAAAGATGACTAGATGTGTTTTGTGCTATGGCTCGGTACTCATTCCATATTCCACGCATCCACCAAGCAGCTTTTTCAACCATCCGAACCATAACGCGACGATCTTTTTATAGCCGTCGTAACTGTACAGATTATCGTGTCTATCGCTACTGATCTCTTTGACTTGCCGCCACGTCAAAGTAAATCTCCTGTTACGGTTAACTAAAATTCAGCAAGATGACAGAGGCGTCTCCCCTTGGTCCAATTGATCCATCCTCGGTCTCGAACACGGATCAACAGAATGCCGAGACGGAGAAGAAAGCCCCGTGGATCGTAAGGAAGCTCGTTGGCGTGAGTATCCACAATGAATAGAGTACAGAGAATTTTTGTTGACGTTTTTGAAGTCTATGACAGGAAGGATCGTAATGTCTTCATACGAGAGCCTTCGGGCAGCAGGGACTTCTGTTGTCTGTCTGTCTCCAGTACGTTGTGGTTACACCAATTGTTTTATCTAGAAAATTCAGCCCCCCGATAACTCAATCTAATAGTGGGGAGACTCGAGTCCAGTCTTTCTTCCCTGCATCCGCTTCCGAGATCTAGTAGTCCACGCGGTTATAGCAGGAACAGTAAGTATTTCCCCGTCCCCGCCGTTCCAAAAATGAAACTAACAAACCACTCTTTCATCTTAATATAGGGCGGAGTCGCTGCTGTCGCCGCACCCGTGATGGGTCCCGTTTCCGATATTGTCGTCGACACAGTCGGAACTAGCCTTCTCGTAGACATCACCCTCAACGTCGGCTTCTCCGCTTCCACTAAACTTGCAAACGACCTTCTCATTGAGCACACTATCAAACATATCATCCCAGCCCCTTCCTCTCAATTGCAAACAACAGGACTGAAGCAACTACTTGTCACACTCAAGTATAAACATACGCTTGAAGATGCGCAGCTTGGGTTCTTCAGGAGCTCAGTGCATGAAGGTGATCCTGGTGCGGGTTTGTTTGCAGATGTGAAAGACTACCTCGCAACAGAGAAGGGTTGGTTCAATCCATACCTGTTTGCAAGTGGAAGGAGGCCGATTATACCGCGTTATATGAAGCCTGATGTGGTATTCTGCCACGGACCGTTCCTAGAAGGTATAAAGGCATCTTGTTTGTTTTATCAATAAACTTCCAGCCTAATATGTTACCGTAACAGGTGACTACAAAATTGGGACTATGCTGTTGCACGAAAGTGAATCAGCAATCTTCCTGTGTGAAGCACCTCCTTCAGAGCCTGACTCATCTGTGCAATATCAAACCGACCAGTCAACACCGTCGGAACAATCGCTGAAAGATCGTCTGCATATTCCGTCGCTGTCCAAATATCTTCCGCGATCACGCTCAAACTCGCGTTCTCCATCTCCCGAGCCAGCATTGGCACCAGTCCAAGCCCCTCCTCGTCCGAGACGATTAGTCGTACTTGTTCTCGCGATTGCACCTCACCGTGCAGGGATGTGGACGACTTCTGCCCGCCCTGGTGAAAGTGCATTGCGATACACATTACTCAACGGATGCCCTGCGCTTGTCCTCCCAGCTCGGGCAGGCGCGCCACTCATAGCCTGGGACACGCTCACACTAGGGCAATTGCACGCCTTGGGCGATGAGTTACCTTCTCCGGAACCGGAATCCGATACTACTCCTACGGGTGTGAGCAATGAAGGAGGTCCGCGATTCCGTGGTGCACTAGACATACTGAATGAATACATTGGCTTATGCGTTGATTGGGAACGTGTACGTCTTGAGTCCAACAGAGACGTTGAAAGCGAGGAGATGGGCGAGATTAAAGACACAAGCACCGTTGCAACCGAACAAGGAAGAAAGGACGCTGTACGCAATGCACTGGCACTATTATTGATTGCTGCAATATGCAGCAAAGACAGCAAACAGGTCAAGAAAGACGTTGAAATTGACAGAGCTGGACTAGTAATTTTCAGAATTCCGTGATGTTGTAGAAGCTTGGCCAATCACAAATATCACACTTATATATCCGTCCAGACACTAGAGTACATGACCAAAATTGTTCGAATAGAGGACAAAACAAATCACAAGAAACTCAGTCCGTTATCTTCCTTCAGAGTTACATCCATGCCTAGTGGACAGCACCATAACTTTGAGGCGCTTGACCGGCAGGCTGAACAGGGTACATTGGTTCAAAGCCGCCGTTGCCAACATCTGAGAGGACAAGACTCGTTTAAAGAGGTGGCTTATGAGTAATGAATGAAGATGCATACAGCGGTATCCTCCGATTCCATACATCTCCTCGGCTTTCATCTTCTTATAGATGAGCCAGAATGCGTGCTATAAAGAACGTGTCAGGTACCAGAATGCAACTTAAGCGAAAGATAGAGCTCACGATATGACCAGGAATGTACCCAAGGCTTTATAAATGTCAAATATCCGTCAATGAAACATTCATTGAAAGAGATGTGATACGCACAGGGTCAAAAGAATGTTGATGAGCAAGTCACAGCTGCATCCTGCTATGAAAGCTGCAGCAGCAGGTGGGAAGATAATGGCCACCTGTTAGGTATCTCAGTGTACTGCGATCCGACCTTCGCAAAAAAGAAAGAACACACGATGATAAGAAGAACGTCGCTTCCTCTGACTGGCATTGTACGTGAAGTCAATCGAGAGAACAGTGCGTAGGTGGTAGCAGGAGTATGAGTATGAGCCGCGCAGCACGACCACCGCAGGTCATGACGTCCTTGTGAAGAAGCGTGGGAGCGTGATTAAATTAGATTTAGCACAGTACGTCATACGAGCATTATGGCTTCAGACCGCCCCAATTCGCACTGAGATCACATTTACAGTATATTTCTCTTCTATAAGTATTACATTGGAATCATCATCGTACTACAAGTTTACACACAATAATACGGAATTTCTGTCTAGTAATTCTGGCTGCAATGCAAGTACTTCCTTGCTAGAACATGCAGCGCTGGTTGAACATCTCTCCATACGAGCCGTGAACAACTTAACTCGTACATAATGCAGCCTAACTTGCACTGATTAAATGGGAGAATTCACTGTTGGCGAGTGTAGTCGTTTCCCAGAAAATTGAACATGGGCGAAACTTCGAAGTTCGTAGTGAACGTGCCGGTAGAAGAACCCTGAACAAAATCACTGAACATACGTATGATGGTCATTGCGTAAGTCTGCTTTGAAAGAAACTAGAATTAGAATATACCCTCGATAGTCCTCTTGAGTAGCCTGGTAACGTGGGAGGTTGTGGGCAATGAACGGATGATCATGTTGAGCTGGCCAGGACTCGAATGCTCCAGTTCGTTCTGCAACAGACCCTTGAAGGACAGCACGCCCTTTCTAATCAGTAATATTAGAAGGATGATGTGAGGAGTACAGAAAGGACACAAACGTCAGAGTGACTATTATAGTGAAACTCTCCAGATACTTTATGCTGGTTTAAGATTGGACCGTTGGTTAGAGATAAATCTTGCTCGTCATCTGTTGTGCCAGAGTCATACATAACAAGAGAATATATGCTAATTCATTGTTACTTACAAGCAGGTATAGCATTGCTGTACTTGTCTTTTGAATGAATTGGATCGTTCGTCGTCGGGGGATCTGGAACCTGGATTGCCTTATCTTCATACTTTGTTTGGTATTCGTTCGTGTTCCTTTTCTTTTGGCCTGTAGGCACAGATCCTTTGCAGGGCACGTCCCTTTCAAGACAAGTACCACACGACATGTCAACTGCTGGTCCTGTGCACTAAGACAACAAACTATTAACTGAGGATAGTAAGACTTTGAGCGGATAATACAGACTTTTCTCCTTGCTGAGCGACAGTTGGCACAGGCAACGATACGCCTAGTGGTCGACATGGTCGCTGTCTTCGCAAGGCAATCTTGCAACATGGAAAGCAGAGCTTTGCAAGGGACAATAGCTCTGTAGAACATTGGGCACCATTCTTATATTCTATATAAACTAGGTAAAGGGAACATGAGGTCAAAACGGCCGTCAAGGCTAAGACTGCCCGGTAAGATGGTAAGGCTAATGCCATAAGAGACAAACTGATTCGGCGTAAATGAGGAGAAACCCAAGCACGGAAAGAACAGGCGAAACTTGAGCAACCCGTTCGTACCGCCCTGCTATGCTACCAAACGAGAAGATTTCAAATGCAACAAGCTGGGTGGGAGGCAAATCGGTTTCAACACTAGGTCCAGCCAATCTAAGGCGAAAATTAACACGTTACTCACTCCGATGGTACCTTTACACGTCAGGCGCCAAGAGTGCGAGGTCCAATATTGCCTGATTTCTGCAAGTAACTAGTAGAAGAAAAAGGTCAGTAAAAGGTTTAGAATAATCAGCAACATACATGCCTTCTCAGACATAAATACCTGCCGTTGAGAATTCATTCTGTTATTCCTAGTACTTTGTGAGGAGCATCAACGGTCATTGAAAGCGCGACATCCATCGTATTTGTATGCTCGTACACACTGCCTACTGCCTACTAACTTGTGTTGTCTGTAGTTTTGGTAAATTCGCCTTCTGCTCAGCCGAATCTTCCTGGATAACTGCTTCAGTAGTGTATTCGTGTATTGGAATCCCCTCAAATTGGGGAAGACACACAACAAGCTTACGAAGCCGCGGGCGGCAGAACGTGTCCAAGTTTCATCCGTATCTCCTGATGCAGACTCGACCACGTTGCAACAGCGAAATTTTACAGGCATTGACCTAGCTTAAACATACGACACTTTAAGAGACATACAGCCGCAGTTTGGTGGCAAATGTAGATTGGTGCTAGAGACGGATTGATACCATGATGGAAGACTTGAGAGACCGTTTCGGGCTCTCAGCAATGGAAGAGCTCAACCACGTGCCATTCAGGATCAGCCGTTAGAACCTTGCTCTCTGTGCATCCTCCCCTGCAGCAACTGCTTGTTGATATGAGTGATGTAAAGCATGCAAACGCTGTTCGCAAGGATCGTGATGTACTTGACGACTCGAATACTCTGATCTCAAGGAATAAGAGACACTCTCATCGTTACAGGTGGGTCACCTCGCTCTCAAAGTCGTCCACATTCATAGATTAGCCCCGTATCAAATTTGAAAAAGAGGTCATCGTGCGGATTCATTTACCCCCGACGATGTTAACGAACTTGTCGAAATAAGAGCGCGTCAGAGGACGTTTAACGGCGCGTATGCTCGAACAGCGCTCGGAAACTTGGGTTACGCCATTACGGTGCTTAAGCTCTTTGATAGGCGGTTCTATCGTAGTGGGTGGACTTAATCCCCTTTCAGCTCCACAGTACCTGGCTGACATCTTACGGGAAGTTGGACTGCTGTATACAATTCTCGCTGGCATGCTGTTCATCCTTTCCTATCTCCGCTCCCGTCACAGTAGACATGATTTCTCGGATCACTACCGCATAGGAAACTCGCCTTACGATGGGATACCAATCATAAAGACCGTAGGCCAAACTGGAAAACGAATATTTGGCCGTCCATTTATTACTGCTGGATGGATCGTGTTGGCTGTTTCTCTTGTTGTCTTGGCGGTCGAGGCGGCATTGTTTGCTCTTATTTTGAAGCTTTGAGTGAGGACAATATCATTCACAATATCATTCACTGGAATTCTGATGTAAATTCTCAAAGAAATCTGTTGTATACTATATAGTTTATCATTGCTCACTCTCAACAGGGGTAAACACCTTCCCTCAAGGTCCGGGACATTGTCAATCTGACTAATACACACACTAACTTAGCATGCTTCGCCCAAGGCTTCCAAGTGGACTGCAACGGACACAGGGAATACAAGTAGTGAAAACAATCTCCAATTGAAACCATGATATTCATAACAAAGACAGCTGTTTCCATGAAATAATTATACAACACATGCAAGGTAGTGTGGAGATGGGATAACATACAATAAGTAATGCTACATACTTTAGTTCACATCCAGAAATAAATGATGCTTCCGTCAACATACAAAATAAACCATATTCTTCCAATAAATGATAAGTCCGAGCTTGGTCAATCAACGGAACGGATCACTGTTCTCGCGCGCCATGAGTTCATTCAGACCGCGCACGACATGCCCAGCGGCTTGACGTACGGCCTCTTTCCCTTCCGCATGCACCTTTGACAGCCACTTGCTTTCAAAACGATCGGGATGCCACCGCAAGAGTTGCTCCTTCAGCCGATCACGCGTACTCTTATCAGTTGAGTGAACAGGAGAGAGGACGAAGGCGCCAATTGCGTTCGTGGTAAGGTCTTCTGGCAAAGACGGCTGCCTTAAAACTGGCCAAGGTATCGAACGGAAAGTCAACTCTGAGCGATCTTTCAATGAAACCCATGCACTTTCATATATTGCCCAAGCTCGCTGCACCTGTTCACGCCCAGTTGCAGAAGACACGGCGGCAGCCGCAGCCTGTGCAGCGCGTTCCTGCTCCTGTCGCAAAGAATCCTTCCGGAACTGTTCCTGTTGTTTGCGCGCATTCTCCTCTTGCCGACGACGCCATTCGGCTTCGGAGAGAGGAGAGCTACTTGTGAAGGAACCAGCGCCACCACTAGCAGACGGAGACGGACCAGCCGCGCCACCAGTATTTGTCGGTTTCCAGGCACCGGCCGCAGGTTTATAAGAGTCACCCGTAGCCGTCCGTTGACTTGCCGAACTGCCAGTGCTTGCAGTCGTCGGGCGCGTACTTGATGACCAAGCTGAACTTGCAGAGCTGGCAGTAGATGCCTTGGAAAAGTCTGATGCAGCGGAGGATGCGGAGCTCGCAGATGACCGCTGACTTAGGTTTGAGTGAATACTGCTAGCACTCGACATCGCACGTCCAGCGTGGGAAGCACTCGAAGCTGCAGAAAACGATGCAGATGCATTCGGAATTGATGACGAGAAGGAACTCGAAGAGCCTCGAGGTTCTCGTCTTCGTGCATCTGCTTGCTGCTTCCGCTGCTCATAGAAACGGAGCAGTTCTTGTTGGTCTCGTAATTCCTCAGCAAGAAGTCGACTTTCTTCCTCTCCCATCCGACTTTCTTCTTTCCATTCTCTTTGTAGGAGTCGCTCCCTCTCCCTTACAGCTTCCATCTCCCTCCTTTCTCTCTCCCTATCTTCCTTTTCCCTCGCCTGACGTTGACGAGCCATCCGTTCCTCCTCTTCTCGCGCTCTATCCTGTTCAAATTTCTTTGACATGTGGGATTCAAGGCGCCTCTTGTCCTCCTCCTCCTGCTGACGGCGTAAAGTCTGCTCCTTCTCCTTACGCGCACGATCTTCACGCCTGCGCCGTTCCTCTTCTTCCTCTCGTCGCGCAAGGTCCTCTTCCCGCTGCTGCAGCTCCTTCCGCTGTCGCTCAAGAGCCTCCTCCTTCTCACGCAATTCCTCTTCCTTCCGGCGACGTGCAAGTGCTTCCTCTCGTTGACGAATGGACCATTCTTGGCGCTTAAGTTCATCCTCTTGGGCACGTAGTTCTTCCTCCTTCCTACGCTGCTCAGCAGCGCGATCCTCTTCCAATTTCCGCAAAGCCTCTTCACGTTCTTGTTCCTCCTTCTTCCTCTGAGCTTCCGCGATCTCACTCTTGAGACGCTTCAGTTCATCGACCTTCCGCCTAAGACCGTCTTCCTTCCTTCGTTGCGCCTCAAGCTCAGTCTGCCTCTGGGCCTCCAGAATTCGCTGCTGTTCCTCCAGCTCTGCTTCCTTCCTCTTCTGAAGCTCAAGCTGTCGAGTTTGCTCGGCGATCTCTCTCTCTTCACGCAGTCGCAAGCGTTCCGCCATCTCGCGTCGATGCAGGTTGAGCTCTTCCTCCTTCGCAGCGAGCTCACGCTCCTTCTGCTGTCGCAGTTCCGCTTCTCGCTGGCGCTGCGCCTCGAGCACTTGCTTCTGCTCAGCAAACTCCTCTTCACGAGCCCGTTGAGCTGCAGCCAGCTCCTCGCGCAGTTCTCGGAGTGCCTTCTCTTGAGACTCGCGCTGGGCTTCGAGTAACTCACGGAGTTCACGTCGCTCTTCGTCGATGAGGCGTCTCTGCTGCTCAACCAACTCGCTATCAATCGTCTCACCGCTCCTCGCAGAAAGCTCAGCCTCACGCTTTCGATGTTGAATGTCTCGTTGACGGAGCTCCTCGGCTTGACGATTAAGCGCTTCCTCACGTTCCCTATGCTTTCGATCAGTGTCGCGATCACGTTCCCTTGCCATACGTTCTGACAGGGCTGACGGCGACGGCGTATTGCGAACGCGATCACTGAATGAACGAACACTGAGTGATTCAGGAGCTTCCGATTCAAATGAGTCCTCAGCTGTGAGCGACCTCTTAGTCTTGCGGGATAGGGTATTTGCTCGAGTACTATTCACCGTCGTGCCAGTATCAATAATTTCAGTCGGCTGGCGGGACAGACTTGCGCCAGGAATTGCTATAGATGTCGGTAACAGCGGAGGAGAGGGTGGTCTATAGCTACTGGCGAACGGAGAACGACGCGCACTGGAACTGGGGGGTGTCGGCGACGGTATTGGAGGCGATATAACCGGGTGGGTATCCTGACTATGCACAGGCGACCGCCGCGAGCCATTCGGTCCCAATGTCGGTATCGGCAAAGTAGTCTTGGGACTTGGAGTAGATTTCGGAATAGGCGTGGGTTGACCAAAAGTTTGAGTCTGGTGTTGCGAAGGTCGCCGTGCAGGCGAACCAGTACTAGTATCGCTATCGTTCCGCCGACGTTGCGGATACACACTTGCGACAGTAGGAGGGGTTGTACTAAATGAGGTCGCGGACGAATTCGAGTTAGTAGTCCCAGATGAATTTGCTGTAACATGTACATGTGATGTCGAAGGCATACTCGCTTTGTTATCCGGGGGCTGCCAGACCTTCACGGGCTTATCAGACGACCGTTGCCCCTGGCTATGCAAGTGCCCTGCTGCAGAGGAAATATTGTACGAGGTTAAGGGCGGAACATGCGCTGGTGGTGAAGCACTCGTTCCCGGTGCACCATAAACCGATCCAGCTGCACTCCGTGCACGCGCGTTCTCATGCTCAAGCCAAGGGCGTTCAGCCTCACGAACCTTCTCCTGCTCCCTTATAGTTGCATCAAGTATTGAGGGCCTGCGGTTCAGCGAGGGCTGTCGCATATTTTCGCGACTTGGCTTCCAAAGAGTATGATGAGTATCGCTGCTATTGCGACCCAAGCTCAGATTATAAGGTTGCTGTCTGGATGCGCTTGCATCCGCCGAATACTGCATAGACATCGCAGAAGGTGGTGTTCTCCCTGTCCCTCTGGCTCTGCCCCGAGAACTTGAGCGATGAATATTGCCACGATTGATGTCTAATGGTTGGCTCTTTACGGCATTAAACGAACTCTCAGCTGCTAATAGAAAGGCACTTCCGTAGGTCATGTCATCGTCGAAAGCGTTGTCGTCTGACTCCGAGACAATTTCATCTTCATCGTCGCCTGTGTCCGTATCGTCCCCACGATCATTGCCGGTATCAGTATCACTCATCTCTTCTGGTTCAGTCTGGAGTGTAGAGGAAGACGGAAACGACGTATCAGTGATCCATTGGTTGTGCCGTGCGGATGAAGATTGGTCCGGATGTCGGTTAGGAAATAAGGCGTTCGCGAGATTGGTACTTGCCTGAGGAGCAGCACCAGCAGCACTCCTTTTCCTTTCTTGCATCAAAGCAGGTGCTCGAGACACATCCGATTTCTGGGACGAAATGGATCTCGTAGGGGGCGTCCAAGTTGCACGTTGTGAAGGAGCAGCTGATAACGAAGCTGGTTCTGCATTGTCGTTGTGTACAGACCCGGCGCGTCGCGCCCCGTACATTCTGAGAAGTTCTTCCTGTTCGCGTATCAACGCTGCCGCCGCCTCCTCGCTCTCTAGCTCATCGCCCAGACTGAGTTTCCTGAGGCTACGCTCGCGTTCGATAAGGTCTCTCTCCTCTTCTTCAAGTATACGCCTGATTTTCGTTTTCCGCGCCTCAAACGCACGAAGAAGTTTCGCCTTTAGTGATTCATATGCCTCGTCATTTAGTCCGTCATGAGAGTAGGGATTGGCATGTCGTGCGTCAAGCTGAATTGATTGGCGCTGAAACTCAGCTTCAGCCTGTTGGAGAAGTTCGGCGAACTGTGTCTCCTGGTTGCGTCGCAGTTCCTCGCGGAACGGCCGAAGCCACTCTTCCTCATCGTCGGATATTGGAGGATCGGAAGACATGTGTGATGAGGCGGAAGTGCTACGAGAAATCGGACCAGAGCTAGGACCTGCACCAGGACTGAGTGGCATCTGGGTTATCGTCGCTGCCATAGATGATGTACACGAGGGATAGACCGAGCCAGCCTGTGGAAAGATATGCCAGAAGATATCTTCTGACGCGTAGCCAGGACCAGCAGCACACAAGCAGAGTGCGTTACGTTCCTCAGTCGTAACTACGTCGCACGACGTCAGTACACGCGGTCCCGTAAGCTGCCGAGTAACACGATAACTGAAACACGTACACTGAGACGTATTCTGTCCGTTCAACGTAGTCTGTAATATCGATACGTTCTGGCAGAGTTATAGTTGGAGGCCTGGCAGAACTAGCACTGACAGGTGCGCGTAAGGATATCGCCTCGCCCCACAGCGCTTGAACAAGTAGTCGGCTTACTCGGACAGATACAGAAATTGGCCAAATACAAGATATGACTTGAAAATAGCAAGAACAGCCCGCCGGACGAGCGCGGGCGGACAGGCGACCAGGATGTGGACGTCGTCGAGAGCGACCGGCGAGCGAGGAGCAGAGGTGCACCATTCTAGAGCATGGCTATTATGTAAACCCCGGCACGGCTCGTTAATATACCGGATAGGGCACCGTACCATTCTACTTTAGGTAGTAGCAGCCCCACGTGCATCCGGAAGAGGAACCGATGGGAGACACGGCCGGGTGATGTTTCTCTGGCTAGAACCACGAAGACAAACACGCGTTAGACAGCATGTCCTCTGCACACACTCCAGCATGTCCATGCATGACGCCTTCCCCCGTCCGTCATACCGGATGCTCCTCACAGCTGCAATTCATGACGTCCCGCTTCTCGTTCGCATGTGCTCATCTCCTGCAAAATCAAGGGCAACATCGCCCACAGGCGGAGACGGACACAGAAACGGTATCAATTCAATGGTTGTACGTTTAATCGTTACTTTTGGGAGCCTATCGATCAACCTGGAGTCGTCTCCCGGCGGGGCATCCGGAGCTAACGCACCCCAATTCATACCCCTTTCCTTGCTCTGAGGGCCCCTTTTCCCCACACTACGCAAAAGACTTCAGCATTTTCTGATCGAGACGCAATCTTACCGCGGCGTTGATCGTCATCCGCGCTTCCCTTCCCTGGCTTCTGCGATGCACCTACTTATCTCATATATGCTGCTTATACCTCACTGCCGGAATTCGTCTCATAACTTCAAGAAAACGAATATGTGGGGGACCCAGTTGTATAATATTAAAGGCACATTTACCAGCAAAACCTGCTCCTGATGCTCCAGTGTCCTCAAGTAATGCTTCACGCTTAATTCATTAATGCTGCTTCTATCTTCCGAGCTGTGGTACAGCGTGTTGCAGTCTTCTCAGAAACAGGACCTGAATTCCTCGTGTGCAAAGACTGTGCCTTCTATGACGGTCAATTTTCACTGCTGATGCTTCCGTCCTTGTCTGCAAACGGTCGTTCATATCGCTTGGTTTCGTAAACTTCTGCTCATGTCGTATTTACTTTTCTACATGTGGATGGGATATATTTTCAAGCAAGTCTTCATCGATTTGAAATGCATTTACTCGCTGCCGGCCCCAGTTGCGAAGAAAGCAGTTGAACCAAAATGATTATCTTATCCATCATTATGGTTCTGATTGAAACTAGGCGTCCATAAAAGGTCACGCGTATGGCCTGGAGAGGAGAGTCGACAAGAAAGGAGAGGAGAGACTCGACTCCTGGCCGCCGATCAATTTGCAAGCGAGAAGTAATTGCTTCCGGGTGGTGCTTGCTTAATCCTAGATTATACTGAAGCTGCTGCCAAAATTTGATACTAAGAGCGTCATTGTGTTCGTATGTGATCCTTGTTGTCCTAGATTGTGGCCTTGTCTCCCTTTACAGTCATGTCAGAGCAATGTCAAGGCTAATATCCTTCTTGCCATCGACTTTCCTGCATGAATCGGCACTGACACTGAGCAAGCCTGCTTTCTGCTTTCTTCACTTCTTGCGATTCGGATCTTGGTCATAGTCAGGCTGGATGGACTTCCATTCGAGAGGACATTACCTAACACAGGTGCTCAATGACTCACAAACTAGCTGGCGACGGTTTGAGACGGACATTCTCACATATCCTTCTCTTCCTTGCGATTCGGAACATGGCCATAGTAAGGCAGGATGGACTCCGAGGCAGGGCAACATTACTTATTACAAGTATCCAATGACCTACAATCTCACTGGCAACGTTCTGAGAGACAGACATTCTCCCACGTCTCTCTCTTCCCTGCGATTCGGATTCTAGTCACAATCAGGTAGGATGGACTACGAGTCAGGGTGACATTACTTATTACAAGTGCCCAATGACCTACGAGCTCATTGATGGCCTTCTGAGAGACAGACATTCTCCCACGTCTCTGTCTTTCCTGCGATTCGGATTCTAGTCACGGTCAGGTAGGATGTACTCTGAGTCTGAACGGCATTACCTATTACAATTGCTCAATGACTTACAAACTCGCTGGCAACGTTCTGAGAGACAGACATTCTCACATATCCTTCTCTTCTTTGATTAACAGCAATCTTCGAAGTGCGTCTAAAAAAAGCAGCAAGTTTATATAGCTACTAGCCTCTGCATCCAAGCCCAGCATCAAGCTCCCACTATCTACTCATCGTAATCTCGCCCGCTGCCAATGTCCTCAGACACTCCTCAGACAGTTCCTCCACCGTTTGCCAAGTGGCCAGAAGATGCGGAAATAAAGACGTTCAAGGGCCGCTGCCACTGCGGCAAGATCACCTTCGAGTTTGATCATCCCGCGCTTGAAGTCCAAAAACCCACGTCGTGCAATTGTACCATGTGTACACGCACTGGCGGTATCTATATGTGCGTCTCAATAATGCCTTCCAAGCATCGTAAAACAATTTGGCTTATATTATCCGTCGCTATATGTAGCTACGGTCCAGAAAGTACACTACGCGTCACCAGAGACGAACCAGCGGGATTTATCAGCAAGTCAGGGCGCGCTCACCACCGTTTCTGCCCGAGCTGTGGCAACATGGTGTTTTGGACTGGAATGGGACGTGCTGGTGCCAATGTCCGCATGTTTGATGAGGTGGAGATGGAGAAGCTTCAAGTTGGAACTTTTGATGGCAGGCACCTTCTTTGACGCTCTCAAGGTATGGCAATAGATCTACAGACGGCATATAAGTTTTTCATTTTCAAGTTCCAGGGAGTCGAAGCCATTTGTTTTTGCAATGTGTTGGTCCGGGAAAGTCAAAAGTGGTGTTACGAATGGTATCATTTGGGATGGATAAAGGAAATAGGATACTGCAATATTAAGTGAATAAAGGTAGAAAGGAGAATCACATTTGCATGAGTCATTATGAAATTTCCGAACCGGATAGCTGATCAATCTCCTCATGCCCAATCGCCGCCACGGCGCTCTGAATCCATCACGGGATTATCAAACCTCCGTTCGTTCTGCTCGGCAAACCGAAGGTCAATGCGTGCATATAAGTACTGTTGGTATCCTTGCAGAAATGCTTAAGCTTTATCTCCCAGCACCATCTACTGATCTACAATCATGCCCTCGGACGCTCAGCCCTTCGTACCAAAGTTCCCCGATATCGCAACTTACCCTGAAGGAGCCGAGGTCAAAACATACAAAGGCGCATGCCATTGTCGCAAGTTCACCTATGAGTTCGATTATCCAGGACTTGATGTAAAGAAACCAATCTCGTGCAACTGCACGTTCTGCACCAAAGTTGGGTCGATGAATGTGTACGTGGACTTCTATTCGCATCTAACGGATCGCAACAAGATTTTGATAGATGTTAATAAATGATAGGTTCGGCTTTCAGACTTTCTTCCGTCTTGGCGGGGAACCAGCAAGCTGGGACGAGCTCTCGAAATTTAAAGCCAAGTTGAAGCCTGTGACGCATCATTTTTGCCCTGGTTGTGGCTGCTACATGTTCTGGACAGTAATGGGCATCGTCGGTGTTAACGTACGCATGTTTGAAGGCATAGAGGTGGAGAAAATAATTGCCATTCCGGTTGATGGGCGGAAGACGAAATAAGAATAGAAACTTAAAACATCACTGAGTCGTGTATACTAGTTGTGGAATGCTCTGGATTCTTCATACTGTGGTGCATTCAGCAGTGTTTTCGGAATACAACCAGTGAACAGATAGACAGATCAATAAGCAATATCGCAAATGCAAATCAGGCTCGGTTAACGAAGAATGTGATATTGTTATACAGTTACAGTCTATCATATTTTGTTACAAACAAATGGTTATCACATTCTATGCGATTACAATTGGTTCTCATTTGCTCTGCGAACAAAAGTAAATACACGCGATTGTATGACTATGACTGAAAGAGCGACCTACTCGGCCCTATCGATGATAAAATCCCCTTGCCGTTCATCCGGGTGAACCTTCAAGCCTTGCTTTTGAGTCGTTCCCCACTGTTCCGCTCCATAACCGTGTTTCTTCCGATGCGCTTGCCCATCATGGTGGAGCTCAGCGCTGGTTTCGCCAGAACCGGGGTGACCGTAGCCGCTATGTACGTCCGCAGAAGTGGCTCCCGTAAGTGTATCATCTGCAGTCGTAGGTTCGGCAAACGGGTCTGGGTCAACAACGCGGTCGTTACGGAAGGTTGGTACACCCTCTGGATTGCGAACGAGCTCGTCGCGCTCTCCAGTAAAGTTCGGCTGCCTCTGCGGACCTAAAGCATAAAGATTCAGTTCTTGTCGTTTGTAGGTCAATATAAAGACTTGCATACCGCCTGGTTGGATGGAGCTGATGTTTATGTTTTGACTGTTCGACATGGTGAGAAGAAACTTAGAAATATTATCTATGGATAAAGCTTTCGGAATTTCTTCTGAGTTGTGAATTGTTCTGTTGTCGAGTGCATGGTGAGTCTATATAGGAGGTCAATCTGGAAACACTCCAAGCAGACGTCAGGTTGATATCATCCCTTGTCCGCCAGTAGAGGAGACAATTCCGTGATCATCGTACATGACGTCATTACGGTTTCCTGTCGATCTCGGACGATCGACAAGAGTTTCGTAAGTAGCACATAAGGACAGAATCTATATGCAAATTGCAATGTGTGTAGACATCTCATTCAATGGTTTATCCTCCCATTGATGTACCTAGACCCGGTGCAGAAAATTCGTTATCTTCCCAAATCATACATAATATACACAGTAATCCTTTGCCATCTTTGACGTTCGCAGTATTTATATGTAATCACATCGCCCTTGTTCGTTAGTGCAGTTCCGAAAGGCATATTAACAACTGGGTTGAAGCAGTCATCATCATATTCCATCATGGATGCAGCAGGATCTTCGTATACCCGTCCGCGCGCTTGTCAAATTTCTCATACGCAAGGGGTGCGTCTTCGAGTTTCAGCTGGTGGGATACCACGAATGCCGGCTTCGCCTTGCCAGCAATGATCAAGTCACCTAAATATTGGAGAGAGATGTGATCAGCAACAAGGAAGAGGTTAATTATGAAACGCACGAAGGTAGCGGTTGTATGCCTTGTATAAGTGGAATTAGCAACAACTCTGGGGTTCACGAACACAATGGCATACTTTCACATCGCAAAGCCCGGTTCCAATGGTCAGGCCTTTCAAGAAAACCTTGCCTTTGTATACGCGGTGAGTCTAAGCACGGATACAGTCAAGTACAACAGGACCTCTTACCGAACGGAAACAGCAAATAGCCCCTTCATACAATTTAGCAATCAGAAAGTCCTTGTAATATTACTGTTGACGAGCTCACTTTGATGCATTGGAGTCAGCCGAACCTGGATCTACGGGGAAGTACAATCCTGGAACGCCTATGCCACCGGTTGGCTTAACGACGTCAATTAATCCCTCAAGCACAGCGTTCGCCTTGTCGCTCCCATCTGCTGCAACCGCTCGGTATCCAACAGCTTTGTGTAGTAAACCTATTTAAGTATCCGACCATATGACAAGAATAATATTTACCATCAACGCCACGATCAACTTCTCTACTACAAATGAACATACATTAGAAAATCATGGATTTCTTGAAAGAATGAAAAAGGCGAGACCCACCCGCATCGAAGCTTCTTGATCTGTTCCGCGGGATCACCTACAGAGAAGTCAATCGGAATGCACCCAATTTCCTTTGCCTTCTGCAACCGCTCGGGAACACGGTCAACTACATAGACTTCGGATGCACCACGCAGGTTTGCAGAGTATGCAGCCATGAGTCCCACAGGTCCCGCGCCAAAGATAGCTATAGATTCTCCTGGACGGAAGCCCTATTCAGGTATCAAAGAACCAGATAGGATAAGTTGTAAGCCATATGAGCCGCATATATGCAAATATAGTGGCCGCCAGTTTACGCACCGAGAGTTGGACACCATGCCAGCCCTAATAAGGGCAAAAGATTCAGAAAGGTCAAGGGATAACACATGAAAGTAACTCACTGTGGGGAAAATGTCTGACAGCAATGCAAAGTCTGCTTCATGCTCAGTTCCGGGTGGGAGCTTAAGCGCATTGTAGTCGGCGAACGGAATCTTAACGTATTCCTAGACCAACATTTAAGACAAGAAGACTCGACAAATTGCTCTGTAACAAACCGCTTGGCCGCCTTGATAATCACCCATGCCTACGTATCTGTCCATGTCCCTCAGAAACAGGCATCGTGCACTGCAAAACATCTTACCCGTATGCCCTACATCGTAATCATGGAGTTCAACCATCAAAGGTAAATCAGAACTTCAAGTCAAATAACATACGCTGCAGTCTAATAGAACGAAATATAAAAGACGGTAAGAAAAATGAGAAGTAGTTTACTCACTGCTCCGGGATTGGTAATCATACAGTAGGCAGGACGACCTTGCTCGCAGTTTGCACATCTCCCGCAGGATACATTGAAAGGCATTACGACGCGATCACCCCGTTTCAGAAGCTTCATAGCCTCATCAGTCTTCCGTGAAGGAATTGAGAGAAGTTAGCAATCACAGTCACTCCCGTCCCAACTTCCTAAAAGTTTTCTTCAGTCGGATCCACTCATACATAATGTCTCGATGAATAAACATGTACTCACATGAACAATACCAAGGCTATACGATAGAGAAGTTTGGAATGCTAAGACGCTAACAGATATTTTCTCATGACAGAAAAACGTACTTTTCATGCCCGAAGACTATATCACCCTTCGCAAGAGTACGACCCTCGTAAATATGCAAGTCACTTCGGAAGTTCAAGGTGAAAATGCTATATCGACACTTAGGGTGCCACTCGTCTCACCTCCCACATATCCCAGCTGTCGTCACTGAACAAACATTAGGCGATTATAATCACCCATCAAATTGTAAGGAGAGATACCTTTTACAATGATGTCATCCGGGTGTGTTAGCTCAGGTTTGGGCACTTCTCCAACCACTACTTGAAATGGCTTTTTCCAGACCACGGCACGCATCCTTTTTACCTGTTGAAATGACTGCAGGGGAAAGAGAGCTCTTGTGATGAGAGCGCCCAACGTATGCGAAAGTATCCATGATTCTTATATTCAAATGAAGTTGTCGCGTGAAAGCGCAAAGACGGATGTAAAGCCGATGGTACCCTGGACTTTTCTCATTACTTTCGTCAGTTTCCGGGCCCTAAGTCGAGCACATGACAACAACCTGGACTCAATAGGGGATTCGCAATTAACAAGATAGGAAAAACTAAACGATTAGATGTCATAGCACAAGTGTCTTCTTGTCCACAAGGTCCAGTGAGGCACTTTCCGTTGATCGCTCATTAGAAGCAGGCAATGTAGAAACGGAAACCTGTTACAAGACGGGGCATTGACCTGAGAGAATAGCAAGTTTGTCATCTGTTGGTATTAAAGTTAGACCAAGTGGATTTGTATCTCGGGAGCACCTTGGGCGCGTTGATTCCTTTCAGTTAATAATTTGCAGAGAGAAGTGAAACTGCAGTGAAGAAGGAGAGAACCGGCTGGCCATGTATAGTAATATTCCTTGTGCGAGTTTAGTCAGATTGAATGTTGTCCACCTTGAACGTCATAGCTTTGATAATAGAAACACACACACACACCTAACTTCAAATACCTTCGACGTCAGAATTTGTCAACCTGACATGAATTTTACGGCTCGCTTCACAAGCCACGTTTTCTCCTCTCTACACCCTCCTCCGCTTCAAGCTCCCGCATAGCAGTTACTGCCCACGCTCCAACCCCACCCCGATCAAAAGCAACCCGCAAGCGATCCTCGGCGGCATCCCAGTTCCAATCTTCCGGCTGGTCATGGTGCGAACCTTCGCGAGGTGCTGAAGGGAGAGGACCATCATCTACCCGGGCAGAACGATATATTCGACGTGATAGAACTGGCATGTGAGACTGTAGAAGTTGACGGACGCGTGCAGCGAATTCATCGATCTGCAGAAATTATGGAATAAACTAAGTATTAAACAGATAACAACTAGAACACTTGCAAATAAGGAATATACGTACATTGTTAACCCCTAGCAACGTCTGCACTCCCCACACACCTAACACCGTAGTTACACCAACCGCTGCTGTCGCAAGCCCAAATGCTCCCAAGGACAACAATGGTCCGTCGAAAAAGGTTACGACAGTCGAAGACGGCTTCTTTGGAATACGGTGCGCCAGTGTTACTCGACGACCAGATGCAGGAGTCGTGTCCAGTACGCTAGTGCGGGAAGACACGCGACGTGGAGGGGGAGGTGTTGGTACACTTGAAGATCTACTTGTATTCGAAGACACCACTGGTCTCGGATTAGTTTCTGCACGCACAGTGCTCGTTCCAGACAACGGTCGTCGACGCGCTGGAGGTGGCGTTACACCCTGCCTTCGACCAAGGCTTGGTGAAGTATGAGGTCCAAGTGCTTGTTTTTGTCGCCAAAGCAGGACGACAGGAACAGTGAGGGCCACGGTTGTCATTGTAAGCTGTGTTTTTAGATGAAATTCGTGAGGACCAGCGGTGACCGAACCCACAAGCACAGATTTCGACACGTACGAGTGTTATTGGTAACCATCGGGGTAGACTGCGTTTTTCATCTTTCTCTTCATACGCCTTGCCTGGCGAGTTCATGGCGGTCAGGTGTAGGATACTAGGAACGCATTGGACACTTGAACGTAAGCAATGGATCACTTTTACTGCATACCAGTACATAACACTCTTGTTTGACTTTATCTGTTCTGCACACTGCATATCTTCTCATTGCATAAATATGCAATAAATATGATAAGGTGTCAAATATTTCTTTAGGGGAAAACATGACTGTAGCTTTCGTTACTATCTAGAGGACCATCATCGCACGTTGCAAGACGAGCTAGTGCTGCTAGCGAAAACGAAGCTGAAATTCATCTATGCCATGAATAATGTTCCTGCAGCAACAAAGGAAAAGTGCTGAGGAGATAAGGAATATGGCACGAAAGAATAAAGAAGTGTGCATGCAAAATTGGCGATTTTAACCGTCCACGGCGCGATGTACACAAACACGGCCAAATAATGCTCAAAAACTTGCCTGCTGTAGAATGTCAGACGGTGGGGGTTAGGAGCTCTGTTGGATTTATTGCATGTGGACGTTGATTGAGCAAGTATCGCCCGCACTTGGGTAAAATTAGGTCTACATTTTTTTAGATTAGAGAAGCAAAGGAACTAGTAAAGCCCATAGATTGTGGTTTAGTAGGCGCTTTAACGCAATGGAAAATGCAGCGTTCATGAGCTGTTGTTTGCGGTCATCTCGAAAACGATCTTCGCTTGCATGTCGATCATCGCCGCGTAAGCACAAGTCCCGTGTCGCGAATACACTGTACAGGGCATCCTCCAACGACCTCCCTCTTTCTTTCTTCAATTGTCGAGCAGCAATGGCACCCAGCCGCTCGCGAGCATCTTCAAATGCAAACCTTCGTGGCAACACTCCCAGTGCCCCAAGGCAGACTCCAAACAAACAGCAGCAACAGCAATACTGTCCGCCCCGTGCCTCGCCCAATGTCGCCCGCTCGCCCACGTCAACACTAGCACGACAAGGAAAGGCTGCAACACCTACAGCAATCATGAGAATAGCAGCAACTCCGGACCCGCCTGGCGACATCGGCATGACTCCCGCAGACCGCTACTACAAGAATCTACGTGTCCTACGCCGCCGCGACTCCCACATAGTCTCTATATTCGATCAATTTCCCCATGTCACTGTCTACTACATGCAAGACGACCTTAGTATGGACAGGGCTGGGTATGAAGGCACCTTGTTCTTTTTTGAAAGGTATCTGTCTTATTTCATTTTACTCCACGGTCTCAATCTGACGCCTCATTCAGAGACATCGAACCAACATATGGCTTGTTTATTCTTAACCGCCAAGGAATGAACGACTATATACGCTATTTCCAGCATGACGACGTTTTTGAACCCATGGGAGAAGCTGTCTGGATCAGCACTCTAAACCCTACCTCGCCAAATGCCATGGGTGACGAGGACAAGACAGCAGGATTCTGGTCCATGGCTATGGATGTACGCGAAACACTGGGTGACATGATGATGCGCCTCTCACCATACATCCGACGCAATGAACGGTATCCAGACGAATATCGCTATGGCCCAGACCGCGTTGTCCCACAGCAGAATTGTTCTGCCGCTGGTACACGAGACGACGTCAAGCACGACTTCCTTAGCGACCTACCAGATGAAATGCGAGAGAAAATTATTAAGACAGTCCAGACTGCAAAGGCGAAAGCGAAGGAGGAGGACGATTCTGATGCTAAGGACAGTTCGGGCATGTTGAGGTCCTTACCTGCAACGCAGACAAATATGTCTGAGCTCGATCAATTATTCTCCAAGCTGGCCACTACCGAGCAGTCACTACCGGACCAGACCCCGCAAGCACCACAAGCACCATTGTCTGGTCAAGCACTTCTTAATACAATGTTCGCTTCCGTTTCGGAACCTAAAATTCTCCGACGACGACCGAACGAAGCAGGCCAAAAGTTGACTCTACAACAACTTGGCTTAGCACCACCAGTGTGCACTCCCCCTGATAATATGGAAATCATTTCCCCGAAACCCAGTACCGCGGGTCTACCTCAGATTTTGACTACGGACGTCATCCATGAGTTGATGGGTATGCCTAGCTCGGACAGCCGCAGTGCATCGCGTTCATCTACCTCTGCTTCTTTGTTAGAGCATCCACGGTCCCCTAGTTCCGCAGGCGCGCACCGTAGTAAGGAACGTGGATACATAGCCGATTTCGGAGAGGACGATGGAGGGACGTCTGAGTCATCGATGAATATTGATTTAGACCAGTCAATGAGCAGAAGTATCATGGAGCGTCTTTTGCCCGGAACGCGTTCTTCGGTTTCGAATTCAAGGAATACAAGGTCTTCAGGTGCATTGAAAGGAGACGCCACGCCGCGTGCGCGCGTTGAGCAGTTGGGATACGTGTCTCCGCCAAACAAGCCGCGACCAGTCCCTATGCACGCAGCGTCCGAAGCGAACACCCGCTCGCTCGGTATAGGTGCTGCACCACATACAAGCCGGAACTCAGACGCGCAATCAGGAGTGACGAATCGTACGGTTTCAGCACCTTCAACAGTACGGGTTCCGTTCCAGTCAAGTGAAGAGCTCTGGCCGAGTGGCAAATCAAAGATGTTGCCCATTCCTGCCGCTGTTGTAGACGAATTGGCTGTGGAAGTTGAAGAGGTTGTCGAACTAGACTTCAGTGAGATTGGCAAACTGGATGACATTCGGGCTTTTGAAACCAAAAGCGTTAATGCCGCTCGTGGAAGGGATGCGAGAGGCAAGGAGAAAGCCAAGGCCAACGGAGTATTGTCTGCCCAGAATGGTGTCCACGCGGCGGGACCCACTCCTGCCAATGCATCAAAGCACGGCCTGAACGCATCTCACTCGAATGGGGCCGGGGTAAAGTCCGGCATTGGAGCTTCACAATCACTGGCTGATTCCCGCCAGGATACTGTAGGACGCTCGCTTCATGCTGCACTGCAAGACTCCAACCTCATAACGGGAAATGGACAAGCCTTGAATAGAAATGCGTTTGTGCGGGAGGTTCTAACGCTCATTCACGTACGTGATACGCATTTAATTGGCCTTTTATTTGTTCATCTCGACTAACACAATCCCCATGCACAGACCGACAAGAAATTTGTAGATAAAATGTATCAAGCGTATCAAGAGTCCCTACCCCAATCCCGATTCCATTGACACTTGTAAGTTATGTTATCCCTGTATCAAGCGACTTTCTTGTAGCTAATTTTATCGAGGCTCAGAATTCATTTTATCTTGTAATATACCATGAACTTGATACAAGCTACATTGCAATCATTAGACCCTCGACCGTCATCGTATTTGTTGAGTCTTTTACTCGCACGTACACGCACTGCACGAAACCTTCGTCAATTTGCCATCCTGCGCCACCCTTGTTGTCTCCAGCTCACGCAACGCCTTTTCTTTTTCTCGTCTATCAAAGCATGCAGCTTTCGGGTTCTTGCAGTCCTCTTCTTTTTATGCATCTGATTGCTAGCTCTTCTTCCTTTCTCTTCTGTAGTTTAGACTGTATCGTATCTAGCTGTGCCTTCTCTTGGTTCATTTTTACTGCTGCGCCTTTCATTTTTCTCGCGATTCCTGTCCTTTGCACGATCATGTAGCCTGTTGTGAACATGTATGGATTGACGATATGATCATAGGTAGCAGGCCATACCTTGAAGCTTCTGCGTTGCTTTTTAATTCTACGCGAGGAACAAACTACTCTCCAGCTCCTTCTGCATGTATCCCGGACTTGAAATGCAAATGCTGATACACATTTGTGGTTGCATTGCTCAACATTGGAGCACGACGACCTCCTCTGGTGCAACTGCTAAGTAGTCCAAAAGGTTCCGTTTGCATCTAATTGTTTGCACAGAGCGGTCTCAGGACTCCTGGCTTTTTCGGAAATGTAATAGTAGAACTCTGCATGAATCGAGAATTTTCCTGGACTATAACTCGGTATATTCAGAATATTATAGTGTTTGAAAACCACCTCGGGGATGTTGGTGAGATGGCCGAGCGGTCCAAGGCGTTAGACTAAGGATCTAATCTCTTCGGGGGCGTGGGTTCGAATCCCACTCTCATCATCTGTCATCTATAGATCCTCTTTTTGGAACAGCAGCTTCATTAGGGCCACAACATGAAAATTGTATCAGCATGTACTATGATGTAGACGTGCGTTTGTATTGCATGAAACTACTCAGCACACAAAGAGCATATGCTTGTGCAAATTGTATTTTTATTTGCCTGATAACTACAATTTAGTTTTTAAACTAGCATCTCGCTTGAAAGTTGATTGAATGATTCTCCTCAGTGATGTGAACGGGCTGTGACGCAGGCTACGATCATCACGCATCACACCGTGTCATGCACCGCACTTGTCAGCGGCGAGCGCGACTCTGATCTGGTGGTGAGTATGAAGTTGCAAGTTACTGCCACCACGCTCCTCGATACCGTACATCGCCAGCCTCGCTTCCCTCTTGCCGCCGTGGACTAGCCTTCTTATCTTCAGCTGTCCCCGTTAGTCTACAATGATTCTCTTGGACGAGATTGATGTCAAAGAGAAGGTAAAGGTACGCTTTACCCCGACCCTGTCTCGCCTGCTTCTATAACTGGTCATTTCTAATTCAATTCACACTCCAGCGGGAGTCGCTACCACCCTACTCGCCCCGGCGAAGTCTTAGGATTCCCATTATTGCGACGCCTCCATCAACCGACAGCGATCGCTCGTTCCCAAACACGCCTCAAGTCCAGTCGTTTCTTCATCCTCGTTCTGCCTCTTGGTCATCAACAACTTTTGGGCGGTCGCAATCATCTTTGACGCTCAATAGCAACGCCTCTTCGCAGACGCTTCTTGCTCCGTTTCCTTCGCCACCGACGTCTGGTTCAATTCCTGGGCCATCCACATCTCAGATTTCAATCCCATACGCCGCCACTTTCCCTGTCCTTCCTGCATATCGTGCCTCTGCCCCTTCGCGAATCAAAGCCTCAAATAACGTCTATATTGAACGCGAGTGTGCCGCGATCACAGGCACCTTCCTCATTGATCCTACCTTACAAGTGCCAGACTGTCTTCTCCCAGATGATCCAGGCGCTCTTCTCTTTTGTAATGGAAAGAACAAGAAAATCTCAAATGGAAAGAAGAAACAAAAGAGAAAAAATCTGTGTCTTGTGACAAGGACTGGGGATATTTCTGTTGACATTTGGATACGAGAGGGATCATCAAGGCGCGGAACTGGCATGAGTAGGAATGGCGGTGTTGATTCTGTTCATAGCCATAGTGGCAGTAGTTCTCATTCAAGTCGCAATTCCCTGGATTCTCAGGAGACCTCGGACTATTGGAAGGATTGGACATCACCACCATCTTCACATCCATGGCCAGAGAAACTTAAGTCTCGTGTAGAGATTGACATTCGTAGCGAGTCGGGTTCCATCACTGTTCGAATAGTCAGTATCATCATTGTTATATTCTAATGGACTGTTCGATGAGGTCTGATTGTTATTTATTTGTCTCTTTTAGCACGCTCAATCTCATCAGCGGCTCCGAATAAATGCCACCTCAGTACGAGGGCCCATCTCAATCGGTATCCCACGAACCTTCGTAGGTCAGGTGGAGTCAAATAAGAATCTTGAGCGTTCCGGCTCCTCTGACTCGATGTCTTCCCTCTCCCTGTTGTCACCTATATCTTCGACGTTTCTCCCTGGTACTCCGACATCGTGGAGCAACGAGATTGATATATTTAGTCTCCCTGGAAGTAGCTCGAGTGGAAGTTTGCTTGGAGGAGGTACCTCGGCAACACCGATAACGCCTCGTCAGCCTGTGCAGTTCTCTTTGGATATGGAACAATTTGTCACCCCACTTGCCGAGCACAAGAAAAGTGCACGGGGCCGATATCTTGTAGGGGACAGCAAATGTAAATATATTTGTCTTATATTGTTGAGTAATTATCACCTATTGAGGGCTAACACTTGATCCTGTTGTCTTGCTATACAGATTTTAAGGAACGACCAGAACGGTCCTTTGATGAACTGCACCTTGAAAGCCGTACAGGTACGATAGGCGTCTTCTACGACGACGAAGCACCGCAACAAAAATCCGATAGGCTCATAGTAAAGTTATTAAATAAGGCGTGGTAGCCCTGCCATGGGACCTTGACCTTTACGTTAATTCTTATCGATTGCTAAAGCCTTCGTACTTCCGTCTATATTAATTTTGCCGTTGCATGAACACTGCATTTGCCATGCGTGTATTAGTTCCGCAGCTCTGGACCTGTTCACTCGATGTATAATTGACGATTATATGCTTTGCACCGTCGTTTATTCTTGTTTTATTCTCCGCAGAGCCGACTTCCTTTCATGGCTGTATCTATGTCACCGTGGGGTCTACAACCCACCTCTGATTTAATGTGTTGTTGTACATCTATTTGTAATTTCTGCATCTTTAGGAATTTTGTAGCGTTCTTTATTCGCATGTTAACTCCAAGCAGACTCTTACTATTCTACATGAAGTTACTATGCTCGGCATGATCTTTGAATTATCTTTCCTGTACAAACACAGCCTCACATATAGATGCATAGATGTCCATTTATCTGCTGTTTTGACTGAACGGGCAGTGCAAACTACATGAAATGTCATATATATGAATGATGAACGCAAGGTCCGAAGATGTAAAAGTAAACGGAAATCATAGGAAGCAGAAGGTTAACATGCGGTGTCATTTAAATAAACGCCCTAGGAAGCTTGTATTGGCGACTTCCTCATCAACATAGCACAATCTGATGCGACCATTATCACAGGTGATATCGAGTGACGACCCTACCCAGTCTCCTTTGCCTACAACCGGGTCCAAAATGGTTCACCTCTCAAAACGGAGTATGAGACAGACAATATTATTTGTAGGCTTACCGTAATTAGACTCGACAAAGTCACCAATGAACGACTTGCGAGATCCGCGTACCTCGCTGAAAGACGTCACGCACGATGCGAGCTCAGGCGAGAGTGTTGTCCAACCGTTGCGTGTCCGCGTTGTGAGTGGGCCAACAAAAGAACGTGGAAGTTCGACACGCACTCCGGCATTCTTCGCTGCAACGCGGAGTGCAAAGGGTGGCGAAGCTTTCGACGCATGCTAAGACAGGATAGAGACTCAGTAAGTCGACTGCAACTTGCAACGCGAAAGAGAAGATATTAGACCATTTTGACGTGAATAAACCCGTTCTTCCCGCGTATATCGATTCCTGCTTTCTTCGCCCCCGTTTCGTCGTTTTCTGGATCTACGCTCGTGTTCGGAGTACCTACAACCCAGATCTCTGCGTTCACAGTGCCATTCTTACATTCTATTCGTACATTCTTCTTGTCTGGGTCACCAGGGACAGGAGATCCGAAACGTGGTCCAAACTCTTCGTCCTCCTCTCTCCCATCCGAAGTATATCCATTTACATTAATGTTGGGAGGAAAGGGAAGATACGGGTCAATGATGATGCGTTCTGAAATAGGCCTGTTCGAGCGCTGAAGGCGCAAATAGCTTCTGCGGAGGATATTTGGGGGCGATTTGATTGAGAAACAAGGATCTTGTGGATTTAATGCAGTATCAGGACTAGATCCTGAACTTGAGGCGGCTACCGCTGTCGACGATGCAGCAACGGAAGTAGATTGCGCTGCATGACTTTGCCGATCATTCGGCGGAGCAGTGGGCAGACTCGGCTCCGCCGCGTTAACTTGAACGTGCGGTGAGGCTGAGTATGGAGGTAAGGACTCTCCTTGTTGCTCGGCATCCTGTATTTCGAGATGAAAGAAGCTTTACTGCCAAACTCCACGTATTCAAAATCGTGTACACGTACAGCTTCGGCTTGTGCTAGCTTATCCTCCTTGATGATCATTATCCAATAAGGATATCGCCTACTATTTGACAAATTGACAGATCTTAAAATCTGAAATGCTTCTCGGGGAAGTGGGTCGAGTCAAGAGTAAGGATAGCTTCGAAATCACGACCAATAGATATCGTGACCGGACTTTGAAAGTCGTAAATGCGGTACTTTTGTTACTTCGCGAGAACTGTGCCTTGGACAGTGGCTCTCAGAGGCTCGTTGCAGCCGGAGAAGGTGAAAGGAAGGCAGCCATCGCCTCACTTCATTCATAGTTGAGGTTCAGAATCAGATGGAGAAGCTTTAAAGGCGGCGCACTGGGGTTCCCTTTTCGGATCGGAGAACCCGTGACTCTACCCACCACACTCACAGCTTTTTTTCATACTTTGCTACACAGCCCATTTCTTCCTTACAGTGAAATTAAGTTTCATGGCCTCTGCTGGCTTGGGCGTAGCAGAACAGCTTGCGTTTATTGTCACGAAATGCATCTGCAGAAGTCCCAAAACCAAGTCTCTTCAAACCGATACTCTATTCACCTGCGCTTTGTCTGATAATCTCACAGGAAGAGAGGTTCAACAGATACTTAGAACGTCAAAACCGAGGTTGTTCCTCTTGAAAACTTCTGTGCTGTTATTTCGCAATCCTGTGTGAAATTCATTCATGATGGTGCATTCCGTAGCTGCTGTGCAATACTGAGGACACTGGTAACCGAAACTTGTTATCTGAAGTGCATCTATAGGCGCCAAACTCGTATTCAAGAATTGAAGGTTGCCTCGTGTTGCTGTTTTTTAAATGGAGACCAGGCCAATGCTATGCTATCCATGAAATCCATCCTGTTTAAAGCCAAACCATCTAAATAGGGCTCACCATCCTCATCCTAGTCTGCCCCCCAGAAAACATCCTATTCACTAGACTCTGGGTTCTTTCATCTACTCCACCATAGTGACATTTTTCTCAACTACGTGTTGCCTCTTTGCACTATTTGCCATCAATCAGTCTTCCTCTGAGTAGTCTGCCAATCCTGCTTTCTGTAACATGGCCTCCCGAAGGAACTCCCGTGTAAGTTCTTGGTGCACCTCTTCGTGTTGATACTCATTATGGATCCGGCATGTGCTATAGACATCTAGTCCTAAGAAGTCTAGCAATGCCTCAAAAGAATTGCAAATCTGTCAGGAATCTGGTAGAACTGTATGTACCGCGTTCACCTTTGCCTTATCTTATATGCTTATATGCCTCTCCTATGCCTTGGAAAGTATCGGCCTTTCACGGATCCTAAACGCATAGAATCAATCGATGCGAAGAAAGCTCCTATATGTGACGCACGAGCACGTACCAAAGGTGTTCCGGACTCGTTTCTCGGAGTAATGCAGGTTAGTGGTGCTATTTATTTGTTCCTACATTTGCCTTATGAATGCACATCTATATTTCTTTCAAGACCCTCCCTAGTGAAACTCAGTCTTGCCAGACTTCACCCGAAAATCAAGTACACACGAATAATTTTAATACTCCTACTACAAATGATTCCTACTATAGTGATATCCTCAACATCCGTTTGGAGACCCCCGAGTCTTTCTGCAGCCATCTCCAAGCCACGAGGACTCCGCTAGTACCCAACATACGCTCAAATGCTGAAGAAGCTAGTCCAGGTCCATTTGACTTCAGTCAGCATTACCTGGAACGACAGGGACATGAAATAGACACATCGGCTTCTCTGTCTCACCCATACTCGGGTTCTAGTACAATGGCCACTTCTGGGACATGTACAGAACTATATGCTTTTGATATGGAAAATCCTATCATCTATGCGCGTGCTCTTGACATGTATGGAAACTTGTCGAACTGTTTATGTGTGGACCTTCAACTTACTGGTCTTGTTTTCACTAGAGCCCAAAACTTGCCACTCAGCAACATGAACCTGGGTCTCCTGCATTCGCACAACGATCAACCCAGTGTCTATGCTCCGCATATGGATGCGTATTTCTATCCGCACGCGGGCTCGTACGCCTTTCTCGATCAAAAGTTTGAAGGTCAAGTTTTCTGATCTACAACATTGTCCCGTGTCAATTAGTTATAGACATGTAGCCATATAAACCACGTCTTGCATTTTCTTGTGTATAATGTCCACATGTACTAACTTAAAATACGAGTTCTCGTGTTTACAACAGCTAAACGCTTTCTTCCTGGCCTGTGAGGATTCCAGGCCTACGCCACCATAAAACTCAAGAAATCTAAAGCGTCCCTTCCTGCTTACATCACACAAAAACTGTGTCTGAATCCAGATACAGACATCACTTTTACTAGGTAGTACAATTTAGTTTTCTTAGCTACTTCATGCCAGAGTCCCACAGCGCCACTCTGTATTCATTTGAGAACGAAAACGTGAGGATGGTGCTTAGACCGTTCCCGAGCCGGAAATAGTGATCTTCGCCTTCGGCGCACCGGATTGGCTACCGAGGGTCTCAATCTTCTGGACGAGCTCCTTACCCTCGACAACCTCACCTGAAAGAAAGAAAGTCAGAAAAATGCAATGTGTTACGTAATCAATCTAGATGGGCGAAATGCGATGGAAACAAAACACACCAAACACGACATGTTTGCCATCGAGCCACGACGTGACGACAGTGGTAATGAAGAATTGAGAGCCATTTGTGTTTGGGCCTGCGTTTGCCATAGAGAGGAGGTAGGGGCGATCGTGCGTCAGCTTGAAGTTCTCATCTGTTCGCGCGTTCATTCAGTCAATTGAACACTGATGCTAATAGGTGGGAGGAACGAAAACTGTACCAGCGAACTTCTCGCCATAGATGGATTTGCCACCAGTACCGTTGCCGCGGGTGAAGTCACCGCCCTGGAGCATGAACGACGGAATGATACGGTGGAAGCTCGATCCTGCATAACCGAAGCCGTGCTCGCCCGTCGCGAGCTCACGGAAGTTCTTCGTTGTTTTCGGGACTACATCATCAAAGAGCTTGAAGACGATGCGCCCTGTCTGCTGGTCATTGATGGAGATGTCAAACTAGACAAACGCCAACAGGTGGATGTATGCGTCAGTACGTGAAGCCAGTTGACTAGAGCGGCGAGCGCGTGTGGCGCATCGACCGCATGAATTGAGGGGAAGAGATACGTACATAGACGTTAGACATGGCTGGGCTGGAGATGGTGGTGGTCAAGGAGAAGAGTGGAACTGCGTAGGGAAGGTCCCCCGGTTCTTATTAGGTTATCGTCCAAGCCGGTTGGTGTCCCAGATTGAGAGTGTCGTGATTATCGATTTTGGGGCTGATTAGATCAGATGTCCTCATCGAGACCCTCTATCGGCAAGTGGCGCTTTTCGATGCCCTCAATACCCATATGGCGACATGCATCTTCACCTGATCCCGTGTGGCACGCGAGCGTGTACCGTATAACACAGCAAATCAAGCGCGCAATCTCCAATTCGTCCTATTGGCTGAACTTGTACGATCTGGATCAGCCCAGACAGGCTTGCTTACTTATTTCCATGCAACTTCCTCATCCAGAGAGGAACGTGCTTCATTGAACGTTTGTGGGCTGTGATCTAAATAGGCAAGTGCTGTGAGACCAAATTTAGACACTACCTCACGATGCGGCCGGTTCTGCAGTTCTGTTCTAAACGGCCCGCTGTATGATAGTATATCAGCTGGATCGCATGTCTCAAATATACCGCCATGCTCATATTGAAATCATGTCTACCCAGACGATCTCAGCGCTCCTGTTTCTTGGCTTGTCTTTCGCATCCAAGTGCGCCAATATCGTAACTGCCCTGACTTTAGGTGTGAACAGTCGGATGTTCTAATTCTTGCTGACTAAGTGTTGCTCTCGTTCAATTTAGACAAGACACCGCGAAGTGTCAATGCGCTGGATCCATACCCTGGCAAACTTCGAGTCACTTTCAATGAGAATAGAACATTTAAGATTGTATGTATTATCACTCCTCACAAGCTTACCAATTTATGATACGGAGGCTGTTATGGAAAAGACAGTTTTCTCTGACCTGCATTTTGGCGAAAATCCTTGGGATACATGGGGCCCAGAGCAAGACGTGAATAGTACGCGACTTATGCGTACAGTCCTCGCCGACGAAAAACCGGATTATGTGTGAGTTCAGTCTATTCAGACAGGGTCTAGCATTGTGCCTTGCTACTGTTCCGCTAACTGCTTGTACCTGTAGGGTACTCAACGGTGATCTCATCACCGGAGAGAGTACGCTATTTTCAATCACGTATTCTTCATATATCTTCTTAATTTTATCTCTTGCTCCATGGATGGCCGTGAAATAAAGACACTTTTAGAGAGAACTCGACAAAGCTCATTGATGAAATTATGTTACCTATAAATGAAGCCAATGTCAAATTCTCGTCTACTCACGGAGTACGTATATTTGATGAAGGTGCTGATGACTTTCTCGTTAATGTCTTCTCTTTAGAATCATGATAATCAAGCCAATATTACTCACCTGGAAGAAATCAAGCGCGAACTTCTTGTCGCTCCAAACAGCTATACGCGTCTCGCTCCTCCTGGGGTAGGTGGTGAAGAGGGGCCAGGAAATTATTGGGTTCCGGTAAGTTCTAATTAAATCATCCGACCAACGACCTGAACTATTCGCGCAGGTGTACACAACTGCGAGTGGTCTGTACTGCGTTGTTCCGCTCACAGATGCGAGAAGCTAACCGTCTTATATAGATGCAACGCCTTCTCTGATACTTTGGTTCTTTGACTCTCGTGGTATGCATTTATAATAATACAATCCTGCTTCATGCTATCTTACTATCTTCTCCCATACAGGTGGTTTTGTTGAGGGATCTGGAACAACACCGGTCCCTGATTGGGTTGATGTTTCAGTCGCGGAATGGATTGAGAAAGAGTCAGCGGAAATGGTTGACGCGTGGGGTCCAGCTGAGGAAAGAAGTGCGATAGCATTTGTGCATATACCACCGTGAGTACTGCCAACCCACAGGCCGACTAAGACTTACCGTGATTCATCAGTCATACTATACAGGCGTTGCAACCGGGTCTAAACAGCACAAGGGATCCCGGACTCAATGGTCTGTGATTTTGTTAGTTGTACGCTACATGCCATCGTCTGACGCGCACTTGAAAGCGGACCTGCTCGGCTCGGGATCGACACAAGCAACGACAGATGCTTCCAATGCTGGCAAGGATGATCCATTCTGGACAACGCTCACCGCAAACGTGAAAAATTTGCATGTAGTCATTTCTGGACACGGTATGGTCTTTGTGCCTCAGACATCTCCACCAAGGGTTAAAATTGCACCTCAAATCCAATAGATCATGGAAACGAATGGTGTGTTCGTGAGCCAACACAGGATGTTATTTTCTGCTTCGACAAGCATTCTGGGTGAGGATTTATTCCACTCCCAAAGTTTCTGAGGAAGCTGATATTTCTTGCGGACTGGGAAATATAGTTATGGTGGATACTCGGGAGACGGATGGGGCCATGGCGTTCGAAACGTCATTGTCCAGTCTCCAGAGCCAAACAGCACTCTGGATACGTGGATTCGCCTTGAGGACGGAGAAACTAGAGCCAGGGTCTTGCTTGATAAGAATTATCAGTGAGAAGTAATTCAGACACGTGTGTATGTATGACCGCTAGATCCTGGGAAATTTCTCTTTTCGCAACAAGTGTGCGGAACCGCTATTCCATGTGTTTGTCGTGATTGACTACTATGTGTGAGGTAGCATGCCGTTTGCGTCAAATGATGCAATCGACAGTTCGTAAGGATACCGTAGCAAATTTGCAGAGACCCAGGTTCAAATATTCTGCTTCCGTGCGAGGTGATGTGTCCGGCTGAGCCGAGGAGATGACGTATTGTGATCCGCGGACGGTCCAGACACTGTCGGCTACGGCGAGGAGATGGTCATGCAGCCGGATTAGAACACTGCCACAGTGCCAGAGCTGTCCCATGATGAATTTCCTTTCCTAATTTCTTCTGAGTGCTTGTCGACTTGTCTCTGTCGTCCACCACCTCTCCCGCCTCCCGCATTGCGCCCTGGGCAGCCGTGCCCACCGACGCCGACAAGCGCAGGGGAGAGCACGTACTCAGCGCCTGTGCGTCCAACTGCCATGGCATCCTCGTCTAAAAAGTCAAGCCGTCCGCACGAAGTAGTCGGTCCTGTCAACACCAGCAATCTTCTCACTTGCCCAAATCCTGCGTACCTGTTTGATGGCGACGAGCTGCCAATGTCAAATCGGGATCACGGGAAAAGAAGCCGAAGGCATGAACGTCGTGAGAGGATGCAGGAACAGGAGACTGTGCTCAACCTCATTGACACAATGCGTCGCGGTGAAGAGGCGAAGACACGCACCCAGAGTCGCGGTCGTAGCGGAGCAGGCTCAGGTGCTGCTGTGACAAAAAATGCACGTATAGATGGTGGAGGGCTACGTGTGCGCTGGGCACGGTTCAAACAGCGTCTGGGAACAGGAAGCGCCCTTTCGGAATCCCTGCTTGATGGTACAGGCGCGTCTTCAAGCAGCTCACGCTCTATACATCGATACATGCTCGGTCAAAACCAGGCTGCTGGTGACGAAACGGATGATGCCGCAGAAGTAGACGAGGTGGTTGTTGATAACAATGCATTGGGTACTCTCACAGCTGGCTCGCAGGTGAGTGAGCATGGCGGGACAGGTCATGCTGCGTCGGGTAGCGGGAGACCAGAGATACCAGGTGTAAAAAGCCACACGAACTCATTTGGGACGATGGATATGCAGAGCTACGGCATCTGGGAGTCGAATTGGATTCTTTCGTTCTTTCGGTGGACACTCTGGGGGCTCGTCTGTCACTTCTTCGCGTTTCGGTTCAGCGAAGAGAAGCGAGAGCATGACTTTCGACGCGAGACTTGGTGGTCTGGCAAGACACTCGGCCTTTACTCGTCATTATTTTTTGTCGTCAATTGGATTCTCGTCATTGCGCTCAGCACGCGCCCATTTGTTCTTTCCGACATGATCTTCTTCTATGGCATCGGTCCCCTTATTTCACTCCCAATTCCTTTCCTGGTAATTTATGATTATCCCTACAAGAGGCCAAAACTACACCAGGCTTATCTTCTGGTGTGCGTCTGGGCTTGGGCTATATACACGACATCCTATATGTACGCTTGCGATTTCTATGCAGTCCGGGGTCCGAATCATTGTGGTAGACGTGATTTTATAAGCGTATTTTTGTGCGTTGCTCTAACCCCAAGAATTATGAGTTATTAATCTTGCAACAGCTTTGCTATCGGTCTTCCTGCAATAGCCATGTTCGGTTTGCGACAGACTCGTCTGACAAATATAGTTGGGTTCGCCATATTCTTCATCTTGAATGTACGTGAATCAGCTTTTCCTCTGAGTCAGCGCTCAATCAAGCTTCTATTTCTTTCCCCAGGTCGCGTTAATTCTCCCAGCGCACCCAGCTTATACTCGAAGTATGTTACTTGGTACTACAATGAGCTGCTTCGTCACAAGTAATGCAAATACTCTCTTCCAGACGTCATAGACGCTCTATTGTTTCATATTTTCCTGTCGTATATACATTACAAACGGGAAAATGTTAAGCATCTTCTTATATTGCTATTGTCGAATTCGGGGATTGATCTGCGCTTGTTTCAGATGGAGCGTCGTAATTTCTCCCTACGTGATCAGCTCAAGGCACAGTTCCGTGCTACACAGAAAGCGCAAGTCAATGAACGAAAGGCCAGCGATTCTAAGCGGCGTCTCACCTCGTATGTGTTCCACGAGGTCCGTGTCCCACTCAACACGGCTTGTAAGCATGCGCTCGTAGCTTGCTTTTCTTTGCGTTAAGTTTTGTTTTTAGCGTTGGCAGTACAGAATATGGAAGCGATGGGTCAAGTCCAACAGTCGAATGAGATTGAATGGACGGCACTCAGCGGAAGTTTGAGTATGATGTCGAAGGGTAAGAAAGAATCTGGATACTTAGTCCGTTGGCTAATCATATCATTAATAGTATTGAATGATGTCCTCGACTTCGATCGTCTGGATTCCGGCCGTTTTACTACTGTCAAGACACCGTATAATCTCGTAAGAAATTATTTAATCATTTAATTATATAGCCGCGATATTAATAGTGGTGTTTGTATAAGCATCAAACCATCCGTTCAATTCTTGTCCCACTTGGTCTAGCTGCGAAAGCACGGGGCCTCATTCTTACTGATGAACTGGACAAGAACATTGATCGGATCGCCCGTCGAGCATTCCTATCTGCCAAAGGTCTGGATGCAGCAGCGATTGCTGCCGAGCTAGCGAAGTCAGATGAAGACGGTTACGTGCTTGGTGACGATATGCGTCTTCGTCAAATTATCAACAACCTTGCGAGCAATGCGTGCAAGTTCACTCCTGCCGGCGGACACATTCGCATTGTTACGAAGCTAGTGTTTCCCGCGCTTCCAACAACTGGAGTGTCAGAAGGGGATGCGTCCGAGACTATAGCGGAAGGTACTCCAGCCGTTGCACCTGTCAAATCTGATCCACAAGGGCCAGTCGGCAGTACACAGAACGAAGGGGATGGGCCTACTAGCAAAATTTCAAATTCGCAAGACGAGAAGCCTCCAATACGGTCGAAGTCAATTGACAAAAGAGAGGCAGAACATACCTCTGTCCATTCCTCAAACCGATCTTTCCGTCCTTGGCATAGATTTTTACGGAGAAGGGAGACTAACGCAACAAAGACCGGGAGAGATGTATTAGCTCGAGATATGTTGGATGCCGCCGAAAGGGGAGCCGTCCCATCCGCCTCGGCCTCGACGCCATTGTCGACCGCACTACTCATACGACATAATTCGGTTGACTTGAATGCTCTAGACCGCATTGTTGTTCGCATCGAGGTGCATGACACCGGCGTCGGTATTCGAGCTCGAGACCTTGTCGACAACAAGCTTTTTAGGTATGTCTAAGTGTTAGTGCTTCACTGGTGGCCATTGATTAACACCCTTGTTGTCAGTCCTTATGTTCAGACCGAGGTACGAGAACAGCGAATACGAATAACTTCCTTCTCTGATGTGGTCTGTTCAGATCGGAAAATACCAGGGGGGTAAAGGAACTGGATTAGGCCTTGCTCTCGTGCGACGAATTGTCAAGCTCAGTGGTGGTCGTCTTGGTGTAAAGAGCAAGCTTGGTGAGGGAAGCACGTTCTGGGTCGAACTTCGTACGTTACCACTAGGTACTCCAATTGTTAGCTAATTAGACCTTTGATAGCCCTCGGCATTGGACAGTCAACCAACGAACACAGAGAACGTCTTGACCTTCCTCATGATGGTTCTGACTACTCTGAGGGCCAGCGTCAGCTTGCATTGGGGCTTGAGGAGGCGAAATTCGCCCGTGCAATTGGTGAAGGTGAAACACCGTCGACAATGGTCACTGAGCAGGAGGCCGCGCTTACGAAGGACAAAGATGCTGAGCATAACGTTTGTCTTACGATACAGTCCAAACGTGCACTGAAGAACGTCATGGACCAAAGAGGTTTATTTGAAATTGTGCCTCCACCTCTAGCCAAGGCGAATCTCGGAGCATCCAAGCAAACACCACTCACACAGACACCGAAGCCTGATCTTCCACCACTGACACCGTTCGTCGTAGGCATGCCACCCACGCCGCCTTTGTCTGGCTCGGAGGTTGAACGGTTTGGCGACTCGAATATGTCTGCTGCAGTGACACCAACCGAAGAGGAGAACAGAGCTGAGTCAAGTAAAAGTGCTTTCATGTCGCCTTTACCGCCCTTGCTTCCGTCATACTCCGCACCCGGTCCGCTTGAAACGCCGTCAATGTCAGCTGGAGGTTCAACTTCAAATATTCTGCCAGGCAAGGGATTGCGGGTGCTTATCGTAGATGATGACATGATAACGAGAAGCCTCATGTCGCGGATGCTTTCTCGCCTTGGATGCACGGTCACCACCGCTGAAAACGGGAAGATTGCACTAGAGAAGATTCTCGGCGGTACTATTCCGGCTGGTGTCATTCGTGGAGAGCCTGGGACCGGCATGGGCATGAGTACCGGCATGCCGCCTCAAGAAGCTGAACAAATACCAGAAAAAGAGTACGTTTACTTGTTCGATGTCATCTTTTTAGACAATCAAATGGTGGGCTACACACCTCCGAGTTCGATTTTTCGATGCTTATTTACTTTCATAACTAGCCAGTAATGTCTGGCCTAGATACTGTCGCTGCGCTAAGAGCCCTCGGACGAAAAGACCTGGTCGTCGGAGTGACTGGTGAGTAAGCTATGAACTGTAACACATCATTGTAAGGAACTGCTTTCAGGAAATGCTCTCTTGACTGACCAGCAAGAGTACCTTGATGTTGGCGTTGACAGGTTCGTATTGCCATCTACCATTGGTCACTTCTGGTTTTAATGTTTCTCTCTTTCTTTCTAGAGTCCTAACGAAACCAGTCCTTGAGGGTAGCCTTAAGGCTATGTTATCCGTCGCACTTCAACGGAAGCAAAAACGGACATATACAGTACAGGAATTATCCCCTCCTTGATAATGCTGATGTCTGTGGCGAAGAATTTCTCATGATGAATATTATGTATTGCAATGTCCTTTGGTCTTCTCTTTTTCTTCTTTTTTCTTTGGGAATTCTTGATATCTTGTTATAGTTGGAATTCAATGTAGGATGTCTTTGTACATTCCATTACAAATATGGGGTTCAGCTCTAGTTACTTACTCTTTCTGACTAAAGACCTTGTATACATACAATTTTGCCATCCATTAGTTGATTACCCAATGACTTCATGACACCTTATACTACTTGCACATGCCTTCTTCATGCATTTTTTTGGAGAACAATTTTAGAGACAAATTATGAGTAACTTATTGTATCCTGCTTTAGTGTCTTACATATTATCATGCTCTATACACAATGACAGGCACCTATTCATTCTGAGTCATAGATAGGCTATGAACATACTTATCACCAGTTTTTGTTAGCTACCATAGTATGGATTTCTTTGTTTGATAATTTGAGTCTAATGGAGGACTAAGGTAATGAATGTCTAAACTCTTATAACTTCATCTATTCTACTCAATAATAAGACTGCTTTCCATCCATTCACTGGACCCAAACTCTGCTAAAGAAAACAGAGTTAAGATAGTACAGTGAAGAGAGAGGATCCCCTAACAACACAAGCCAGTAGTGCAATAGCAAGGTCATTGCACTTGTCGGGTTGCAAGCAGAGCCCGACAAAGCAGGGGCGGCAAAAATCAGATAACCAAGAATGAGGGCGGTGCCCTCATAATAGTGGTTAAACTATTAAGAACAGATACTACACTTGATCTAAGCCAAAAGGCCAGAGTGATGAAGATTCATTTGAGTATCGTGCGCAGGTTATATAGGAGATAGTGTATGTGCACGGGCCACACTACTTTTTGGGAAATATGGCTCAACAGATGAGTAACGCTGAGAGCAGATTGATGTGGAGCACGTGGCGACTATTTGTGCAAAACTCGGGACTTCTATATATGTATAAATTTAAAATGGCGTCTTAGGATTTTGCTTTCTTAAAGCGGGCAGATGTTGGATACGTATAACGTCAAGTCTCTTTGACTGTTATGAAATGGCATTGCAAGGCAAGATGTGTTGAGTCGCGTCCAAAGGAAAAGTACATGAAGTGCCACTCAGAAGTGGTATTATTGTACATAGAGGAATCGTATAATGCGAAAGGACGAAAGACGGTCCCTGTTGCCAGAAGTTTTCCTTATTGCTGGCTGGACTAGTAAGTTCCTATTATGTTTCCTTCTTTCGTTCAATTCCCTATTTAATCTGATGCCCGGCGTGTCAAACGACAGACGCGTTGGACACTGCCCATGTTATATGTAGCTATCTTTCAATCCAAGTGCCTTCACCTTTGTTCCCAGGCTTCGCAGATTTTAGGAGATATCTCTTCTTAAGAAGGATTGTAGCCCTGACACTTGTTGTGATCATCTTCGGCGTGGCGCTCTTGAAATGTCCCTACAGTCTGCCACCGGCTTGTGTGGTAGCACCTTTTGTTTCATCCTCCTTGGATGGTCTGGAAACTAATGACGGTTCGTTATGTTGAATGATCTTGTGCACTCAAACATAGACCCATCTGCTTCCCGTGTTATGCTTGACTCGTTGTGCTTCAACCCCATCTTGATTGCAGGAAGACTTTGTTGAGCAGGAGCAGACAAGAAGATGCGCAGTTACATGGCCAATACTCTTGGGCCACAAAATAAATGGATAGGTTTGCATCAGTTATTCCTGTCAATGCAGCTGTTAGATGCAATGCTCAAAGCATATATATCAATCTGTGATTGATTTTGCTGCTTCGTTTATTTATGAATTTTGCAATTGATCAGCAATACATGTTTCATATTGCTTTACGTAGAAGCGGGTTTCCCATCATGAAGTAAATAGACCAGCGCAACTTATCGTGTGAACAGGATAGTGTTTTGCCACTCCAAGACGGCCTGTGAACCTGACTAAATGCGAATATTCACCTGCTTCTCCGAGAGGCTGTGCTCAAATGTGCACATCTCCTTACTAAATGGTGATTTTCTCGATCCGACAGGACATATGGCACTGATTCTTGACAGAAATGGAGAGATGTCAAACAATCACCCTCGCGATGTGCCCAGAAAGCGCTGGATGTCGCAGCAAAACTGCCTCCGATATTGACGCCTTTGCAATCAGACTCAACACGCCTCAGCAAACGTAAGAATCTCTCTCTGAAAAATACGATATAACATCCTTTCGTAGGTATTGCAGCAAGAAATGTAGAGGTAGAATAGGAAATAAGGGAAGGAGGTTGTACCATATCGACTCGACAAGAATGAAATTGAATCGAAAGAGTGAAGTTTAGACGTCCTGGTCCGAACTCGAGGACACTAGATCAGGGTCGATCAAGGGTTAAAAAAACTATGGAAGCGTTCCTCGTTTATTCATTCAAACGTCCCGAAACTTCTTAGCGTTTTTCGGGGTAAGTGCCCGTGTTCGTCGGCATTGGTGCTGGGATGCCCGCACCCCCTGTAAGTGCACGCTCCTCAAGTTCCAATTCACGAGACACCTGCGTGAGCTCACACGGAGTACAGCAGTATGCCATCATGAAGTCGCTGCAGCCATCACCTGCGATGCGGTACCGGTTGCGGACCGCTGTCCTTTGACCGATCTGCAGAAAGAGTATTAGAACCTCATTAACTTTCACCAGAAGAGTACAATAACACCAACCTGGAGGACCCAACCAAGACCGCAGCAGCATTGAAGGAGGCCATGCACGAAGCAATCGCCGTTGCATGACTCCCCAGATTCTGGATGAGGTGCGTTGCGTGTTTCAAGGTACTGCAGGCGAGACTGGATCTGGGAGTAGACCATGCACGGGCAGCACCAACCCAAGCAGCAGGTTCCACAATCGTCAAAGCATTCGGAACAATCGTGACTCCACTCGCGCTCGCCGTTTCCATCATATGGGATGTTCTTCACATTACGCGGATTCATGCCAGGTACGATACCTGGTTGCACTGTTTGCACTGGATGTTGCTGCATGGGTGGGGGAGTCATCGTATTGTGGGCGGGTTGCGACATATTCATGCCCGGTTGCGGCGCGTAGGGTTGGCCGTACTGCTGAGGCTGAACTGCAGGTTGAGGTTGCTGACCATACCCGTACGATGGCGCCGGAGGCGAGACGTTCTGAACGTAAGGATTGTAGTTATTTTGCTGCATGCTAGTATCGGCAACGGGGACAGGTGACGAATAGGCCGGAAGACTTGGGGATCTAACGGGCTGAGCAGTTGAAGATGGGTATGAAGACTTGTCGTCGCTGTGTAAAGGCACAACAACGGGACTTTGTGCCAGCTGTCCGTGCAGCTCCTGAGAGTCTTGTGGCGGAAGGGTTCCTGAATAAGGCTGGGTTGTAGAGCCCTGAGATGTGAAGGGATAGACGGGTTGAGGGGCTTGTGTGGACAAACTCTGCGACTGCTGGTGCGTTCTGTCGTAAATTATTTTTATATTGTGAATACCAACAATTAAGCTCTTTAAAAGGGTCTGATGAGACTGACTGTTGTGGGGGTGCTTTGACATCTTGATGCGCCGGGTTCGCGATTGTAAAAACTTCGCGCGGCTAGAATCAATCAATCAGCATCCACATATCTATGAGAAACAATTTAGGAGGAATGATCGAGATAGCACAAGACAAGCCCGATCCATAGGGAATGGACGTAGGAACAGACATTCGGAACAGACACTCTCAGGAGCTTAAGCGTGTTATGAACAAGGAAAGTATAGCGACGGAGAAAGCAAGACATGACCTGCTGACGCTGTTGAAAAGTACTTACGGCCATAATCTCGCGGGTGACTTTGAGAGAGCGAGTCCAAGTGAACTCTGTCGCTGCGCCAGCGAGTCTGATGGTTTATATGGTCCAGCAGCTGTCGGACCTGAAGATCAGCCTCAGTGAATGGAGGCAAGTCGTTCATTAAATACCATCTGGGTAGGGCTGAGTTAACCGAACGACTCGTGACGATCCGAGGGTCGCGCTCTAAACATGCGCATCACGAATCATAGATTCATGTCAAGCGAAGGCGCTGCACCGTCCGCGCCCTACCCTAAGCGTATACTTGAATTACTGAATTGTTCAACAGAAGCTTCCAAGAAGTTGAAGGCTATGTGCATTGACACGAGATACGTCGTGCAATGCGAAGCATATACTGTAACGTGATCCCTCTTTTCAAAGAATCCCTCTTTTCAATTTTTGCATTTGCACACTTTACACAATACCTTACACTACCAAAAAATTCAATGAGGTATATTTGTACTATAAAAAATATATTGTGTCTTTTTTTCTGTAAAAAAATTGATGAAAAAATTAAAAAATGGTAAATACTACTTTTTCCAATGGTAGCTTCAATTGTAATTAGCTCTATTAATTTTATTAGTAGATTTTTTGTTACAATTAGGCTTCTTATGTTTTCTATACATGTATAAGTGTTCTTATTATAATTCATGAGTAGTATGCTGATTGTTGTGAATTAAAATTGTAGAAAGATTGGTTGAGAGTGACAAAAGTGTGACAATTGTGCTAAAGTATGGTAGCAACATAGTGTGTTCACAAAGCTTACACGTGTCAAATCATTGTGACAACTTGTGACAAAAATTGAAAAGAGGGATCCTCTCCCTTCCTGCCTCAAAAAAAATCATAAAAATTTTTTTGAAAAGAGGAGTATGTTTATAATATATAGATATACATATGTACCAATTTTACAGTTAAAAAAATGTGTGGTTGTGGCTGTAGAAAAAAATTGAAAAGAGGGATCATGTTACAGTATAGCATGCAATATCACTAGGCGTTGGACCGATTGGAGAGAACCGAATATGTACTCGCAAGAGGATTTGTTTTAGGTGGAGAGGCGTTTATGTAATTATTTGTCACTTTGTGCCCCTAACCGTCAACTTCACCTGTCTGCAATGTAACAGTTACTACATTCTTGTTATTCTTTCACAAAGCAACAGATATGACTTACTCTACTCATAGGACGTAAGGGAGCCACGAGAACTCAGGGTGTCACAAGAATCGAGCAACTTCTGATGGGATAAAGTACATATTAATGAACAGCACTAGTACTTACTTCTGTAAATATATGCAATTCTATCACTACTTCTTCTAGGTAGACATCTATTTACACGAGAAAAGCAAATTTGCGGTTCCCCGAATTATTTGGCCACAATGTTCTGTAGATTATAATAATGTTGATATTGCCTTCATAGTGCTGGCTGATCAAGATGCAACTCGGATAAATAGGAAGCAAATGATCGTTGCAGACCATGATTAGACTTTGCTATGGTAATCGAATAACATGGTACCGATAATGTTGTCCAAGCAAAGACGTTGTCTGTTTGGGATTAAGATGAAGCTTGTCGAGCCCTGGGCCACGTTACGCGACGAATAAATACGTGCAAATACAGGTACACCATGTTGTCCGAACCTCTATCTCATCCCACGCCTGCATGAACTTTTTATAAACTCGGTGCACAACAAATCTCGTCCGCAAGCTGTCAAGAGGCGTATCCCCGCAATAGTTGGGCCGCAGCGCACTCACAATGGTGTCAATACCCCAAAGGTGCCCATAATAGACGATGCATCCTCTGCGACTATACCGCGTCGGAATCAAATGTACGTTTCAAAACCTGCAGCTACTGCAGCAATGCTCGTCTTCGGAAATAACCACCGAGCTTATCGAGCCCACCAGGTTGACGGCCCATACCAGGTGACGCGAAGTTACGACGGACATTTGCTGTACTACACACCGAATCGACGTATGGTACTGGCTTTCGCTCATTTCGACTTGGTCTCTTGACGCTGAGCGGGCCGTTCGGCCCGAGCTTCTCGGCGACTTTAATCAGCATGAAGTATAACTTACTACTCTGTGGCCGATGTGTATAGTTCACCCATGTTTAACGCGCTATGCCAGCAGCTGCAAGTATATCGCCATTTGCACCCAACCCTGTCAAAAGTAGAGATGACCTTCAGGCCTTGCTAGTCGGACTCTTAGATGCCCTTGCTCCTCATACCTCTGCAGGCGGCGCGCTTATTTGTCTTGGACATACTGCAACCCACTATGACGAAACCGCTGCACAGCTTGAAGGATTTTCGCGTCCGATATGGGGACTAGCGTCTCAACTTGCTGGGGGTGGTAGATACGTTGGCGCGAAGCGGTGGGTAAATGGCTTCTCAAGTGGTTCAGATCCAAATCATGGAGAATTCTGGGGAGACATGCGTGACAAGGACCAGCGCATGGTAGAATGCTCTGCCATAGGATTTTCGCTTGCAGTAGCAAAAGAGACACTGTGGGACCCTCTTTCTCAGGAAGCCAAGACTAATCTGGAGAATTGGCTCGGTGGGATGAACAATAAGCGAATGCCCGACACAAATTGGCTTTGGTTCAGAGTAAGTAAGGAGTTACTGGAAGCGGAGCCTGATTATAATTGTGATCTGCTTTTTTCAGGTCTTTGCGAACCTTGGGCTTTCAAAGGTTGGCTCACGGCGTTTCGATGCAGAGCGGATGAAAGCAGACCTGGACCATCTCGACACATTCTATGTTGGTGATGGTTGGTCGCGCGATGGGCCGGAGACTGTCTGCCAATTCGACTATTACTCGTCCTCTTTTGCCATTCAATATGCTCAGTTAGTATACTCGAAATTAATGCAGGAAGAAGATCCAAAACGCTGCAAAGAATACAAGCGACGTGCAAAGGAGTTCGCAATCGACTTCATTCGCTACTTTGATTATGAAGGTCGGCTACAAGCAACACTTGATTTCTAGAGAAGATAACTAATTAGTTTATCGTCAGGTCGCGCCATTCCTTTTGGGCGCAGTATGACCTATCGCTTTGCACAATCCTCGTTTTGGGGTGCCCTTGCATTCGCAGGTGTGGAACTACCAAGTCCTCTTACTTGGGGAGTCGTCAAGGGTCTTCAGCTCCGTAACATTCGCTATTGGGCGAAGCAACCTGGGGCTTTCAATCCCGACGGGACTTTAACCATCGGATTTAATTACCCGAATCACAACATAACCGAGAATTACAACTCTCCAGGGTCTCCATATTGGTGCTGCAAATCATTCATCACCTTGAGCCTTCCACCGTCACACCCTTTCTGGACTGCAGAAGAAGAACCGTACCCCGAAAGTCTGCGTGAGTCAGTGAAGCCGCTGCTTCGCCCGTTGCACATCGCGACGAACCGTGGCGGACACACGTACATACTCTCATCTGGTCAACAATGCAGCTATTCCCTTAAGCAAAGCGCCGCAAAATATGGCAAGTTTGCATATTCGAGTGTTTTTGGGTATAGTGTACCTGTAGGCATTGGCACGCTTGCGGAAGCCGCACCAGATTCTGCACTCGCTCTTTGCGATGTTGAAACAGATTCAGCATTAGAGTTCTGGCGTCAACGTCGTGTCACACTTGATGCACGGTTTGAGACGGGAAAAGACGGTTCGACATGGCTACATTCGGGCTGGCGACCATGGCCTGATGTTGACGTTGAAACGTGGCTTATGCCTCCTAGCGAGGCAGCACCCTTGTGGCATCTTCGCGTCCATCGCGTACGTGCAGGTCGAAGACTACGCGCAGCAGAGGGTGCATTTGCGATATACGGTCAAAGATGTGATGGACGAGCACTTGATCCAGTGAGTGACGGTTCAGAAGAGTTTGGCGTTCATCAAGCTGGTACTTCGGCGCGCGCTGCCTCCCGTGCTGGTGTTTCTGGGATCCTTGCTCTTGAAAATAGTGAACAGGTTCCTCGGAAAGGCGAAGTTCTGCGCCTTGATGCAAACACCAACCTAATCGAGGCGCGTACAGTGCTGCCAATACTTATTGCCGATATTCCTGGTGACGGAAGAGATTTATGGCTTATTACTTCTGTGTTCGCTCTGCCAGCTGAAGAGGGACGGGAGGGCGCACGAGCTGGATGGCTGGCAAAATGGGAGAGTACCAAGCCGCATATCCCTGAAGAAATTGCGGTTCTCATTGGGTGATTGAATGAAAAACCACACACGCTTAATGCAGATTTAGCATGCAGGAACTACATCACAACGGTATTGCATGACAGAAATGCGTCTATGTGAATCAACGATAGTTCGAATATGTATTGTGTAAGAAGCGACATGTCAGAGCACACCATGTCTTAGTGTTAGCCATGAAATACGGAATAAAGAGGAATGGCTTTTATAACTGTTCCCACTGCACCATTGCACGCAATGCTTCACAATGATACCTTGCAAGGCCTTTCGCCTTAGGGTTCCATGTCTTACTCTGATCGCTGACACGTTCAGGAAGGTCAAAGTAGTACACCCCTGTACAAAGACAGCTTACTTTTCATCTCCACCTTTCATCGACGTCACCCTATGGTCAATCTTATCGTTTGATTGAAAGTGCAGCCAACGGTTTGAGCTAGTGTTTCTCGTTATATCTATGTTCACGCTTATCGGCGTTAGGAGATGAAGAGACTTTGCGAAAAAAAATGAGAAGCCGACATGTCTGGTTGAATGGATACGTCTCCTTCCCTTATTGTAATCTCCGGCTCAGTCCAAGGCAAGATGCTAGATATATGAACTCCTCAACGTGTGCTGTAACGTTTGCAAATTGAGAGTGAACAGGCAGTACAAATTCGTGAGGACGAAACTGTGCGAAAATGTTATATAATCTTAAATCAACACATGGGCTTTATTTTTTATTTTTTATTTCTGACCTAGATACTTCCACGACGTCCAATAGACTCAGACTTTGTTGTCATCCAGGAATGAACTCAGACCAGGGTGCTTGATTGCTATATCTACATAATTTATCTGCTGCTGTTCCTGCTGCTAGTTCCTGTCTTCCTCTTCTTCAGCAGTATCCTTTTTTCCCTTCCAAAACTCCAAGTGCCTTCCTGGTATCCTTTGCCGTAAGTGGCGGAACTAGGAATTCTTCTTTTTACCAGTCTCCCCTCCGAGTTTCCCTTCTCTGTAAGCCTCCCTGGCCCGTGCCTCAGTCCAGCCATCAATATCATGTTCCTCTGGATGTCTACTTCTAATGCTTCCAGTCTCACTATCATCATTGTCACCCTGCTTGCTCACATTATTACTATTGGCTCCTTCCTGGCCTCGACTGTTTGCAACTTTCTTACTACTAGCTTGACTAGTGGGTGGTGTTGGCTCGATAATCTTGATCTCAGGAGTAACTCTCCCATTAGAATCACGGCGAGAATGCGGACCATCTTTGTTCTCCTCTGACGCTTGAAAGTTGCATGCAGCATCTTCAGGTACTGTACTTAGATGATCACGACTACGAGGGGGCACATTCGCGTATCCAGACAACGTAGCAATAGATTCGGCTGCTTCTTCAGTATATTCAGATGTTTTTGATTCTTCTATTTTATGGGATGTGCTAGAGCGACGCATTCTGATCGGCATATCTCCTGTCCATGATTATAAATTAGTTCAGAAGCAAGTAAAAAGGAGGCGATACTCGAGTTATACGCCTTACTATGTCTGTCCGGTGGGTGTGTACTGAATCCAATTCCAGAATGGACACTTGTTCTAATTACGACGGGTTTGTCTTCATCCTCCTCACTGTATTTCTTTTCCTTTCCGAAGAGTCCTACTCCAATGCCCACTGGGTCACTTTTACTTATAATGACGTCAGAGCCCTCTCTCTGCCGCCGAGCTGCAGAGGCCCTGGACGGGCGTCGCTCCAGCACGAGCTGTCCTTTTTCTTTTTCGCGTTTCTGATTCTGTACCGGCTTTGGCATTTTGTATGAGTGAGAATAAGGAGGCCGAGGTGTATGCGTGTAAGTCGAGGTAGTGAATCAAATCGCAGACGAGTGAAGAGGCCCACTGGTAAATTCCTGATTATATGCACCTTACTTTGAGTATCCTACACTTCTCTTCCAAACCAAAAAAACAGTGCAATTTTAGGTGCACCAACATCAGATGTATCATCCTAGGAGCATACTATTGATTATAACTTACGTTAAAATGGCATAATCGAAGCATACTACTACACTCCATCGGGTCAGGTTCGTTCGTCTCGCACACTGAGCAAAGCAGCAAGATAATTTCTCTCAGCAAAGAAAGCTCGACACAAAGCGTCTGCACTTTGCCTAGTGCCACCACACATTCGCAAGTGGGACGACCCCTCCTCCACAAGCTTCTTTACACCTAAACCCCCTTACTCCTGGTCTACCAGACTTTAATTCCTCATTACATAGCTGGTCATGCCTGGCCGGACAGGACGAGGGGCTGAATCTTGCAACTCTAATCCGGGAATTCCTAATTAAATTGTATTTCCAGGCCTCAGACTGACCATTCGCCCAAAGCATACCTGCAACCAATGAGTCAACAAGGAAATCAATCCGACTTCTGTATAATGGACAGAGCGAACAGAAGCCGAGAATTGACGTGTATGTCCGAGTCGCTTTCCACGGACACAGTAAAATTTCTTCTACTTTCACGTTGACGTTTCAAAATCAGCTTCGTTCTAGCTTAGTTACCGGTTTTCCTTTTTCGTCAACTGAGTTTACAATAAACCACTTTCAAATAAAATCAGAACAAGTGAGATATAAAATACGTATTGCATTGAGGTACGAGAGACATTTTTTTACATGTGCAAGACAGAGAGACAATCAACACTATTCTGCAACCCCTTATTCACCAGTGATAATCGATTTGTACGTTTGGAACATGGGAGACGATCGAGAGACGGAGAAAAATAAAAGCACAAAACTTTACTACGAGCAGAATATAATAGGAAAACGAAAAGTAGAATACGGGGATCGATTGGAAGTGGTAAGCCAGGCGCTCGCTTTGCACATGCAAGTAGCAAACACTGAGGCGAAAAGATAGCGAAGAGGGAAAATATTAAAGGGTGCAAACTGGTTAGTGTTTAGCAAGACAAGCATCAAGTAGGAAACCATTGTAGCTTTAAGGAAGCCAGCGTGGCAACCGACAAAAACTCGGAGGGAAAATGGACCAGGACAGCAGCGGAAGGCTGTAATGCCTCGTGAAACCCAATCGGGACGGTAATTGAATTCCACCGTACGACAATGTTGGTGGACGTGGAAGGAAGCAGCCAAGGAAGAGTTGAATGGACGATGCATCGAGAATCAAACTGGAAAAAAAGAACGAGTGTGTGTTTTCTGATGACTAGAATCAAGGAGAGTGGATGAAGAACAGTGGATTGTGTCCATTGAGTAAGCGGAAAAGATCACGAAAAAAAGTGGAAATACTACGAATGTGTCGTCACCCGAAAAATTGCGTGTCGTTGGCTATTCTATCACTTGATAAATGATCCTCGAACCGTCCCTTGTAGAATTACTTCGACGTCGAAAGTGCTTGCCTGCAGTTTCCTTCCCGACGTCCAGACTCCCGTCATCCGAGTTTCTTTACACCCCAAATCTCCCAAGTCACTGCTTTGAGCAACCTCCACAGCTCATCTTCTTAAAAAATCCCTTTTTCTCGGCACCCTCTTTCTTCTCCTGCTTTGCATTACCCAAAGACATTGAACACAAACTATCCGCAAGAGCATCTGCGGACGAAGACGCAGTGGATGCGGAAGGCTTTCGGTCGACGTCGACAACCTGAAGTACAGCCGTACCATCGAGAATTCGACGAACTTTGTCTGCATCCCACGCACGACTGCCAGTTGCTGCCGACGCGAGGTGAGAAGGTACCGGTGAAGAGCCGGTGCCAGCTCCAGAGAATGCATCCCAGAGTGCGTGACCCAACTTCTGCAAGATCGTCTGGCTCGCCAGGTTTGCCAATAGTGCATGCGTCTGCACCTGTTCCCTCTGCTGTTGCGCACGGCGGTTCTGCGCTTGTTGTTGTGCACGCTCCTTCTCGCCAATGCGCGGGCTCGATGGCGGAGTTGGAAGGCCATGGCCATGCGGGTTGACACTCGAGTGCAGTTGTCCGTGGCTGGAATAAGCGTACGGCAATCCCTTGCCGGACAATAAGGAACCAAATGGTGCTTTGCCAGTACCAGAATGAGAACCCGCCGGTGTCGCTGCCGAAGAGAAATATTGGGGACGCAAGTTGTTTGCGAGGCCCGACAGTCCCAAATTCTGGCTGCCAGTCGGCTTTGGGGATTGTGAGGGAGAGGAGTGAGGAGATGGATAACCGGTGCCGTTGTTTGATGGGCGCATACGCTGTGCCTGCTGGGTCTGCATAGCGACACGCGTCCACAGCTGCATTCTGTATGCATCGAGCGTCTTCAGTGTAAATGGGTTTACATCTGTGAAGGAATCGAACGGATTCGGCGAACCATGACCGTACAATTGCGAGAGAACCTGGCTCATAGCTTGGTGCTGTTGTTGTGACTGTTCTGGCTGTCCGTTCAGTGCCGGATTGATATTCTCCTTCCGACGGTCCGTCGCCGCACCACCAAAAACCGTCGTCGTCGTCTCTGGAATGATTGCGGTATGCACAGGAGTGATCCCACCAAAGTTGCCAAACGCTGCCTGACCACCCCAAAACGGAGAAGCACCGAGCCGCGGGCTCGTTGGCAGGTCTTTGTGGGTATTGGGCTTGATGATATTACTGCTGTTGCTAGCATTGCTCCCAGAACCAGTCGCACTAGCATTGTTGTTTGAAGTCAATCCAGGTAAAGGAGAGAACGATGAGAGTGGAGATAGGGGTGACAATGGTGCAGGTGGAGGCAGCATGGGGCTCGCACGGCCCTCAAGAATCGCCTTCTTCAGGGCAGCGACTTCCTGTCGCAGTGCAGAATTCTCCGACTGGGTGCTACCGAGCTCCGAACGGATAGCATCAATCAGTCGGTCGCGGTCAGCGATGTCACCTTCAAGGGTGTGGATGTATTCTGTAGAAAGAATGCAGTCAGACCAAACGAATCTCGCGTTATTCAGAAGGAAATATGAAGGTTATAAAGATGAGCATTCCGATGATGGAGCATATGAGTCGCGAGATGAACAGCGAAGGCAGAAAGAATATTAACAGATCAGATAAGAAGTGTAGCCGTATTATCTCGGATGTTCACAGGTCAAATGGCAAGAAGGAAAATAATTATTGAGAAATCTGAGCAGTCAGAACGAACCTTTTCTGCGTATCCGGAAGTTGCGCGCACTAATCTTGTTGCGTAGCTGGCGTTTTTCTTTGCTGCTCATCTTGGCATATTCCTCGGGACTCGGTCGCCAATCATCGATGTCATCATCCTTTTCATCATCATCCTGATCCTTATCTTTCGAGCCCCTCTTCCCAGCATCCTTGGACTTGCCGGCACCTTTGCTGCCGCTCTTGCCCACAACCGAGCTAGGACCTTCATTGGCAGACAAGGAACCAAAGATGCTCTGTGGTCCAGGCAAGGCCGGCTTTTTTGATACGCCACCAGATTGGAGCGTACCGCGACGAGCCTTACCCTTTCCACCAACTTTGACGGGAGCGATGACAAGATCTCGCGGCTCATCGTCCTCGGAATCCGGTTCGGCTCCGATATCAGAGGGCGATTCTGTCGACGACGGAGCGGGTGTGCCAACTAGCTGAGGGTCGATGGCAAACGCGTGTGACGAATTGTTCGAGGTTGTCGCAGAATTTGTAGAAGGAGCGGATGCGTTCACGGGCGCATCAGAAGTGGCGTTCCCCAAGACCGAGTCAAACGAACCGAAAAGGTCGAAGGGGGTATGGGAGAGACCAGCAAGCGGGTCGGTGCCCGGCTTGAAGTAGTCGCCGCCACTGCTACCGATGGTGAACATGGACTCTTCCTGGATGGGTGGCAAGCCACCAAATGCAGACATATCGACACCCATGCCGAGGCCGAGGCCAGACATGTCAAAAGACTGAAGCGCATCAGGCTCCGAGGGAGTCCTGAGATTGGCAAAGTCGGCGGAGGGTGAATCTGTACGTGCCTCAGAGGAGGCACGAGAGGAAGATGAGGCGAAACCGGGGTGGCTTTGGTCAGCTGTTGCGGAGGATGGAGATACTGAGGGGGCGGCATCGTCATTTGCGGGGATGAGCATATCGAGGTTGAAGAAGTCTTCGACGTTGAAAGAGGCGGGGTTGTCGTACATCATGGTGGGTGGATGAAATGGTTGTTCGAGGACGGATGAGCGAGGCATGGTTGAGTTGAAGAGTTGGGATGTGGTCGTGGTTCTTTGGTAAGTAAGGGGAGGCTAGGCGACGGCGATGTAAGTCGCCCAAAAGGGAAGGCGTCCGAGTCCGAGGCGACACGCACGACGCGCGTTTCGGCACAAGTGTGACTTTATATTTATTCGCTCCTGCTGCTGCGCTTCGCATTCCTTCCACGTCTTTCCATCATCAGCATCAATTTCTCGCAGTCCGTGCTATATTTTTTATTTTGTTTTATTTTCCATCTTTTCCGTCTGCATGGATGCGTGCTTGACTAGCGGCCACCAGTGTTGTCCTGTGGCAACCGGCTCTTGGTTGTTTTCTCAAAGGAGATGATCGCCACACATATGTCATCTCTCGAGTACATATTTCTTTTTCATTTCTCCCCGGCCAGCCCCGTCTGTAATGATCCAGCGTGCTTTTGTGAAACCTGATTCGCCTGGTACGCAGCAGTCACGTTCAGCAACTGCCAGTGTACCACGTCAGTCCCCACCGTGTTTAGTAAGCACTAATAAGCATGGTGGATCACGCTCTTGTGCGTCCGAACCGGACTTACACACTCTGACTGATCTCCATTCAGTAGTCACAGCGCTGGTCGTTAAGTAGAGTTGCAAAAGGTACTGATAGGATGTAATATTTTACGAGTCGTTGTTAATGGAGTATCCTGATTAGTGTATTTCACAATTGATTCGCCCACACGCTTCGTCATATCTCCTTATATCAATACTACCTACGAACGCCGATTGGTGCTTTATTCAACAAGATATATGATATGATGATGATGATGTCTGAAGATAGTCATTAAAAAGTCAATCTACTGACACATTAATAGTACTTGTTCTCCTTGTCGAAAGCTCTTATTCCTATGGCTCTAAAGATATTCCGGCATCCAACAAAGACGTAATATGCTGATCGTATAACAAATTATTTCAAGTGACCTGTGCAGTTTGCACAGTATCGAATTCAACAGGAACTTCTTCGAATGTCGACGTATCGAGTGTTCCTACTTTATGCTTGGCGACGAATTCACGGAGTTGTTTGAGAACATCAGTCTTTTCCTGCAACTGAACAATTATCAAAGAGTTGACCAAGAGACAAACAATGAGAGTAGGCTCTAGACCCACGTTCATGCTCGTCGCAAGTCCTGAAGAACTATGCGAGCAGAAGAATAAGGTCTCCTTCACGGCTATACATTGGATTAGCACAGCGTAGTTAGCGCATGGTAGTAAATGGAAACCTCACGTCCAGTGTTATCTGCGTGGGTAATCTTGAATGGCCTAAGACCAATCCCACTATCTGCAGAATCCGAATTATCTGTGTGCCTTGCTAAGCTTGCTCCTTTATGTCGTTTTCTTGAAGGCGTTGTCGTTCTCGCGGGTTCTTGCGAAGTATCAAAATACTGGCTCGAACTTCTGTTTCTTGCGATCGCAAGCTTAAAACCTCTCTCAACCCTTTCAGACATGCCTTTTCCGATGAAACATCTGAAAATATCATCATGAGTAAGGAGTTGCAATGCATATTGTGAACGAATACCTACATGAATCGAGGTTTATATTTTACAACTTTCCGGAGCAGGGACGGTACGCCTTCTACCATTTCCTTGGATGACAACTCGTCCTCCTACATAAGAAAAGAAGCGAGAAATTCTATTCTTTATGAAACATAGACGGAAGTAGTACTACTTACGCAACTTGAAGGACGATCGACTAAATTAATCTGTAGTCGTCCCATAAAATTTCCTCAACGCATGTTCTTAGCAAAGTAAAGACCTACTATTCCAATGTTATACAAAGCAGGCAAAGTATGGTCTTCCGCTGGAGGGACGAGACGATCTGTAAAGCCTAGGACACCAATTAGCACTTCGATTCTAACTTCCTGCAGCAAGAAATATGAACCTGATCCATGGAGCATTTTATAGAATCTATTTCCGGGATGAGCGAAATGATGTCCCTCTGTTGCAGAACGCACTCCAGGGCTACGCGAAAGAAGGAAGGAGATAAGCCTCTCTTGCTATCACATTCCTAAGTTGTTGTGAGAGTATAACCACTTTATCCCGCAGAATAGCACTGTTTTTCATATTTCGGTCAGACCCGATTAATTATTAGCAGTTGAATGGCTACCGTCTAGGTAATCTCCAAGGCAGTCTGTGAGGTGATCCAGATGCGCATATTTCTCTGGACCAGCATAGCCTCGCTGCTTTTTCGCCTTCGTAGGAGAGTCATTTAATGCCGTGGTGAGTTGCCTCTTCTTTACCGGGCTAGGCAGTCTGGATATAACTCGCACTGGCTCTTCCAAAGCCATACCTCGTTCGCTGCGCCTTGATGGTTTGGGTGACGGCTGAGGAGAACGGAAAGTGAACTTCTCCAGGGATAGTCTGAGCTTTGATTTTGATTCGTTTTCACGGGCTTCATCTAACTCTTCATCTTCTATCATGATCGTTGGGAAAGAATTCTGGAAGGCTGATGTAGACAATTCAGATCAGAGGAGCTAAACATCATACTACCTAATTATGGATACTGCTGATCGACATGGACCAAATAAATCGACAAACAATGCTCAAAACATTTATTTCTAGACAGCCTATGTACATTTCACAATGGCGTGGAACGAATCTTATACGCGCATGATGAGCTGTTTGATAGCGGACATCCAGAGCCCAATGTCATCTGTGCGAGAACACTGGGCTAGCATTTCCGCATGAAGTGCAAGGGAGTGCTGACGATCCCCAGCGGCCATTGCTGAAGAACATGGGGGTTACACATATTACGATGTTGGATTAGAGGAGTACGTACTTTCTGAGAGAACGTTGAGCCGTTCTATAACTGGGGGTGAAAGAGTCTCGCAATTGAGAGCATCAAACAGTAAGTTCAGTCGACGCTCAGTGTCATCGACCATACGTTTTTGAGGGGGCTGAGTTAAGTTTTAATGAGCAAAAAGTATAACCAAAAAATATGTCTACTCACCGCGCTAGTCTGTTTAAAACGCTCAAGAGCCTGCAAGAATATCTCGTACGAGCGTCTCGACGACTCCGGAATATGCGAACGATCACCAGGAGCTGCCGAGAAAAATAACGTCAATAAATCTAGATGGCTGGATTTAAAGAGAACCCTACGGTATTTGGGTTGCGGCGGTCCGGGCTTCGCAGCCGGGGTACGAGGCGGTCCTGCCGAGCTACTCGGGGGCCCTTGTGGAGGAGGTGCAGTTGAAAGCTGCGGTGCCGGAGCCGCACCACCAGGAGGTAAAGTCTGTCTTGCCAACGAAGGTGGTGGTGCGTATGGTCCAGTAGGTTGTTCTTGTTGTTGTGCACCTGTTTGCTGAGGGACTGGCACATTAGGACCGGACCAACCAGGAGGAGGAGTGTCTCGGGCATATGGTTTCGTTACAGCAGGCGGGCCAGCTGGAGGTCCTGAAGGCCCACGAGGCACTGGAGGGGCATAAGGCGATTGTGTAGATTCATGGCTCGGTTGCACTTGCGCCTGCGGTGGCGAGAGCACACGGCCAGGGGGTGCAAACTGAGGCGGACCTCGAGGTGGTGGAGGACCTGCCTGTTGACCTGGAATATGACCTGGAATAGAAGGGACCTGCTGTGGTGGTGAGAAGGTCCTGCCTGGGGGAGGGATATGACCGCCATGAGGTCCAGGAGGTCGTTGACCTGGAGGTGGTGGACCAGGCATAACTTGTGATTGGCCTCTATTGACACTTCCCGGTCGTGGTGGAGGTGGGAGTCCCTGCGGAGGACCATGCATGGCGGGTGAACCAGGTACAGACTGAGGTGGAGTGGCATTCGGGAAGGGTGAAGTAATTGCTTGCGCCTTTCCTCCCGGCACATTTGAAACTGGTGTCCGACGATCTAGAATTGGTGCATCGTTCCATCCAGAATTATCTCGTTTCTTTGGAGGCGGCGGTGGGCCACTAGGAGGAGGCGCGGTCGAAACAGGTGCGGACGGGGCAGACAGTTGTGATGGAGCATATGCGCTTTGGAACTGTTGCACTGGCACCGAAGGCTGGTAGGTAGTCTGCATTGGGGCTGTCGCAGCCGGAGGAGCATAAGGATTGTTTACTTGGGTTGGCACTGCTGATCCGTTTATATTATATGGTGCATATGTCGGACCCCTACTCGTGGATGAAGAAATTGCGGGAACTGGTTGCGCTGCGTATGACGACTGCTGGTACCCATATGGGCCAGGCTGCGATGGTAATGTAGCTGCTGCAGTCGATGGTAGTGCCTGAGTTCGAGCGGCAACTTTCTTTCTATGCTCAGAACCGGCAAGAATGCGCTCACGCGCCATCTTGAAATCAAGACCCGTACCGCTTGTGCTCTGATAGTCTGAAGGAATAAGTTTTAAGAAGCTGATCGCTTCCTCCAATAGACCCTGCGTTGCCAGTAAATCAGCGTATTCGTAGTACCGTTCATAGAGTGCCGTCAACTTGTAAGCCGCTGCAGGATCTGGCACCACCTTCAAGTCTGCATCTGAATAGCTCGTAGCATTACGGAATATTGTGACTTTTTCCATGAAGGTCTGCAATGCATGCGCGTGTGCAGAATAGCGTGAGCTGCTCCTCTCGTCGGCGCCAGCCAAAAGGTAGTTTTCTTCCTCGGCCATTTCTTCAATCCAGATGTTTACTACTTTCTCAAGCCGGCCTGCGGCGAGATATGTCAGAGTAGCGTTCTTCCTGAGTTCATCCGCAGATGCTGATCCTGCATTTTTAAGGATGTTTGCGTGGAACTCGAGACGCTGGCCGAGCTGTTCCGCGAGGTTCGCGAACTCGTCGGGTTTTGCGAAGGTACAAAGCACAACGAAGATTTCTCGCCATTCCTGCAGATCAGCATTCTGGACAATGTCGTCCAAGTCCTCTGTGACAATCGATTGGAACAAACGGAGGTATGGCAGATTAATCGTACGCTTCTCAAAATATATTTGTTGAGTGCGCTGAAGAAGCTCAGGACCACCCTTTACAGCCAAAAGAATTGCATCTGCAAAGCGCTCCGCTGACAGGCAGAGCGTCACTGCTGATTCAAAATCACCCATTACCAGCGACTTGGTGATAAGCCTGTCTATTTCGGACTCTTCAGAAGGATAAATGTGGAATGTGTTGTTCTTCAAAGTCTCGGATGCAGCAGAAGACGGACGAGAACCGACAGTCGCAGCAACAGACGAGTCTTGGGCGTAGTTGGTGTGTGGAATCTGGACACGCTCAGGGACAGCACTACGGATGGTACCCATCGTACTGAAGAAATCTGCTTCGGCATCTGTTTGAGGAGTTCCAATGTCATCGCCGAATAGCGACGGAGCCGTCGTGGTCGATTCCCCATCAACAGCACCAGCAACATCTGTGTGATCCGATGTCGCACTCGTGCTCTGTTCAGACGGTGTGTGCTCTGGCTCCTGTTCAGGTTCAGGCTCTGGTTCAGGCTCGGCAAATGATACGACTGGCTCATGAGGCTTTGTATGCTCGTGATCCAACTCCTCCGTAGGTGCTTGAGTCGGCGTAGCTGTCGTTTTGATTCTCTCGACTGCCTCAGCGACCCTAGCAGCAATGTCTGCCTTGGAAAACCCTAGTAAGGTAACAAGCTCTTCCCTTGAATCTGTCTTGAATAAACTCGTGAGAGCCTTCCAACTTGCAGTATCGTGGACCTTCCGTGCCTCTGCATCGGCGGCTTTCTTCTGAGCAAATTCACTGAGGTCTTGCCCATCTGCGGCTCCCTTAAGCTCCTTGACGCGAGCAATAATGTCCGGCTCAGTAACAACTTTTCGTAGATGCACAACACCGCTTTGATGTTTGCCCTGAGCCGATGGAAGGTTTGATACAGACACCAGTTTACCACCATAACCAAAGGAGCTCGATACTGGCCGACGCAGCCACTTCGGTGGCTGCTTCAAAGACAAGGTTGGTTGTGTCGTGCGAGAAAAGCCCGGAACGTCAAAAACGTCAGACCCATCTGCCTTAGGTGTTGGGACGGGTGCTTGCGAATCCGCAGAATCATTCGTCGTCTGAATCGAGTGAATACCAATAGTTCCATCGAAGTAAGCGGTTGCTGAAAGATCAGGGTTTCGAGGACACCACTGGACCTGGAAAGCCCAATTATCGGCGTATGGAAGTTCACCGATGACCTCAGCTGTTTGCGGATTCCAGCACAGGGCACGGTTGTCTTTACCACAGGACAGTAGCAGATCAGCGTCTTCTCTGCACCAAGAGAGGGACAAGATTCCTCTCTCATGACCCGTCAGTATTTTTTCCGGAGCACGCGCATTTCTCAAGTCCCAGACCATGACAACTGGAGATGCGTCGTCCTCTGATGAAGTCACCAGCCTGGTCGCCTGTGAAACGTGTTAACAGACAAATTTCTGCAGAATGAAATTATCTCACATTATCGGGATGCCATGCGACGTCACTCATACCCTTTCTGCCTGCGGCTCCCATGATGTTGAGTCCTTGTGTAGCACCACCGTATGCAAGAGCTACAACCTCGCGTTTGTTCCTCAGATCCCACACAACCGTGTAGCCTGTGCTGCTAGATGATGCGAGGACATATTGGACTTGTCTGTTCCATGCCAAAGACGTGATCTCATCGAGCTTTGAGGATCGAGTGCCTGGTGAATACGGCTTACTCGGATCTTTCAAGTCCCATATATAAATCTGTGGCATACGGTGTGAGTATTATTAGAAATAATTGACTTTAAAATATACTCACTTCCCCATTTGTGGCCCCAGACGAAAGCAAATTGGTCTGGATAGGATTAAAGTCGAGTCCGCGTACTGATCCTTGATGAGTGGTGTTGCGCAGGATGAGGGACTCTCCGGCACTGAAAACACGTAAGAAACGCGCATCACATATAGAATGAAGACATACTCAGATGTTCCAAGTATTTTTTCCGGGTCCCACAAGCCCAGCTCGCCATTCTCCATGCCAGCAGCTATGACACCTTTGGCACGACCGGTATTGGGCAAACCCCAGGCGAGTCGATTAAACCTGAAGCAGAAGTAGAAATACTCGATTTTTCCTGAATATATAGTATAGCTACCTTGACGTGGTTGAAATGAATGCCTTTGGCCCATTCTGAGCAATACCGCCTAGATCATATTCCTCCTTGTCCATAAAGTCCGGAGCCCATATCTCAAGCTGGCTGTCATTGCTGAAGGACTCGTCGAGTGCACCAGCAACAGTCCCAGAGACCAGCAGAGGGACCTCGGGCAACGGCGACCAGGCGAACGTCGCTGTCCTGTGAATTTCTTTGAGTTTCATGGCTATCGGAGAAGGTGGAAGAGCTGCAGATGCACCAGAAGCTGGGACGTGTCAGTAACGATGTGGTCACGCGAACACGGCGTGACAAATAAAATACGTATATTTGCTGCATATGTACATTTGTATTAGATCTTTACTTGCTCTCCAGTCCGGAATTGAGCTATCCCATTCAACGGACACTCATTCTGTGGCCCTGCTGAGACTACCAGCGGTGCTTTCTCTTGAGGTTTATTAGCGTACCAAGAAAGGCCCTTGTACCCTCTTTTGAGTCTTTTCTTGAGTCTTTTCCAGTTCATCCGTCAAAATAAGTAATGCCGTTTGGTGAGGTCATAATCGGGCCTCCTGGCAGTGGAAAGTCGACGTACGCCTATGGGAAGCACCAGCTCTTTACCGCGCTCAATCGACCCATCTCTGTCGTTAATCTGGATCCCGCGAATGATAACATACCGTATCCATGTGCTTTAGACATATCATCGTTAATCACACTAGAAGACGTCATGACTGAGCACGGGCTCGGACCTAACGGTGCTATGCTATATTGCATGGAATACCTTGAGGCCAACTTTGATTGGCTCGAGGATGGCCTTCGAGAACTCGGAAAAGATGCATACGTCCTTTTTGACCTGCCTGGTCAAGTCGAGCTCAGTACGAGTCATGACAGCCTCAAGCGAATTGTGGAAAAGCTCACACGAGTCGGATTTCGCGTACGAGTTTCTTTCCTTTATTTGTATTACTTTGTCCTGAATACTCATTCATTAGCTAGCCTGCGTACATTTATGCGACGCACACTATGTCACCGACGCGTCGAAATACGTCTCTGTGCTTTTGTTGTCTCTTCGTACGATGCTCCATCTCGAGTTGCCTCATATAAATGTTTTCTCCAAGGTCGACCTTGTCTCTCAATATGGCGATCTCGGTAAGTCGCATATTGACGTCAGGGGATCCGCGTACTGAAATAAATATATAAAGATTTCAACTTGGATTTCTACACCGAAGTTCAAGACCTATCACACCTTGAAAATCTCCTCACATCGGCATCGCCGCGCTTCGCTGCCATGAATATGGCCATGTGTTCACTCATTGAAGATTACTCTCTCGTCGGCTTTGAGACTCTTGCAGTAGAAGTACGTTGTATATTCACCGTCTGATATTCTTTGCTGAGTATGAATGTATATTTTAGGACAAGCATTCCATGCTGCACCTCACGCACGTAATCGATCGGGCAACAGGATATGTCTATGTACAGCCTTCAAATATAGCACCACCCGGCACAGTTACTCCCGTAGGAGACGAATCAAATTCTCGATCGCAGCGCCCTAATGAATATGCGCTCTTCTCAACCGCCGCTGGTCCTCTTCAGGGTCTACGCAGCGACGTGCGTGACGTACAGGAGCGTTGGATTGATGCCCGAGAGGAATGGGACGCCTTTGAACGACGCGAGTGGCGTCGTGAGGGTGAAGCCGTGCGGGATGCGAAGGCAAGAGAAGAAGCCGCAAAGAAAGAACCGGGGGCTACAGTAGGCTCTGAAAGCGGATCGGTGAACAGCAGTGGGCTACGGCGCCGGTAAAGGGTAAGAATGGGAGTATAATGAGCCAGATAGACCAGTCACTCAAACGTTCCTTGCAGAGATGATCACTCTCTTCATTGCTACTTTTCTGATTTGACAATGAACAGCTTGGGGTTCGAGTAAACCGACCATATAATATAAATCTCGATACATAACACTGCAGAATTAGGCTGTGTCGATCACATGCGCACACTGACTACCACGGTCCGCTCAACTCTCGTCTGTCTCGCAGTACAGCCAACCTGTCTGTGCCAATAGGACGGGCTATTTCGTTTTGTCGTGGTATAGGTAATTGCTCAAATCCAGCAAGGAGATTGCCATCTAGGATGCCCTTTGTGAGAGGTCTCGCGACTCCGTCGCTGCGCACAGCCCTGATGAAGAAAAAACTACTTAGACACATTCATGCAAGTTGTCAGCTTTCCAGTATGACTTACCGAAATGCTCGTGGATTTAGACCTGCAACATGCTGCATGTTGCGCGTTAGCTGTCCCTGGAGAAGTTGAAGGCGCTTCGCCGACTCGTCAGCGTCCACAGGAGTAAGAGCATACATTGACCCATCCACAGCAGCTTTTCAGTATTAAAAATGTCAGATATATAGTAAAGTTCACCAGTGAGTGTCATACCGCTGATGAGCCTGGCCTGTGGAACAAGGCCATCATTTTGTGACCGACGAGCAATCAGGACAGTCGTATGGCTTTCAACCTGTGCATGGTATTCTGTTCGCCGAAGGAGATACTGGCCGCTGTGAGACTCAGGATCTGATATGAATTCGGAATAAATCAGTGGAAGCAAATAACTGAGTCAAACAGTCCAGCATACCAGAAGTGTCGTATTCTAGAAGACGGATGATACCTTCCTCATCGCTCACTGCGATATAGAAGTCTCCATCGGAGGCAAAAAGAAAGTCGGCAGTCATAACATCAAGTCGTTGGACCTCCTTGGCGACTATTACAAGCTTGAATGGGTCCTCCTACAAGTATCGTGGGATATAATAAGCCGTTGTATTTCAAAAAGTGACAGGAAAAAAATGCGGTCGGTACCTGGAATGCGACAAGCCACACGCTTTTAACCGCGTCTCCAATAATGAGAAGGTTTTTGATGGTGCGTAAGGACGTGACGTATACGCCAACATCCAGGAAGGCGACTCCAACGAGGCGCTCGTCTAGATCTAAGGCTCGAACAAATATCTGTCCATGAAGGCCATTAGAATTAATTGCTAGACATGACCTATTTCGCATTGCCAACCTTCTGACCCATTGAAGAAACGAGATACCCGTTCATTCCGCACAGCGCTGTGACGGGTCCCTTCGCCTCGTCTTTGCACAGAAGACGAAGCTTAAATTGTCGTGCAAGTCCACCTTCCGGATCTGGCACAATCTCGACAATCTCGAACACGTAAGTCTACACCCTCATTGTTATAAGCCTTCTAAGAGAACCGTTGCCAATTGCGGTTACGTACCACCCCTTTAACTGCCAAATCTTCTCCTCGGTTTACAGTTGTGCCGACTACAATGAATTCTTTTGTTCCGCTCTCCGTGCTCTGAGTCTCAAGTTGCACACAATCCAAAGCAGTGACAAATTCATTCGGCTGAAACTCGTATCTAGGTGCACGTCCGCATAAAATACAAAGAATATATTAAAGGACATGAACTTACCCGTCCATTACGCAAGAAAGGTCCGAATGGAAGAGTTCCAGTGCGGACATCACAGAGTGAGGGTAATTAATATTTGGAGCTTTGAAGAAATGCATCGTAAGTACAAGTCTGAAAAGGGAATGATAACGTCACTAACCGTCAGGCTCCCACAGCTTGTTTCCTTCTTCATCAAAGATTGTGAACGGATTCGGTACCACAGAGGATGCGACCATCAGGCCTGACGCCGCATCGAAAGTCACATTTGTATATGTGCGGCCTACGGTGACCGTCTTGGAGGGCATATCCGTGCCAAGATTGAATTCAGGAATCCATCCTAGGAGGCATGGTCCCTGTAATACGGCAAAGGTCAATCGATGCCACAACTCATGCGGTTTGGGAAATGACATGCCTCATCGGTATGCATGAGGAAGTCACATTTTGAGTCCCAGACGGAACAAGATGTGAACGAATTAACAGTCTGGAAACTACATGAGTGGATCTTTAGTCCATCCTTGTCCGTGGCGACAATCCAACATGGTTCATCGCCTGTGACGAAGACGCCTGAGACGCGCTTTTCGGAGTTTGGGGAGACTATGAATGGGACAAGCGACCGGAGAGCTCGTCTTTGCTCCGCTATCACCGAAGATTTTTCCGCTGGCTCAAGCTGACGTGGTTCAAATGAGCGGGTACCCATTTTGATAAACTTGATTTTGAGCGTAGACGTCCGCACGGTCGACTCCGGGAAGTCATCCTTATCCACTGCCACTGCTTGATAAATCGCTAATTGTCCGCAACGCAGCATTACCTGTCGATGTCATGAATACTGCCTCATTCCTCAGAAACTTAGAATGAGACATACAATGAGGTGAGGATGGGGATATAGTTCTCCAATCTGTGCAAATTGCAACAGCTCAATGTCGGCCTCCTGTGGTTTGCGAGGTGGGTCCTCCGGCAACGAAAGTGCTGGAGGATCAAAAGAATCGGATACCACGGACGGCAAGTCTTTAAGGGATGACGTTGAAAATACCAACGCTAACTTAGGCAACGTCCATATCTGAGAACCTTTGAGACAAATGTAGAAGAATCTCTGATAGGAAACGGACCTCCACGACCCCCTGAGGTCGGCACAGAACAAGCCATTGAGTTCCGCGTTGAGCATCAACAGCAGACTCGAGCGAACCTGTCCCCATTCTCTGTTTGTCATCCGAAGTGCCTGTAGTAGGTGATGATTCGCTCATGTGAAGTTCAAATATGCCACTTTGGTCCAAGAAGAAACACCCAGCAGAATATCGGGATACCTATTCATGGATCAGGATGTGCATGACCGATTCTGAAGGACGACTACAGACCTTTTCACCCATTGGCGTCATGTCCTTCCTTCGTATTCGCCCACGTTCCGCATCACCAACGAATAAACCCAGTGACTCGTCCTCCCTTATGACGAGGATAAACGGATCGGAGATACAGCAAAATCGTATCTTCGGTCGTTTATTTGAACCATCCATATCCCTGATGCATTGTCGCTCACTACAATCTACGGATTAATTTTATGAGATCAGTGAGAAATTCTGGAGTACAATCTACTTTAGCACGGAAGATCCGCGCACCTGGTTCAAGAACACGTATAAGATCAGTTGTTACATGGATGATGGCAGTGCGTTGAAAGAATGGTGCTGCGCCGATAGTCGTCTCCGTTCGACGCGCTGTGATTGCAATATCATTCCGAGATGATTTCGCGGCGAACTACACGAGAGGGTAAAACGGCAATTTACAAGTGAGAATGGACTGAAAGAAACTACATACTCGAGTCAAGCCAGGAGACGGGTTAGCATCCGTACTGACTATCACCGTATCGACTACTTCGGAAGATCCGGGAAGAAGGTTTCGTGACCGTTCAGAGCCGTTGACCTTCAATGACTGTCGAACTGGAATACACCAAATACCCCGTGCTCCACCAACTGCGTGCAATTTTCGTTTGGAACGGGTGGGAACGTCTCGCTAGTTACTCGACAAACTTTAGATGGGACAATTACGTCAAGAGCAGAAAGAATAATACCTGGAATAATGTGAAGCCTCCAAGCCTGGCATATCCTGTTGCGGCTACGAGTTCTGCCGTTGGACGATCCTACAAACAAACGTAATGTGATGTTCCGTCCTTCCGCCGTAACAGAGTAACTTACGCCATTCCTTGTCAAGGCGAAGGCCATGGAATTTATCGGACCATATGCAGATAAAGAATCACACAATGAAAGATGGATAACAGATTTTGTTTCCACGGCAGCCTGGGACGCTGCTGTAGGCTGGCCATGCGTTGTTTGGGTTTCTTTCGCGACGTCTCCATAGATATCTGAGAGTTAAGTATGTTAGATCGAGAATTAAGTAATATCGACCTAACACTCACCATCTTCATCGTCAAAATCCACTGCCATTGGATTGTCTGCGACTGCAGCAGGAATGTCCCCTTGTTGCTTGTCCTTCTGAATCTCCTCCTCCACCCAGGTAACCCTGAGCAATACAGACGGACCTACTGTGCTTCCTACGAAGAGAATCTGGGAACGTGGAGCCTGGTCTCCACTAGCACTTCTAAAAGCCACATTCCTCACGAGCGCAGGTGTAGTTGTTTGCGACATCGCAGGGTGTAGAGCTAGGCGCAGTGCTGTCCTCCCATCCATTACAATCTCAACGGGTAGAACCAAGCCATCACGGGTTATGATAAAAAAGGTGCGTGAATCTACAAACGTTGCATGCGCACCCTCAAGATGCAAGTCGCGGTTCATTTCTTCCGGGCGAAGTTGCTGCATTGGCATGTCGGACACTCGCGCAGCCCAACCGTTGACAGGTAGTACCGTTTTCCGTGATGCTTGATCCACATATATGAGCGAATTACAGCTGATGATCACAACACCGCCGAGAGAGCTGTCACACGGCAGCATCGCAAAGCAGTCGTGAGGAAGATTTTCCACTGAAGTGATGATGGGATACATATGTGTGACGAGGTCAAGCGTGAAAATAAACAAATTGCAGGTATCCTTGAATTCTTTAAGCCGCCTATGAATGCACAATCCGAGTGAGCAGCAAAGTTCTAGGAAGGACAGAAAACTCACCCTGTCCACGTGTGTTGTGTCTGGAAAAGCACGGCCAGAGTTGGATTGTTGAATCCGGGAAGGAAGGCAAAATCAATAACATTTCGTATTCGGTGATCGACTTGGTTGAAGAGATCAAGAATGAAGCTCGGAGAATAAGGAATATCTCTTGAATTGGGAATGAGAATTGACCCGCAAGCTCCGTTAATAAGAAAATCCGCAGTCACCTGCTAACTGTTTGATCCGCATCTACCAGGTCGAGATCCACCTGGCTGTGGTAGAATGGAAGTATAGCGAGGCAGTCGCAAGGTAGTGATAAAGCCGCACAGCGCGAAAGAGGATCGACCCTCAGCTGCCCCGTAAATTTACTGGGATCTAGAAATGTCTGTAGACTGTAAATATTGGTTCTTAGTGACGCGATCTGAGTCTGAGTCTCACCATTTGGGGAGCTCTTTCGTACGTATGTATGGAAACAGTAACCAAATCATGCAATTCCGGAGACCACTCCAGTAAGGCGAGCTAAAGGAGCTTCATCACTAACGTGGCTAGAGATAAGTAACATTACGTACTTTGGCATCCTTGAAGGAGACGAGGAGACGATCAAGAGAGTCCTCTGTTGACGAAAGTATTTTCACGGGTTCAAGTCCAGTGACGATTCCATGAAGCCGATGTTCTCGGATGAAATGAAATTGATACGTTGTCATTGAGAGCGGTTTACTCGCTGAGGCAGACTAAACAAATGGCAAAATGTCAAAACGTTTATTCCTAACGCACAACCAATGGACTTCTAGCAATGCAGAGAACAATATAACTACCTTTACTGCACCCATGTTGACGAATCCTTCTCCTTGCGTGTCCATCTCAACCTCTCCTTCGACTGCCTCCGTATCCTTCCTCACACGAGACCACCCGTCCCTTCCAGTGCTCTGGCTGGCTTGCAGCTGAGGTGATACAGGCTCTTCTACGACTTCAAAAATGCGAAGCAGATGCGAGTGAGCAACGACTATATTACATACAAACTTCCGACTTGAGCCGTATGGATCCAGACGGCTTCGCATGACAAGGGACGGCAGCAACTTGAGACTAGTTGCAAATTGGACCCCACTAGGAGGAAGTATCTCGCTCCGCAACGCCTGCATGTCAACAGCTGGTACCCCGTGGAATAGCCTAACCGAGCACCCGAGATATAAGAAAATCAGGAGGTCAAATCAGACCCTTGAACATAGTCAACGTGAAGCAGGAGAGGTTCAAGAGCCAATGAGGCTGGCACGTGATCAAGACCTTCCATAAATTCACGCTTTTGTCAATTTGATAATTTTGATTTGAACATTTATTACTCATATTCTTATGGGCTCTCTCGTCCGGCAAATAATGTGACACTTCTGGCCTCACGTTTATCGGCCTACTTGTGCATGGGCTGCCGTAGACTGCATGAAGAAAAAGATGCCGTATCTCTTAGGGACGTCACCTGACCCGACTTCTTCGGCCTTTATAAGTTTATTCCCTCCTGTTACCTGTAGCTAGTTCTGCACGCAAATGCAAACAAGTATTACTATTAGTCTCGTGCTCTTCTGGTGAAACGATGCTGTTACCCCGGATCGCCCTGTTCCCCACATGACCTAGGCTTTCAACTGCTACTGTCGTGTCTCACCCTTTAATATTCCATGTCCAGAGGAGGAACACGCGTATTTTAGACGCTCACCTTGTGCTACATCACTTAGCAGTCTCTAGAAGGATCTTCTGTTTAGTGCGGATATCGGAATTTCAACAGACATGATCTACCAGTTCATTTCACACCCTTGCTTCGCTATTTAGCCTTCCCGATGACATCGTTAAACGCTGTCCTTTTCGCCAGTGCGAAGGTTAATCAGGAAGAATCTCCTTCGGACTCAGAATCTTGCACGTGTGTGATGTAAATGGACGCCGTCGTCATTTGAGGAGTGCTTTCTCCTCATGTATGGGCCTTGCTTTAGGGGCTCATGCGGGTGGCGCGGAAAGCAACAGGTTCAAACTGGCAACGACGTCTTCGTTCTTCTCTATAAGACGGTCCGTACTTGTCCGTCAGTGCTAATGAACATATTTTAACCCTTGCCAACCTAGCTCGCACTTCGAGATGCTTTCGACGCTCGGCTGGCAAACAGTACCTCTACCGTTCGGCAAAAAGGCTCAAATCGATGCTCACAAGGTTGGTTACCGACACCAATGGTGTTCCGTCGCTGACAGTGCGTTTACAGCAACCCGGAATGTCTTACGCTTCACGGCCGAAGACAGCGCAGGCGCAACCCAGGGCTGCTCAGGCCGCCAACCCTACATACTATTTGGTTTCAAGCTCGAGCTCTAACTCTTATATGCTTGATTCTCAACGACCGTCTTCTGGAATTGCTGGGCAATCCTCTGTGAAAGCCCCATCAAGTTACATGCCGCCACCAGCGGTGCAGTGCGTCTTTGATTCTATTCGTCCTCGTAAGCTCGTTTTTAACGAGTTATTATCTAGTCAGAAAACTAGTACGACGGGTGATCGTGGCGGCCCAAGGAATACCTCTCCAAGTAGATCGTACAAAATCTACCCCGACACACCGATGCTCGACGTCTTCGTCTACGAGCGCTCGGAGGCCGACTCTGATACTCTCACTTGTTACTCCAACTCTTCCGTCGACACCTTGTTACAATTTCCGATTACCGAGCAAACCAAGCAGGTCTCACCTCCAGCAACCGCACGGCGGAACTCAACAATGCTAATCAAGGATTCCAACGCTGCGACGAACCATAGTGCCGCACCGCCTGCACCAGGTTCTCCCCACCCACCTCCAATGTCTCTACCAATCTCGAGTACAGCAGCGTCCCAGGTCCATCCTCTTTCTCGGGGGAGCGAGGAGGGCCCACGTCCTCGAAGCGGGAGTGGTGATTCTGGGTCGAGCGGTAGACGCAACAGCGTCTCCGAGCCTGAAAGGCCCGTAATCCTTCCACAGGGCCCGTCTTCGGCGCGTTCCAGTCCGCCACGTACCAGTCCTACCGGCTCCTTCCCAGACAGGACGAACGTACCTCCTACTTTCACTTCAGGTCCTCGCGATGTGCTTCCTGCGCGGCGCAATTCGGACCCAATAACGCAAGCGGAAATGTCACGCCAGAGGCGACTCAGCGGTGCAGTTATTCCAACTGGTTTTGGTGTCCTTCCAGGAGAACGACTTTCTCCTCCGAACCGCCGCGACTCGATGTCTATAGTACCAGCGGGACTTGGTACTACGGATCGTCACCCACCTCTCCCTTTGCGTGGTGCGCCTTCTCCAGACGGCAAACGAGATCGGGCGTCTCCAGACAGGGAAGTCAGCCCAACTTCCGCGTTTGCACGTGAACGAAGAGTCAATGGCGGAGGCATTGACGTCTTTCCGCCACCACCGCCTGGGAGTTTCTATGACCGGGATCGACCACCGCTGCGCCGTGGCTCCCAGTCATCAAACTCAACATCATCCCGCGAGCGCCATTCACCGCAGGACGAAGCACCTCGCGGTGTTGCTTTCACTTCTGGACCGGTTCTGCCGATTCGCAGTCGTACTCTGTCACAGGGACGCCTCGGCAAGGATGAGGTCCCGAGGCCAATCATTGTCGCAGGCTTGGAGCAATCCAAGGTAGTGCGTTTCTCCGAGACACTCATCTGCCCATCCCCTATTCCGCATGAAAAACGCCGCAAAGGCTGGTTTAATAAACGCGGGTATGTACCTTTTTCGCGCTTCTCTTCATTGAATTTTATAACCTTTTGGGGTTTCCATTGAATAGAGATCAATTATGGACAAACGACGGAGTCTTCGTTGCTCCAGATCCGGGTACCGAGTACCCTATTGACCTCGCTGACTATCCTGAAGTTGGCGTAGGTTGGCAGAACGAAGAAGGTATCCGTATCGACATGGAACACCGTCTTATTCCGAAGGTTCCGCTACGTCCTGCGCTCAAACGCGGGGGCTCTTCCGCGAGTTCCCAGCCGCATCTGCAGCAGCAGGCAGGTCCCCCACGCCCCGAGTTCCGCTCCGCATTTTCAACCACCATTCGTGAGGAAGCCTAAGTGTGTCAATTCCTTCTCTCTCCCTATGTTCGCCATTCGATCCAAATATTGTACGTTTATGTGGAAGCCGGTCTTCTTGTGATTGCATTGTATTACTGCTACATATTGCTCATAAGTTACAAAATATATTAGTTACCTATGTCACCCTGTATTCTATTCCGAATCCGATATTATTTCGATCACGTCGTCATCTAGTGGTTTCTTGAATTTTGTAAGCGGGGTTCGCGCTATTACTTCGTTGTTACTCGAGACTGTCCTATTAGCTGCTTTCACCTGAGGAGCTACGCTCGGTTTGAATCTTGCTTGAGGACGACCAGTGGATGATGAACCAGTACTGGAAGATGCATGCTCTCCCATATTGAAAGACCATCCCTCTCTATCGTTTGCCTCAGCGATTTGAGAATGGCGTCTCGCCGCGGTCCCGTTCTGAGGTGCACGGTACAATGCACTCGTCTTCTCGGCTTCCCGCACATCAGGCTCCGGTGTAAGGTCATCACCATCGGCGTAGAGGCTCATCGTAGCATTATCCTGTCCAATGTGTTCATGGTCTTGCCAATATTCATCATCCGAACTCTCTTCGCCCCTTTTTCGCTTCTTACCCTTCGCCCCGCCTGAGAGAATTCTGGAAGCTTCTCTGCCTCCTGTTTTGTTACATTTGTCATTCTTCTTCCCCGCTTCCTTCCCTTTCTTCAGGAAAGCGACCTCAATCCTTTGTCCTCTGCCTGACTCCACATCTTCTTTCGAGTACCGTGCAAGGCGTAAGGCGCCTGGTCCAGAGGTGACGTATACGTTGATTGAATACGCCGTGCTGTGGAATGACTCTTTCAGATGACCGGATAGCAGCAAGTGCAGGATCAGAAATTCCGTGTCCTGGAAAGTCCGGACATGGATTACTTGTATCATAGCGTGTTTGGGCAAGAAAGTGACTCACGTCCTTCCCAAGTGACACTTTCCCTCCAGAAAGCTCCTCCAAGTCCAGTTCGACCTTTTCCTTTAGTCCATCTTTGGCTTTTCCTCGCCCACGTTTCCCGGAAGCCACGCCAAACGCGCCGCCCCCAGCGCCGCGAACAAGATCTGCCAGCATTCCGAGTGTAACTCGACCAGTGCCTTGCTCAACAGCTTGCACGACACGGAGGATTTGCCACGCCAGGAACGTCACATCACGCCGTTCTACGCTTTCAGGTGGTCGAGTGCAGTTATCACAGTGCCCACATCTAGCATGCGCATCGGTCTCTGCCGTTCCCCATGCACTCATGGATAGAGACGCGGAGGTCGAAAAGTATCTATGGTTCGATGAGAATTCTGAGTCTCACTAATCATGGGCTTAGTGTTAGCGAACCTCGCGAATTGGAGCTTCCTGCATTCCTCCACATCCACTGCGAACCGAAGTATGTCCCGCACTGGTGTGTATAATCACATGTTAGTTTCTCCATAAGAACCGATGATGTAAATTAATGAGCTAGCTGACGTTTTCCTTGCCCCTCAAGCTCACCACATACCAGAGCACTAAGTCGTGAGGCATCCTGCGGGCGGAAATAGAGTAGGCAATCAGAATCCCTTCCATCACGGCCTGCTCTTCCCGATTCCTGACGCAGCAGGACACAATCAGTAAATCAAAATTGCAAATTCCTATAAGACATGCATACCTGGTAGTAACCTTCCAAAGATTTCTGAAGAGACCTCATTCATTAATATGGAAGTGATACACACATGATCTACTCACCGACATCTGTAAACTTGCATCATTATTTGCCCGAATGATAGATTAGATCAGAATACATACTGAATGATGCAATACGAAGCGCACGTCTCCTTTGTCGATTCCAAGTCCGAAAGCTTGATAGTTGAGCGAATGAGCGCGACATTCGCCAAGGCGGAAGACATAACGTACCGATAGTAGCACATACCACCTTCACTTCGCCCCTTCGCCATCTTTCATGGAGATTCGCCTTATCACGGTCGTGTATATCCGCATGATATACGCCAGTGCGAATTTTACCGCCACTTTCCTTTGACAGTCCTTCCGCGACGGCCTCTGTATCCTGGAAGAAGGTTAGATTTCCCATTCGGCTACGTATGGATTCAAGCGCAACCTTTTTACTCATACAGTACACGATTCCACTGTCATTTTGATGATGATTTAGTATGTAGTCTGACATCGCTTTTATCAGTCCATTTGAAGATGATGGTTTAGGTACCACTCGGTAATGCAGGTTTTTGCGGTATAGCGGAGCAGAGAAATAAACTGTCCCATCAGCGCTTGCAGCTTGATTTGACATGTATACATTATTAGCAAGCAATCATTACATTGAGACACGCATAACAAAACTTTACCTGTGCCACTGACAACAGGCTTGAGGCGTAGAGTCAGTAATAAGTCCTTCAGTACTTTCGGAGGACATGTGGCGGACAAAGCTAATATCGGAACTCGTGGAAACAGCTGTCGGAGGATAGATAGCTTTTTGTAGTCGGGTCTTTGTATACGATATTAATGATGCACGGCCAATCACGTCACCAACTATGACGTACCGAAAGTCATGTCCAAGCTGCGAAACACAATGGGCTTCATCAATAACAATTCGCGCTAAGGCGAAGCGTCAGTACGATATCCTCAAAAGAAAAACGGCGAAGAAAGCGGCACACTCACACAGCTTTCCAGCATTTGCTAGTTTTTCTAACATTGATGTGAATGACTTGCTTTTAGCTATTTTCTCTGGCTGCAGAAGACTTCAACTGAGAAAGCTTCCGAGATGAAGGTCTGTCCAACGTACTGTCACATAGCAGAATTTTATTTCCAGAACAGCTCCATTGCGATTAGCCTTTGGATTGGCCGCAGCTGCCAACCGTGAGTATATGTCCCGTGATTCTTCCTTAGATGTTGAGCCCATTAGCATAACTGCCTCAACTAAGAAGCAATGCGGAGTCAGAAGTGCGTCTTCGTAGTACGTTGACAGTGCGTACGTACCTCCGAATTCGTGAAGGTGAAGAATTTGATCCGTGATTAGTGATATTAAAGGCGAAATTACAAGGGTACAGCCAGGATTTAGAAGCCCGGGAAGCTGGTACGTCAGAGACTTTCCACCCCCTAGGAAACGTCATGAAACAGGAGTGATTGAGAAGATGATTTCGCAGAAGAAGTACCTGTAGGCATAATGCAAACAATATCTCGACCATCCATATTCGCGTTACAGACTCTAAACGCGCGTCAGGGGTACATAGCAAGAATCTCAATACGAACGCACCCTTCCTGACAAAGTCGGAAGCTTTGAATGCTAAACACCTCCCGCATACGTGCTTTCAGTTCCCCTGACCATTCGAAAGCCTCCGTCATGTAATTGATTGCTCCGCCAGAAGGCGCCTTCCCCTTGCCCTTACCAGATGACGATGCTATCACCTCTGACAACCGTGATCCGTTTAACGTTTTCAGCTCCTGGTCAATGTTCTGCTTCTCTGCAAGAATCTGAGCTTGAAGGTCCTGAAGGTCGCTAATTTGTTCCTTGACGTCCTTTAGTTCTGCATCAAGGGCAGACATTCTTCCATTGAGCTCCTGACGCCTCTCATACGTATTATCTCCATTCACAGCCGTGCTCGACGAAGCAAGGCGCGAACTCGTGCCCCGAGCAGCCTCCTGGGCTGTGAATTCCAGGATTGCTTCCATCTTTGGAACGTTGTGTTTGTTAGTGAATGTGAAGATGTAAGAAGATAACGACATGTACCTACATCGTCAGAGCCCACCTCATCTGTTGTGAACTGCATGATGAGAATGAAGCCACAAAGCAGTGTACCTCTGTCTGTGGGCTATCTAAGATGCAAAGCGAGAGACGACGCGTCGCGTGCACGCGTCTTTCATTGAGGCACGTGACTCTTTTCTCGCGTGTAAACTTAATATCGTATACAGACGGCGAAACTTTTGCGTTTTTTCGACAATTCTGTCATGAGCTTGCTGTCTCAATATATATAATAAAGACTGAAGCCCTATGACTTAAAAAATTTACCTTTTTTCTCTTTCAAGAGGTACGATTGACTCCAGTTGCTAGTTTGTTCACCTGTGTTTACCAAATCTGGATGCATGGCGGCAATCAAGAATTAGGCGCTTAAATACAGCCTCCTTCACAGCTTCAGCGATCGGGGTCTAGGAGCCTATCTCTTCCACCATCATGGTGGGGGCTAGCACGTCCAGGACACGCCTTCATGCGTCCAAGTCCAAAATTCTGTCTTCAGCTCGTGCGAAGAAGCCGTTTAAAGCTGTTGACACGAATCCCGCTGCTTATGATAAGAAAGATCCGTTCGCAGCAGTCGACGCGCTGAGAAAGCTTTTGACGGCGTTACCTACGAAACCGGGTGGATGCCAGCTCAGAATGACAGAAGAAGAGCACAAATTATCATTACATCTGCTGACGATCGTCGAGCCCGTATGGATTCCTTTTAACTGTAGCGATCATGCTAGATTTGACTCCGTCATATTAGTTCGTTGGGTTATCGCCGTCTCAGCGTGGCCTAATACGCCAACCGACCGAAAACCTAGATGAAATCGTCTCATACATCGATAGCAAGCGTGATTTGCTTTCGTTGGCGCTATCTTGCAAGCGCATGTTCAGTATTGTTTTCCCGCGGCATTTCGAATATCGTGTCATCCGCTGCAAGATCAGCAATATCGCCGTTTGGAGTCATTTCGCAAGCAATTATGTGCTCGCGGCCAATGTACGATGCCTTGAGATATTGGATGAGCGCACAGCCGAAGCTCCTTGCACCCCATCGGATATTCTTGCTTCTGACACGGAATTAGAATCCAGTGACGATGAACTCACGATGCATGCAAAGCAAGGACGATTATTTGCGTCGGCGCTTTCGAAAATGACGCGTTTGACTGCATTTGTCTGGTCGTGCAATCATTCCCTAATTTCACTCCACAGTATATGGCACACCATACTCAAGTGCCAAAGCCTGAGAGCAGTTGAGATTCATGACAATTTGGTTTTCAGCCCTACAACCGAAGAATCAATACCCTGCAGAACAGCCCGACCAAGGATTGTGAGTAACTTGGTTACATATCCCTACGGCTCCTGACTCAATGCCTCACACACACAGCTTCCGTCACTGTCATCCGTCTCGGTGCACAACTTCAGAAAGGGCTATGGCCAAAACAAGACTCCAGAATTGAACCGGATCACTGAAATGTTACACCAGTGCCCAAACTTGGAGGTGGGCTTTTATTTCTGACTTCAACTCGAGGATGGACGCTGAGCGGAGTTCCCAAAGGAACTCAACGTCGACTATATTGCTCAATCGGGCTTCTCCAGCCCTAGTGCTGATAACTTCTTCATGTATGGACGATGGCCGAGCCTGCGAGCTCTCAATCTCACACACTTGACATGTTCTCTTGACGGATTCGACGCTGCTTCAACCTTCTTAGCAGCTCATATAAACATTGAGGTCCTCCACCTTGACGTTGGACCTCGTGCGAATGTTGCCGGACTTGTACTTGCCCCTGGCACCTTACCGCGGCTCCGTGAACTAAAGAGCAGTAAGGAGGTCGCGTGTGCCATCATGACATGCCAGTCAGGGTCTCGGCCCTTGGAGACGATCAAGGGTGTCCGCCTAACAGGCCAGCATCGGGATACTACTTTCTTTGAAGCGCTGCAGAGATACAGTATCAAACGCTTAGAACTGGTTGGTTATGGAGAATTTGAAGATATTCGTAAGTTGGTGGACCGCGTGCCAAAGCTTACATGGCTAGACGTAGGGAAGAAGGGTAGTATGTCTGCTCATAAAGGACCTTTGACTATATCCAATGTGGTAAGTTTGATAAACCTTTTCAATCAAGTGGAGTATCCCGCCAACTGTTTCCCTTCATAGGTGGACTGGGCGAATCTACTCGAACAGCTCCCCGATTTGACTGCATTCCACGGCGTTCCGTTCTTCTACGAAGTAGCAACTGGGCCAATGTCGTCTGTATCCCTTTCGGACCGCTCGCGTATCAAGAAGAACGAGGAAGTCGCTTCCGTCCTCGCTTGGAAGTGTCCGAACTTACGCAGGCTCGATCATTGGGAAGAGCAAGCCGGGAAGGTCATCGTCTTGCTTAAGGACGGAGAGAAATCCAAGTGGGAGGTTCGGCGAGTCAAGGTATAAGGCAAATGTTTCTCTACGTATATGCCCGTTATTTCTTGTCAGTGATTTCTTATGGACTGCTACAACCTGTTTTCGATGTGGAGCTTTCTTGCAATTGTCGACATGTATTTGAGGATGAACCAGTGTCATTATACGCGTGACCCGGTTCAACTTCATATTGATATACCGTAAATTATTCAACAGGATAGAATGTGTTTACATGCAAAGAGCGGAATTCGGTTGTATTGATATTTATCAGTCATCAAAAGAGTGGAGCTAAAGCAGACTTGATAGTAAAGGGATTGGCTTATAGTTCTATGGTATATGCTATAAATTTATGCTACAAAGGTCATATGGGGGAGATGGGATAAACCAATATAACTACTTTTCTTCACAAAGGCGGGGTATTCCCCATATTAGCATCTAACCTGACAACCCTTTCACTCTTCCCTGAACAATAACATCTTTCAGCGGTAGCATATGCACATTGTCTCCGGCCTTTCCGCGTTTCCAGTTTTCGACCATAGAGCCTGCCTCAACGGGTACGATAGTCTGCTGGCGAGTCCCTACAGTGACATGGAGCCTGTTCTTCAGGTTCTCATCGAGGGACTCAACGAAGTCAATAGCCTCCAGGCTTGTATCATCTCCAGGATTTGATGCAGGCTTGAGGTCCTCAACCGTAGCAGCCATGACGCGTCCGTCGCTAATGAGGTGGCTCAGTCTGAACGCGAACATCGGCGGAGACGGTTGGGAGAATAGACTATCACAGCGGTCCCACAGTTTCTGTTTGTCAGGCAGGCCCTTCATGTGCACAATGGTGGCATGCGGCATTCTCGTAACACGCTTGTCCTGCACCATCTTTTCCCATAACTCACGCATCTCAGGGTGCACATCATTTTCCGCGAAGTGTGTCTCGATGACTCCCGCAAGATCAACTTCAGGAAGGAAGCCGAAGTAGCGTACTTTCGCTGCCCTCTTAGTCTGCCGATCCACAATTTGTGTAACCTTGTATGCTCGTGCCTTCGCCAGTGCAACGCCAATCTGTTCCCGTGTCGGTTTAGGCAGTCCAAGGATACGCACACAAGCATCGACTGCCCGATCCAGGCTCTGTTCTAAGTCCTCTTCAACGTCCATTTCGACAACTTCATCAACTTCGCCGTCGTCAAGTTCTTCGGCGTTTTGTATAAACATCCAAACAGCTTGTTCGTGATGCCTGACGTGTTTATCTGGTCGAAGTGTTTGGTGGTTGTCTCCACGCTCCAAAACGCGGTCCGAGCAGATGCGGTGGATCATAGCAGGTGGTTTCTCGAGTGGCCAATAAAGTGCAATTAGACGAACCGGGACCTTCATCCCGCAAATAGCGTCCCGAAGTTGTCGGCGGTGATCTCTGAGATGATTATTCCTAGACAAAGGGACACCTTTTATAAGAAAGAATAGGAAAACGTCTAGAAAATAACCCACTTATCGGCAATGACTACGTTATGTATGGCTAGCTCTTCCTTGACGCGTTTGATGAACTGTGGCGCAGACTTTTTCGCTTGGATATCGTCACTCTGGACGTGCCCGAAGTCGAATAAGTGTGAGAGGGCGACACCAATAGTTGTTTTGCCGCAACCAGGGATAGCAACCGGGGCGATGACAGTCTTTTCAAACATCTTCGCTTTTTCGTTGAGATCGACAGATGAGAGTGCGGAAGCAAGTTGTTCAGTTTGGGCCACTTGTCCATGCTCCGTCTTCAACCATTGCAAAAATCGTTCGCGCGTTGCGATAATCCCTTTCCCCTTGTTGAACCCATCAAACTGACTACGGTCCTTCTTGATCTCGTCGCGTACCCAGTTTAGATAAAGGACTGATTCGGGACGTCGTAAACTCTTCTTGGGTATCGCAACGTCCTGCAAGCGACCTTTCGTGGACAGCAGTTTCTTGGTGATCTCACGCCAATCCCTGTACATCATATACGGCTCATCATATTTCACTTTGAAGAAGAATGACGAACCAGGCGGATAGGGCGGGACGTCCTTTTCTTTCGCAGATGACGAGTCGGAAACATGGCAGCGCACAACAAACCCTTCGATTGGTTCATCGTTCCAATTTCCCGATTTTGCAATCTCTTCAGAGAATTTACGCACTTCAGAGATGGAGTTTGCTGTATGATAGGGTGTCTCAATCAGACCCCATTCTCGTGCAAATGCTGCAACTTTATCAGACGTCAAGGTTTTAAACGCTCCGCGGGATTCGTTGATGCCGTGCAGATGGAGACCAGTCTTCTCTGGAGGGTAAGGCAAGACGTGTTCCTCAAACGAGTCATCGCATAGCTGGTCGAAGATCAGTACACAGTCTGCTCATGTTTATGAATAGTATACATACCTCTGCTACGGCCGTCCAATTGTTATCCCAGAGAACCTGAGCGAGGTCTTCGACCTTCTTGCCTTTGGCCTCGAGTTGCATGAGCAGCCATTTCTCGCCAACCTCAGCGTGACTTTCTGGTACGCCCTGTACAGGACCGAGAGAATGTTTGGATGTGACGAGTAATTTTGTGTTGCTAAGAGCCGATATGAAGATGATACATCCATTAGACTTCAAGGTCATGACATATGGCGGGGTAGTATGTCTTCCAAGTGCATCCCACTGTAATGATATCAGTATCCAATGGTGCAGTCGAGACGGCGCGACTCACCGACGTCCAAGGGACCTCTCCGATATTGAAGAACTTGTCATACCCTCTCGCTACAATCCTGTAATTCCCGTGTCCATCGCCTTCCTTGCTCTCAGCCTTGTCCGAATGCCAGGTCGTGAACAGTCCACGGGCAAGAGTTGGGAACGGTGACGGTACATCGTAGTACTTCCATTCATTCATTTTCCAGCTTCGAACAGTGATGCTAGGGTCGGCTGGCGCCGCATATGTTGACGAGTGAACTAGTTTCTTGTTGTTCTTGGAGAGTGTCATGAGCTCAGAGACGAGCTTGTGGTCCTCTTCCGATGCTGGAGGCGCCATGGTTCGTGAAGCTTGGGACGAGAGATACCTGAATGCTGGAGGGACAAAGCCAGGGCGAATAAATCCCCAAAGGCTCGTCGCACAGGCGCTAAGCCTGACTCGAGCCAACACAGCCAGCGTAATGGTAGCCTGTGGCGATCAATGAAAGAGAAAAGGCAGAGCACAGCAATTAAGCGCGGGTATTTATTTTTATTCACTCGGTGCCGACGAGGCGATCTCGCGAAAATGACTTCGTTTGACACTATACTGCTGTTAATGTAAATACGATACTATCACGACTGCCATAAAAATGCGAAATGTATAGTACAGAGACAATTATCAGTACAAGGGAAAACGAGGAGCAAAGGCATCACTCCACCAAACCGGTCGACTCGTCCGAACTATCCAATAGACTGAAAAGGACACAAAAGTGAGGAACACATATCAAAGGCGCCGGGCAGTGCACGCACCTGTATTGTTTCATCAGAGAGCACTCCCCACCATTTTCAAGGTCAATGTTGTAGGAGTAGAAATACCCCTCAGAAGAGATTACCATGACATGAGGCATGGTTCTGAACCAACTTGTTAGTTTGACAGACCAGTCCACAATACGCAAATACTTACCCGCTCAGCGCCACAACACATCGCGAACCGCTTACTGGAAGTTTCAGAAAGGCGAAATCCCTCGACGGTTCCCACATCTCCGTCAGGGTATTTGGGAGATACCCGCCAACAGACGACGTGATGTTCTTTGTCAATTTCATTGACCGCCGCCGCAAAAATTCACTGCATCGAGAGTCAATGCATGATCCAGAAAATGCGGTGCGAATACCTACGATACACCACCGCCTTTCTTCCCGTCAATGAACGCCTCGTAACCCCCTTCCATACCCTGATTGCCATCGCGACTGTCAAATGAAGGGGAAGGGCTCAGCGACGGACCACCCTTCCCATTTCCTGATGAATTCGACGGCTTTTGGGGCCCCAAACTAAAAATGTGTACAGTATCGTGTGCAGAACTGACGGCGAGTAGTGTTGACATGGTGTTGAAATTCATCGAATAAATTCGAGCTTCTCGCGTTCCTCGTCGGAACTGATATAATTTCTCCGAACCCGGTATACTCCATACTCGAATAACAGTACCCTTCTCGGATGCGGACGCAAGCATAGTCCCACTGGAATTGATAGAAAGGAAAGATATTGGCGCTTTGTGTGCCTGTATTACGTTCTCCACGATTAATTTTCGAGTCGAAAACAGTATGATATCGCCAGATTGTTGCGTCGTTGGCGGAGGCTGTGATGCTGGAGTGGTTTGCTGTGAGAGAGGGGTCGCAGGAGAAGGGACGGGTGATGGATACGCCAAGTACGATGAATCGGCGGACGGGGATAGAGCACAAACGGCTAATCATCTGGGTGAGTGCCGGGATAATTTGGCTGGAGCGCTTGACTCACCTTCGGGATTTGGGGTGGTCTCAATGACATGCATCAATCGCATATTCGAGATGTCATAAATGTAGATCTCATTCTCTAATACAACCACGAGAGTCTTCCTGTTCAATTTGACAGCAAGGATTGACGACGGGAAGAGTAATTCGCAGATCATGGATTGTCGCTAGAGCCACGCATTGTTTAGTCTAAACGCAACTGGGAAACTGAAGGGATCCTGACACCTTAGTGTTCACAATCTGTAACTTGCGAGGGCTTGATTGAGGCTGGTCCGCCGCACCAACCAACGCGATGAGTGACGTGCAGAAGAGCATCTCAACGATGCCACGAGCACCATCGTCTAACGCGCGACACGTCAGACCAGGTAACTGGCGCGCATGCGAGCATTGACTTACTCATGGTGTACACCCGCCCAAATGGATCGCAGTTGGTGATGCTGTACCCTTTCTTAGTCCCGACCGATATACACCTGGTTGAAGAGACGTATGAGAAAGAGAATGCCATAACAAGCAATACAATAACATACGTGAAGTCTTGATTGAAATTTGCAAAGAGCATATTTGGATTTGTGCGCTCTGCGTGGGGTAACATGGCGGACGTTCCGAGAGAGAAATGACTGTGCAGCCGCGTTCTACTGAGCGCGTCAAACGCCCTAATCGAGAAATTACGTAACATATATTCACGAACTAAGACAAATAGCGGGTCCGAAACTGTGCGCCTTACTGTAATTGTGATGCCTCTTGAATAGCTTTTACTTAATTTTCTGTGGAGTCATCCTCAGCACACTTGTGGTATGACTTGCAATCTCGCACGGCTTGCTTGGGGATTGTTATAGTGCACTCTCTGATTATTGCTTGAAAGGCATTACAGTAAGAGCGTATCAAGATAAATATTCTATATTAATTTTGTTCAACTTTGATATTTTGAGCATAAGGATGGCTTACCCAAGGACTGTCTTGGACAGGGAGCCGGGAGAGTTGCGGAAATAGATAAATAATAGCTATTTCCGTTACTATTAATAGTAGAGCGCAAATACAGTGACATATGTATTAGCGAGAAGGCAAGCCGTCATTCCACAAGAAAGACCCTCAAGGCAAACAAACTATGCTGTGAAATGGGCCGTGCTGGTAAACATTATTTCCAAAAGTTCCGAAGTACGATATAGAATCTTTTCAATTCTGGAGGTCTGTGTAAGGTCCTCTGAGCAGAAGCGCGGAGAACGGGGCACGACCGTTCCGAACGCACAAGATGTGATTGGGCCAACTGAAAGAAGAAATAACGAGAGTCGGAAGGAAATTACATACGGAAGTTCATGTATAGGAGGTGTTCATTGACCTCTTGATCACAGAAGCAATCAAACAATCACCCCTAAGACAGCGGAGCCGTATCAGTCCCGTTTGAATTCTCGGACCGCTCACAATGAACAATCGTATTCAGCCTTCCAACCTATGAACAATGCTTCTCCTTGCACGGATGGAAGGGAAAGTGCGGAAGGAACCGTGGAAAGCGCAGACAGCCAAGAAGGCATTTATTGGTTGAAGTCACATTCATTTGTTGTGCCTTGGATGTCGTCGGGTATTCATTGCCTTTGCCAATTAACAATTTGAAATGGTGGTATCTTGTGCCGTCAATGCAGTTCTCTAGCTAGAAAAACACAATACATTGGTATGAATACAGCTTTTGAGGCGCGAGTTGGATCGCCTTGGGGATAATCTACAAATGCGTCAAATCTATCCAAGATCTCCGTATCACATTTCTTGGACTTGTTGGAAGCTCAAGAAGCGGAATTTTCTTTTATCAAGAGATAAATCAGAATAACCAAGGGCCCACTGTTAAAGCCGCTTAATGTCAAATTTCATATCACAATGATACAGGATAAACTCACTCCTGCCCATGGCACCCTCGGGCTTGATCTGAAGGCAGCTCTGATGAATGAGGTTGAGCGCCTTTACTGCGTCTCTGCCGTCGATAACGCAAGATATATTTATCTCAGACGCGCCTTGGCTGATCATCTCAATGTTGATATTGCCCTCGGCGAGGGATGAGAACATACGACCAGAAATACCGACTAAATTACGTTGCTGTTTCCCGACGAGCGAAAGAATAGCCATGTCAGGTGTCACAGAGACCTACACAAGTTTCACCTTCGGCTTAGTACACTCTAATCCCTGTAACACGAAAGGAAATTCGACTCACAGACCCACTCTTTTCCAGTTCCCTTACCAGTCGATCCATCATACGTTTGCCCAAGTTATTCTCGATAGCCATACTGACATGTACCTCACTGGTGCTAATCAAGTCGACTACAACCCCGAAACGGTCAAGGGTACCGAATATGCGGGCGAAGAAGCCGTGGGAGACGCTTTTCCTGTTGGAATGCACGTTCAGCACTGTAATACGCTCTTTGATCGTTACTGCCGTCGGTAGCTTCTTGCGATTTTCAAACATCTGCCCAGATGGAACAAATTCGAAGGCATTGCTTTCCAGCTGCAACGAAGACGCGTCTACGTTAGGATCGGGATGTATGACCGTTCCACTACCGAGAGGATTCTCGACATTTTTTATGCGGATGGGGATTTTCCTTCGGATGACCTGTTCCATTGTGAACGGGTGGACAACTTCACTGCCGTAGTACGTCAACTCCGCTGCTTCGTCCGGTGAGATGATAGGGATCAATCGCGCTGTGTGTACCTTTCGAGGATCAGCTGTAAAAATACCGTCGACTTCTTTCCAGATCTGAAGTTCTGATGCTTGCAAACCGACTGCCGCAAGCGCGGAGAGAAGGTCTGTGTATCCCCGCCCAACCTGGCGTAGCAACGAACCAGGAACTGGACCAAAGAAGCCAGTGATTACGGGTACACGGCTCCCGCATTGTCGTATACGCGCACCAACTGCCTCAGCGACTCGATCATAGAAAGATTGACCTAGAGTGGTGAATTCTGAATCTGAAACCCGTTCACCATCTCCTTCATCGGTGTCTTCTACAGGTACAATATTCTCCAGAGAGACATATTCAGAATCGATGCCCCGGTCCCGTAGTACTGCAGCAACAAGCTTACAGGCCAAACGCTCTCCGACCCCGACGATATTGTCCCGTGAGCGAGGTGAAATCTCGTCAATAATCTACAAGGATCGTCATCTTTCATTAGATGCTAGTCAAGCTTTCTATTAGACTATCCTAACCTGTGCAGCAAACAGAAAGCTCCTCAGTCCCTCGCAATCTCGGTCAATTTCCGCCTCCAACTCTTTAAGTAGCTCAGGATCTCGCACTGAGGCTTGGGCAGCGGCAAGATGATCTGATCGAAGTATATCCACTGTAGCTTGGAATGGTTGCGATGTAAAACTTGCTGGAGAATTGCTTCCGTTCTGTACTTTCGAAATGCTAGTCATGTTCAATGCTGAGAAGGGTGAAGGGGAACTCGAGCGTGGAGAACCTGGGCTTGGAACCTCCGCGCGCGCACGAGGTACACTGCCGTTTATCATGCCATTCATCCCGCTTATACTGTCGCTTCGTGGTAGGAAACCTTTGTTATGGGCGATTCCTGCCACTGTGACGGGCAATTGAGGGGACGAGATACCAGAAGCACTCAATGGCGAGTTTTGACTACGTTGCAGTGCCTCCGAAGCGGCACGCAATAAGAGATTCGTCGTACCCAAAGCCTTCGTGGAGCCCGAACGTGCAGAACATACAATAGCAACCTTATGTTGATCCAGATATGTTCTGAGAATACGAATAATATTGCATATAGTCAGGTTCACAAGAAAGATTTGTGGTTCGACTTACGGTACGATTTCTGCAGCGATTTTTTCCGCGAATTTCCCGACGCTTGTCCCTCCATACTTCTGCACAATCCATGTTGCAGCAGGATCGATGCTGTTCTGATGCAAGTTTGACGGAGTCAGTGGGCCTGCCGAGGGCATCGTCGAATGGTCAGACAGGCTGTCAGACGAGTCTGGTGGTGAAGGATCTCGAGAGTTAGATGGAGAGGACGACATAGCGTGGGCTCTCTTTATATGCCTTCGTTTCGTAGAGACGTCGAAACTAGCTATGTCTCTGGCTGTGCGGGTATGGCAAGGTGCTGGCCCAGAGTTTTTTTGACTTTGGTTCTTCTAATCTAACTTCTATGGCAATTTAGCGTCCTGAAAGGGACGAGTCAGGTCCGTTTATAGCCGAATAGGCAGAAAGAAGGTCAAGTGAGCTCAGAGTAGAGCAAAACCTTGGTTAATGAGACAAAGGTAAAGAACGAGTAGCAGGTAGCAGTATAAGAGCCGTGCATTGCTGGCTTGAAGACAAAGATTTCGCTTGAGATGACTCGACGCGATTTTCCGAATATCGTTGGTCCATCGGCAAGTTAGTCCGATTCAGCCGAGCTCCTGCCTACAAGGACGATTCCACATTACATTATGATAGTTCAGAGGTTTCTGCCGTGCACCTCATCCTGCATGTTTATAATGCAATTTTGCGACAATGAACGGCTTTGTAGTACTGGCACACTTGTGCGAAATTGTATACGTTTAATTATCTCTCGTTCATCGTCTTGTACACGCTGTCCGCTCCGCTCCGTCTTCGTTCTGTGGCACAAGACCCGGCATCCTCCTGAAGCATTAGACATCCTTCAGCTCGTCTGCTTCTCATAGCTGCTCAGATCTCATTGGACTACCAGAGTAAAACGGAAAGGACAGAAGGTCAATCTTGTGTTCTGCTCTTCCATAGGTTCCAGACGGTCACTTCATATACCCACTTGGTATTGTCTCCCGATGGCCTGTAATTAGTCGGTACTGCGAGAATAGCCCAATGGCAATCTGTTCTTCTTGATCCAAAAATCCTCGATCTACCTGTCCGACAGACCTATCTTAAACAGCTTAGCTTTCATACTTCACCAAAGATAGAACCATATAATGGTGTGCATTTGAACTCTTCTATTTCTCATGTACTCAACTACAGAGGTAGATCCTGGAAGAATTTAACCACGACATTCGGATCATTTATAAGGCCATATGGACAAGAAGGCTTGTGAACTGGCATTCCATTATTCGCTCAATGACCTCCGTGCCGAGCAAATGTGCCAGAGATATCTGAAGTCACCCGCTAATCTACGTCCTCCTCGCTCCCTAATTGTCACTCGTAGCTTTTATCACCATTCCAGAATCCATGTATTGAGTTGCTAGGGGCTGTGTGCCTCTATGATGCCGTTCTACTTGTACCGCTTGTTTCTTACTGTCGTTTAATCTCATCTAGTGATTATTCCTCGTACTGAAAAGCATATGGAAGGCCGGATAGTCAGCTCAGACGTCCTTTCAGGAACAATCTTATAGTTACCAGGCGGAAAATTCACAACATGCTCCGCCCTCCTTTAATCAGAAGTTGATCCAGAAACGCGACTAAATATATGAACGGTATACAATCCAAGTATACACTGATCTCGAGCTTCAAAAATGCGCCTGAAATAAAATCCCTTCGCAGAGGACTAGACAGATTTCTGATCCAGTTTCACCGTTGTTGCCTCATAACCACGAATAGTTCCCCGTTCTCTACCGAGGATACTGGTTAGGGAAAGATCTAACGATGATGACAAAGTAATCAATAACACTGAAAGATTTTGCTGCATTGAACCAAACCGCTGTAACATCTAGAGTCCGAGGGTTTCTCGTCGTACTAGCCGTCACCCGTCTGTCCCTTTTCCCTACCTATATTCAATCCCTTCGCTCGTACTTATCAATATGCCCACCAAAATGCATACTTAGGTCGGGTGCCATAAATTCGTAGGAGTAAGTGAAGCAACATTGATCATAAGTCCCCCGAATGACTCATTATTTAATGCATTTATTCATGACAATAGCCTCATTGATCCGACCCAAAGCAGGAAATGGATATACCGAATGAAGTGTACGTATCCTTCCTGAAGCCAGCCAAGAGACTTCTCAAGGCACACTTTAGGGACCGTGTGCCTAAATTGCAAAGAGTCGAGTGCCACAGTTTGAGTTGCAAATGATGTCTATCTAAAGAATGGTCATTATATTGAGAGATAACTGCAGGACAGCGGTCCGTCCAGAGTGAGGCCTAGTGAGCTTACAGTCATTGGATTTTTTAGCAGATCTAGAACAATGTAGGCTCATTACATTTACACCCTTATTACCTTCCGTTTGCAACCTAAAGACGTGTTATGCACGGCAGCATTTTCACGAACGCTCTAGAACGGAGAAGCAGTACTACACTTCTTCTCACTACTTCGTCCTCGGCACCTTCCAAATCCAAAGTACTCAGTACTGTGGAAAAGTGTGGATAATAGAGATGATCACATCCCGGATGAGTCAACCGAACGTACGTCAATGTGAGCCCATGAGGATACAGCACTAACTTCAGCTATAAGTGTGGGAGCTTTCAGGGGATGAGGCCTTGATGTAAGAGGCACAGGAACATGCTGGTCGAGCAGAGGAGCACTAGGCACATGCCTACGCATTTGGATGTCTAACGTCTTCCTCTTAATTAGTCGAGAAAAACACGATTAAATAAGTTCCCTCGGTAGGTGGACAATCATGCGTATATGCTGTTTGCACGCCAAAACTAAGATGTGCTGTAAAGCTGGCATCTCCCCGAAGTCAAAAGCTACTGTCGAAATAGTGCATATAGTCAGTTAAGAGTTGAGTGAGACTATATCACAGTCAGTGCCTAGCATCAAAGGACCTGATGCAATTCGCCTGGCCACTGGATTCCTTTCTCCATAGACGAATACTTCACGCCTTAATAATTTTAGACAGTTGCTAGGACAGACCTAAGAAACGGGGCACTCTTCTCACTCCTTGAACCTTGGCCGAGTCTCTCTCCCTAATAAGTACCCGCGTTAGTTACAGAAGCCAGAAGCGCACAATGTTGACGACATTGCAGCCGCGGTGACCTGTACTTTAAGAGATACGTTTCTCCTCGCGGGAGAACACTTAGAGGTGTAAGGCACAGGTACAACGGCGATGGCGATTAGGTGCAATGTGTAGCTCAAATGGGGTGAGCCATGGTCAGAGTTCTTGGAGCCGAGAAGAGCCTCTTACTTATTTGTGCCGGCCTCCGTCGACTGGATCGATCGGATCGAAAGTAGACCTGATATAACAGGGAAGGACTCTGGTGGTCCGATAGAACACGATGAGTCTTGCCAGCCAACCAAATCCCGGTTCTGGGTGTGTTCAAGCTTGCGGGACTCTGGTACCCATATCCGTCTCCGTGCTTCTTGCGTGTCGATGTCCTCATCATTTCCCCCTGATCATCCGTGCGGGCTTGCCACCCTCCTGATCATCGGGTGTGACTGGTATTTGAGTTCGAGGATCGTTGTAGGCATGTCCCCAGGTCAGGTCACTATCGACGATGAACAACCGAGCATGCCCGTCTGCACTTAATCTTTATTTATAATTGCATCTGCGAGTTGAGGCATGGGTTTATCCGCGTGCATGACGATCGAAGTGCCTGAGCCACTAAGGCAACTAGAGGTGGCTCGCGTTGAAGAATACGAGGACGAGGACGCATAGACTCTTGTATGCTGCTTAATCCTTCAGGCATCAATCCAAGACAGGACTACTTCGGACGGTGAGCAATGCCGTAAATTTTCAAGATTACATTGAGACATAGGAGTGAGATTTGTTTACTGGTTTCTTATTCAGTAAGGATGAATAGACGAAAGCATATTTAAGTTGTGTCTTACCAGAGGCTTCATCGAAGGGTGAAGCTAGGCAGCATTAGCCGCCGACCGCCGACCACCTGGGATATCAATATCCAAGTCATAGGCGGCGTGCATTCACGAAGGATTCCATTCTTCAAGTCCGACTCCGAGTGCAAATAATTTCCATCCCTATCAAGAGGGAAGCCGCCTGCAATGATCAAATGCAAGAAAGAAGCAGCGTCACAGATGCCACATGCATATGCTGCATGCACCGCGTGCGCGCTCTGATGCAAACACATCACAATTTCCTCTATTTGTAACGCTCGAGAGTATTTTCGCGCGATATGTCGCTTTTGAGAAAAGCAGACAATACCTCATGATTGGTGTGCAAGCCCCGAGGGTTTCGAAGATGAGCAACTGAAGTGCCTATTAGATTGATCCTTGGACAGCGCACGGATGCGCGCGCTCCGCTCCATAGCCGTTTGAATGTTCAATTGTATATCCCTGGACAGTCGGGAATTAAGATACAGCGCCTTGCACGTTCCAAGCATATAAGGAAGTAAGAGAGCCCGACGTATTTGAATGTCCTCTTGCAGCACCGATAACAGATTAATGCTAAGCGAACCTTCGCTGTCCTCGGGACTATTAGAAACCCGGAATGATAAAGGATTGACTAACTTTTCAGCGCCTGATGTTTACGCAGAATTACCGCTATATGTGAGCCAGCAATTAGAATTCCAGACGTTCACGGGTACCCGTACGGCCCTTTGGATTCGGAAAAGGTAGAATAGAAGATGTGCAACATGCCAAAGAGGGTCGGAGAGTGTTTATGGCTAGACGCGCCAGCCAGACGGCATTACGGCGTGCACGTCAACCGGGCGTATCGGACTGTTGATGATTACGGGAAGACAGTGATAGAATTATGTACCATGAGTGCATTAATGCATGCTTTTGGTGTCGGTACCTGGCTCGTCAAGAATTGCTTGACTGTATTGCATCCAGATCGTTAGTCGTTCCAGTTCTAGTGTGAGCATCATATCAGGTTACTCCGGTGCAACCCTCCATTAATTTTGATCTCGCGTGTTGGGAAATGGAAGCTAGGAACGGAAGGCTGAACAAAAAGAGCGGCTAAGCAGCCGCGTACGAAAGCCTAGTCCATGTTCGCCGGAGTTGCAGTGGTAACTGGAACACAGAACACACATTGACACATATTGCGCCATCACCCTAACATGGTGCATGTTGGATAAAATGGGGGACTGAGGAAAGCAGAAATGATATGTGACAGAAATCCGGTTGGACCGCGGAATAACAAGAAGGGGCGTGTATGGCGGAGGAGGTGTATGTCATGGACTGAACTGCGGGCTGTGCCCGTATAGAGGGGGTGAGTGCTGGAAACGGAGCGCGGATAGATTCCGATAGGCCGGTTGTCGGTGCCTGTGCGGCGCGTTTGGAGGAAGAAGGCGATGCATCGAAGGACGCGGGCTCAACGAACATGAGGTTGCTGACAAGCAGTCACCAGGCACCCGTCCAGGTACACGCTGCTGCTTCTCAATTCTAACTCAGATCCATGGGCCCCCTTGCAATCAATTCCCAACTGATTACTATCATTGGCAGTGTGCGCCTCTGCGCGTGCACTTTGCTGCCAGCAGGAAAACATCGCGGTGATTATTATCCACGAGAAAAGCACAGGGGGACGGCAGCAGTGCGACTGCCAGCTGTCACATCTGGAGGAGCATATGGTGCTCGGGGTGCTGCGGAAAGGGAAAAGAGAGAGGGATGGGGAAAGGAAAAGTCTATTTGGAGATTTTCAGGGCGGATGGGTTGGGCGAGACGAGTATGGATGGTGAGAATCTGCCTCCCGATAACCGGTTATTCATTTCTTGACTCGCCTGTCACTCGACATCCCTCTTCTTCCCCTGCGCACATCACTCGCGCTGCTATATCTCTCCAGCTTCCCTCCCCGCCCGTCCGCAGACTATTATTCCGCTGCGGACGCAATCTGCAATCCTGGCCGCCAATCATCACACTAGCGCAGATCGCGACCCCAGCGCTAGCGACAGTGACAACGCCGCCGCTGCCAGCTCCAGCTCCAGCACAAGTCAGAGCGCCACCAACGCGACTTCAAGCAGTACCGCTGCCTCCAACCGGCACGCGTCAGGTTCCACGCGTGCCGGAGGCGGTTTCACTAGCTTCTTCCACCACACAATGCCCTCGCGTACTGGAGCAAAGGGTGACGACCCGCTTGCGCTCGTCATGGCCCCGCCTCCAGACGAGACGCCGGATCAACAGGTAGCGCGTCTTGCCCGCGAAGCTGAAGCGCGACGTATCAGCGAGGCGATTGACGAACAGCTCAAGCAGGAACGCCTGCAGCAGAAGAAGTATAAAATCGTCAAGCTCCTCCTCCTTGGGCAAAGCGAATCTGGTACGTCCTGTTCTAAACGGTGCCTATGTCAAATGTCCTTTGCATCACGTGATTATCCATAGCTTTCTGCGAACATAGCTTGTGCGCTTCGAGGATGCTCAAAGCGCATATAGTGTGCTCGTGGAAGCTATGAGGAAGCAGTCTGGGCTGCCCGATCACCGTTTCATTTGAGGCAATGATAATCGATCACTGACTAACGTTCATTTGCCGTGTAGGGAAATCCACCACTCTACGACGTGCGTCCCAGTCTCTCGCACATATTAATTCAGTTGTAAGATGTGCCATTAATTATTGTAATTATTTCGTCCAGAATTTCAACGATTATACACGCCATCGGCTTTTCGCGAAGAGCGAATATTATGGCGATCTGTCATCCAGCTTAACCTCGTACGTTCTGTACGTAAAATCCTTGATGCAGTTGCAGAACATTCCGACGCGCTTTATGCCGAATCTCTCCATTTGCGAAATGCGATGGGCGGCGTCGACGACGGCGGAGGCGATTCAGATGGTGATGGTGATGATGCGACGTTTTTCACTGATCCTGGGTCACATTTGCACGAGCTCAGCATGCGATTACTGCCGCTTCGACATATAGAACAGCTTCTGATTGCAAAGCTAGTCCCGCCAGACGAGGAAGAGGCGACGCATTTCGGTTCTAGTACAGGTGGCTTTGTATCTGTGCTGGGCCCAAACGATGCGAGCGGAAGCGGGAGTAACGGGAACTATGCTGGGGAAGGCTTTGCAAGTGGGAGCGAGTTCAAGGGGCATCACGGTGGTACGGTGGGGCGGTTACACGACAGGGCCGGACGAAATCAGGAGATATTCGTGCGCCCAGGTACCGCGTGGAAAGGATTCGTTGCGCGCGGGAAGGACCGACCATCAAATCGTTCGCCCTCGCCCTCACAACACTCGCATACACACTCTTACTCTCAATCGTATTCAAAGGGCCATCCACACCACGGTCATTCTCTCTCTCATGATCTTTCACAGAGCATAGATCTGCACGACGAAACGACAGCCGTATTGCATTCGTGCCGACATGACATTATGGAGTTATGGCGTGATCCAACTGTCCGAGAAGTACTTCGGAAGAAGAAGATCCGACTAGAGGAACAACCCGGCTTGTACGCACTTTGTTACTTGTGTTCCTGCACCTTGAAGTCCATGAATGATTTTTTAACCATTATTTGCTTTCGACGATACAGCTTCCTAAATGACCTAGAGCGAGTAACATCGCTGAAATACATGCCCTCGGATGGTACGTTCGCTTGATCTATTCTTGTTATTAACGCCTCGATTTGAAGTAACCTGCTGGCATGTCCTATAGATGATGTGCTTAAAGCACGACTGAAAACTGTCGGCGTGTCAGAACATCGGTTCGAGATGGAGTCTGGTCGTGAAAGCGGGACAGAATGGCGAATTGTGGATGTGGGCGGGTCGAGATCACAGGTTAGCTATAATGTCATATCTCATTCTCTAACTCCTACTGATATTCGAAATTGGTGCCTCCTCCCCTTTAGAGACGTAAGCAATCTGACTGTATGCTTTCTCACATGGACCGAGCTGAATACATGGGATTTTATCATTCATCTTAGCTACCTGGATTCCGTTCTTTGAGGATGGTATGTTCCGTGAAGCAATTAACACACGTCATGGAAGTTTACTGACTGGTGCTTAAGTAAATGCGATCATTTTCCTTGCACCAATCTCAGGCTTTGATCAAGTCCTTGCAGAGGATCGAAGTGTCAATAGATTGGTCAGTGCTTTTTTCTCAATTTCATCGCTTATTATCTATCACGTTTGACTGAATTTGAACGCCGACCTCTTGCAAACAACCCACCCATGCTGAAACTAGGAGGACAGCGTACTGCTTTGGAAGATGATTTGTTCGAATAAACTATTATCAAATGTCGAGCTCGTTCTCTTCCTAAACAAGTGTGATATTCTCGATCGAAAGCTCAAGGCTGGCGTGCGGCTCGCGAAATATGTTCGTAGCTTCCAGGACCGGAGTAACGATTCAGACACAGTGCAGAAATGTGAGCTACCTGTCTGCTTTGCGACTCATTCATGCTCCCACTACCCACGCGTCCTTCCTTCCGCTATCTAAGATGAGGAGGCAACAATTGCATGAGCATGGGCGCAGAAGAGCATTTCATCACTGACACTTACTCTCGCCACAGACTTCAAAGCAAAGTTTGCTGCTATTCAAAGAGAATATTCTCCCAACCCAAGGAAGTTCTATGGATTCTGCACTTCTGTGACTGTATGTGTTTAACTCTACTCTGTGCTCGTTGGTACATGATTATGTCACGACCTCACCTGGTGGCTTGGTTTAGGACATAACGACTACATCTGGCATCCTTGCAAGTGTGCGGGATATGGTTATGCGGGAACATTTGAAGCGGTCGAAATTACTTTAATTCCGAACGACAGTCAATTGCAATAACATGCTAAAGAAATCCGTAAGTTCATAATGGTGAGTGTCTGTGTGCATCCAAGCTTCATTTTATTCCTGACAAACGATTCTCATTGCCTTTCAGCGCTTTCTTGGAGCATTCCACGTTTTCACGCTGAACATATCTTGTCGTACGGCTATCATATTACACGTGTTTCCATTCCAGTCAGCGCTTGTCGTTCATGTCTCTCGAAGACGCCGTTGGTTCTGCTTCCGCTGTTCTTCCTCATATCAAGGCATCACAACTGCGAGGCGATTTACTTTTTTCGTCCTCCGGCCTTATCGGGGTCGTCCATACTCATCGGACGCCTCACCCTGCAAGTCCGACCTCATCGCCACGAGTTTTTCGCCGGTGTGTACGGACATCATTCCTGTCTGATCAGACCGAGCTCCTCAGATCTACATCGCAACTCACATTGTGCGCCTCTGTTAAAATCAACAACTCCGACGTCATCCATTGTACTTTACTAGCTGTACCTACATTTGTGATGCACTATCTTTTCCCATTCCTCCCTCAAGAGTCATTTTTATTGTTTCTTTCCGCCTAGCTCATTTTACGAGTTTCATTTCCGCGGATCCAGCCTTTTTTGATTCATTCTTGACCTTTGATTTTGGGCATTATGAACTTTATGTGGTCCTTTTCTGCTTCCTTACGTTTGATAGATACATTCCACTATCTGCGAGGATAACACCAGCCCTGCCTTTACCTTACTCGAGCTACACTTTGCAGGGCCCAATATCTCTCCCTGCGTCTTATCTCACGCCAAGGCCTGTTTTCCTTATCAGCGGACGCGTATGCTGTCTGCTGCCATCCTACCTGTTCTTGAGGTTCCCGTATTACAAACTCATGCCTTACCTGCAGTTTCCTATCCTTTTACCCGACTCTCCATCTTCTCTGCATGATCTTCATTCCGTCAACTTGTTCGTTCCTTCCACACACAAGGAAGCTGACAGAAATTAGCCATACCATACTGTTCCGAAGTGGCGTGATCAACTACCGTCCGTGTCCCGCACATCGTGTACGATATTGTATGTTGCATATTCGAGCGTGTATATACGTACTGTGTGTACAATATTAATTGTATACCGCATACTGCATACTGCATAGCTAGATAATAAAGTGGAATTGAAGACACGAGAGAGCAAGTTGTGTTGCTTGTAAAAGGAGCCTAGTCTACAGTTGCTGTAATTAGTTGAGGTTTAAGTTCAGCTAAGTCACTACCTACCAAAAACGTTCAATAAATAGGAAGAAGTGCAATGCTTGCACAATGCCTTGAACACTGGAACCAAGGAAAACAATTCTAAATGATTCCCGAGACAAATTTGATGAAATAATGCAAATTCGAGGGTTGCATACGCAACAACACTTATACAGCTGGCTATTTATAGAGCTTGGTAAATTACATACCGGACTGTCCGTGCTAAGAATAGTCAGTTTCTTTCAGAGCGGCAGATAGACTCGGTCAAAACATCGAGATAGGCTTTGTTCGTGTGATGACAGACGGTCGGGAAATAATCGATTGAAATACTGGCGGCCTTGCTTTTGAACCGGTACATCCAGCTTTAATTGCGAGTGCATATGATATCCTAGCATCCTCATGATGTTGTATAATTCTTCACTGCATCAGACTACTGAGCACCGCGTATGCATGCCGGACGGAGATTACAAATTTCGATGGCCGCCATAAAGGATGCGAATCAGCGCATCAGTGGAACAGGAAGGGCTCATGCCGTCCCCAATATTACTGGCACCGACATAGCCAGTTTGATGAGGCACATCCGAGCGTTTCATAGATCATAAATCCAGTGGATTTTGACATTACGTAACAATTCATGTTCCACGGATAGACACAAAAAGGCAAGAATAGTCAAGATTAAGAACCCGGAGTTCAAACCCATAACTCGTGCGAGCAATCCTGCGGAATGAAGAGCAGAAACGGAGGCGAGGAAGTAAATACGGAAGGAAAGATACGTCACCGGTTTGCGGGCTGCGGGAGTAGTCATTCCGAGCGGCCGCCCGTCCTTAAGTGCTCGAGCTTGTATGGCTTGAGACGGTTTCAATCAGTTTCAAGGACAGAAACTCTGCGTTATATTTAGATTCCGCTAGTATGCCAGATAGAGCTAAGTCGGATTTATGTGCACTGCGGTTGTCGGTGTCAAAAGATTGCGGCGCTCGCAAGCTGCAAGAAGCGGAGGTGCGGCGTATGCTATACACATTTGGAGGGGAGGATTTTCCTAGGAGATCCCAACAGCTTGATGCGAAAGACTGGCCAAAAGGAATTGTTCGGGTTTCCGTGTCGTTGTCTGAGGTGACTTCCAAAGCGCTTCTGCATGAGATTGCACTTCGAGATCGGAGCAGGACGTCAACATCATTTGAATTGCAGAGCTAACCTTGCCTGTATGTCACAAAAGGCAAAGATAAGAGTGGCCGGCCAGAAAAAAAGCTGGAGATATAGCATTGTGGACATCGCATTTCCATATCTGTCGCACTTAACTGCCAATCGCAGGACAGGCATGCGGCAAACAAAACGTTGGATATCCGTGTCTGCCGCTTTCAAACCATATGATTAGCTCAAATGGACATCATAAAAAACGTTGGGAACACGAGCTGGCTGATACACGCTGGGGTTTTTGTTTCCGCGTCCATAGGAAGCATTTCACCGGGACAATCGGTTCTTACCGTAGAGATGTGCTCTTGTTGCGGGTGGCGAGACTCAACCTGGTATGGTATGTGGTACCAGATAGTCCAATCGTATGTGTTCAAGGCAGACAATTGGGTTTGAAACACAAGGAACGGCAAAAAGTCGCATGTAAAACGGGTCGTACGACAGGAGAGAAGCTGGTTGGGAACCCGATGCGGGAAAAGAAATAGAAAATATAAGCGAGTAGCGTAATCGTGGGAATATTGGGGACTGTGCCAGTCCCTCCCAAATTTATAGTCGATCTTCCTACTTTCGCCCTACACCCCCGTCCTCTTGCCCGCCATGTCCGCAAAACGTACGTCTCCTGCATCCTCGCTGCCACCACTGCTTCTGAGTTCTGTACTAATAACGCGCATATGTTCGTCTCTTCACAGCGATCAGGGAGTTTGACGCGAAACTCGTACTTGCCTACTGGCTATCCCGCTCACCGTCCCTCTCTGGCGGAAAGCCAGAGTCGGATCTCGCGACCCAATTCGTGTATCCTCAACCAAATGTTGCGCAAATCGCGTGGGATGAGGCAACAAACACGATCACCGCGGACAGCCAGATCCCGCAATGGGTGTTCTCCACCAAGCTCGTTGCGAAGCCTGATCAACTCATCAAGCGCCGTGGCAAGGCGGGTCTACTTGCTCTCAACAAAACCTGGCCCGAAGCGAAGCAATGGATAGCGGAGCGTGCAGGCAAACCTGTTCAGGTAAGCGCACGTTCCTGAGTTTTTATCTCTTAATTCGCGAAGCCTTTGAGCTCTGCATACAATCACTCCATTTCGCAAGGAGTCCCAACAATTATCAAATTTCATCATATCTTTTCAATCTTCTATTATTTATATTACTTCGAGCATTATCGATCGGGCTACTGAAGACAGACGGACGCGTTTCGCGTTCGGAGTCCTTCCCCGCAAAGAATGCAGTGTCCTCACGTGATCTAAATGAGATGCTAAATTTAATTTTAAATTTGCCGTTTAGGTCGAAAAAACGACGGGTGTCCTCACCAACTTTATCGTCGAACCCTTCCTCCCACATCCATCGAATAATGAATTCTACATCTGTATTACCTCTGCTCGTGAAGGCGACACAATACTTTTCACCCATGAAGGTGGTGTAGATATTGGTGATGTTGATGCTAAGGCACTCAAGCTAGATGTTCCCGTTGGCGTGTCTTTCCCCGCACGTGCGGCCGTTGCGTCTACTCTACTCACTCACGTCTCCGACGCTAAGAAACGTGAGACTCTCATCGACTTCATCACGCGTATCTATGCCGTGTATGTGGACCTCCATTTCGCATACCTCGAGATCAATCCGCTTGTTGTCCTTGATGGCGAGGGCGGCAAAGAACCAACCGTGCATTTCCTCGACATGGCCGCCAAGCTCGATCAGACCGCTGAGAGCATCTGCGGTCCTAAGTGGGCCATTGCACGTGACGTAAGCGTCTCCCCGTCCTCTCAGAGCTCGACAAAGGTCATCGGTGCCGACCGCGGCCCTCCAATGGTCTGGCCCGCTCCCTTCGGAAGACAGCTTACGAAGGAAGAGGCTTACATCCAAAAGCTTGATGCATCGACTGGTGCTTCTCTCAAACTCACGGTTCTTAATCCCGAAGGACGCGTGTGGACCATGGTTGCTGGTATGTTTTTCTTCGTATCCGTTTAAGGGAAAGTATTCAGTACTTCGCTTTCAGGTGGTGGTGCTTCTGTTGTATACTCGGACGCCATTGCCGCTCATGGATTCGCACACGAACTTGCAAACTATGGCGAGTACTCGGGTGCACCGTCAGAGGGTCAGACGTACGAATACGCCAAAACCATCCTCGATCTCATCACTCGTGGCACTCCAAAGCAAGATGGCAAGATTCTTATCATTGGCGGTGGAATAGCGAACTTCACGAATGTTGCAGCAACCTTCAAGGGTATAATTCGAGCTCTGAAGGAATACAAGGCCGGTCTCATCGCTCACAATGTCAGGATTTTTGTCAGGCGTGGTGGTCCTAACTACCAAGAGGGTTTGAAGGCAATGCGGCTGCTCGGAGAGTCACTCGGCGTACCAATCAAAGTGTACGGCCCTGATACTCATATCACTGAGATTGTTCCCATCGCACTCGGCGTCAAGTCAACGCGGAAATCTGGTGTAAGCTCTGCTCGTTCTATTCCCCCATCGGCGCCCGCTTCGCCTCCACCCGGTAAGGTCGTTGGGGGTGCTCCCTCGGACGAGGCGTCTGTCGGTGCTATTCTCCCATCTGGTGAACGGACGCAACAGGACGACCAGATTGTACACTTTGCTGATGGCAAGAAAGGAATTTCTCGCCCATGGTACAAGCCTTTCGATGCGGAGACCCGCAGTTTCGTGTATGGTCTCCAGCCACGAGCCATTCAGGGCATGCTCGACTTTGACTATTCGTGTGGGCGAGCCACACCGTCTGTTGCTGCGATGATCTATCCCTTTGGTGGTCACCATATCCAGAAATTCTACTGGGGAACAAAGGAGACTCTCCTGCCAGTATACACTAGCGTCGACGAGGCGGTGAAGAAGCACGCTGATGTTGACGTCGTTGTAAACTTCGCCTCCAGTCGTAGTGTCTACAGTAGTACACTTGACATCATGTGCTATGCGAACCAGATCAAGACGATCGCGATCATCGCTGAGGGTGTTCCGGAGAGACACGCTCGTGAGATCTTGCATCTGGCGAAGGCCAAGGACGTTCTCATCATCGGTCCTGCCACAGTCGGTGGAATCAAGGCTGGGTGTTTCAAGATTGGTAACTCAGGAGGGTAAGTAAGCTGTGGTTTGGAGTGGATGGCCAACACTGACTTTCTTTGGCTAGTATGATGGATAACATCATTGCATCAAAGCTGTATCGTGCCGGTTCCGTTGGTTACGTTTCAAAGTCCGGAGGCATGTCGAACGAGCTGAACAATATTCTCTCGCTTGTTACAAATGGCACATATGAGGGTATTGCCATTGGTGGTGATCGTTATCCCGGATCAACATTCATTGACCACCTCCTTCGGTACGAAGCTGACCCCGATTGCAAGATGCTTGTCTTGCTCGGAGAAGTTGGTGGTATCGAAGAATATCGCGTGATTGAAGCTGTGAAGTCTGGCAAGATCCGAAAGCCCATTGTTGCATGGGCAATCGGAACGTGCGCGAAAATGTTCACAACTGAAGTGCAGTTCGGACATGCTGGCTCCATGGCAAACTCACAAATGGAGACTGCAGATGCAAAGAATGCGGCGATGAAGGCTGCTGGTATTATCGTACCAGAGACGTTTGAAGATCTTCCGGATGTTCTGCGTGAAACGTACGACGCACTCGTCTCCGCAGGCAATATCGTACCGAAGGCAGAACGCGAACCACCTGTTATTCCAATGGACTACAAGTGGGCACAGGAGCTCGGTCTTATCCGCAAGCCTGCTGCATTCATCTCGACTATCTCGGATGAACGTGGACAGGAACTGATGTACGCCGGAATGCGCATCTCCGACGTATTCAAAGAGGAGGTCGGTCTTGGTGGCGTTGTAAGCTTACTTTGGTTCAAGCGCCGCTTACCACCGTGGGCGACAAAATTCATCGAGATGGTGCTCATGTTGACTGCTGATCACGGGCCAGCTGTTTCTGGGTACTTGCTCACTTCGTGCTCCAATAATGTGTGCTGATGTCCCGTCTTAACAGTGCTATGAATACCATTGTTGCGACCCGCGCGGGCAAGGACCTTATCTCTTCATTGGCTTCTGGCTTACTCACGATTGGTTCTCGATTTGGAGGCGCACTCGACGAGGCCGCTGCTATGTTCTCTAATGCACGTGACACTGGCCTCACCCCGCGTGAGTTCGTCGATGAGTCGCGTAAAGCTAACAAACTCAGTACGTCAGCTTTCGCTTTCTTTCAATGAGGACAGTGTTTCTGATTCCCCGCTATAGTTAGTGGCATTGGCCACAAGATTAAGAGCGTCAACAACCCGGATCTGCGTGTCGAACTTGTCAAGGAATACGTGTTTAAGAATTTCCCAAGTCACTCGTTGCTCGACTATGCACTTGCAGTTGAGAAGGTCACGACGTCGAAAAAAGATACGCTTATTCTTAATGTCGACGGATGCATCGCTGTGTGCTTCGTCGATCTCCTTCGTGACAGTGGTGCATTCACTCCGGAAGAAGCAGACGAGTACATTAAGGTGCGATCAGCTGCCTGATCAACTGTATTCAAGTTATTGATGGATCGGCCCCAATTTAGATCGGTACACTCAACGGACTCTTCGTTCTCGGTCGCAGCATTGGCTTCATTGGCCACCATCTCGACCAGAAACGCCTACGCGCACCGTTATACCGTCACCCAGCTGATGATATCTTTATCAACATGGCTGATGTTGCACAACCCCGCGTTTCCGTTAAGCTGGGTTAAAGCGCCAGACATACAAAAACCCTCTCATAGCTCACCTGTCTTCACGTCTCGAAGACGGTGAGTAGATTATTCGTGTTTCTGCTTGCGTGGTCCTCAGTTGTGCAAATTTCTCGGTTAGCCAAAAATTCTACTTGACTTTTGATCACCACTATGTGTTTCACGTTGGCCGTTTAGACTCTTTCCATTATCTGTAGGTAGAAATCAAAGTTCACTCATAGATTATGTAAGAAGGACATAATGTAAATCCATATCCTTTGACCAATGCAGGTGCGAGAGAATATCAATATGGTGAAAGCTGCGTGTACATAGCAACGCATCAAAATCTGGCGCCAAATATTGGCGAATCTGGGCATTCAAGGCGCTACGTCGGTCAAAGTGCACATGGTGTTTCAACGTTTTGCTCAAGCACGTCCACAAGCGCGATACTGTCATTGTTTTCCGAGTACCGCTGCCCAGATATTGTAATTGTTGTTTGAGTTTGTTGACCATGATTTCGATAACAAGTGAACATCATGTTAGGGTATCCATCTCGATTACCTGTAGACACCGGTGAACCTACATGATCGAATCCCTTCCAAGTTTGGCTAACAAAAAGCTTATGTGTAGAGGAAATAAGTGTATGGTGCTGTGGGTTTAGCACTAGCCAGGGGCTTGCATAACTGAAGCAGTGACAGTACAATCACTGAGTAAAAACAAAAAACAAGCTTTGTGGTATGACAATCCTTCCATCGCTGTAGCCTTTGAAGCGAATAAGAGGCAATTGGAAAACATGGCGCTTTAGGCGTGAACATTTGAAGATTCGTTTTTTTAATCAATAATTGAACGAATGTTGACGCAGATTTCAAATTCTTCAGTGATTTTGATTTTTCAATATGCATCTTTCGAATGCTGCCCGCATTTTGTCGACGGCGTTATGTAGACAGTGACAATTGAACGGAACACTTCCCTTTGATACTCGCAGCTAGTATCAATAAGTAGGCAGAACCTTTCGGAGGGGACAATTAACATGTCCTGTGAGCTGACGTTCTTTGCTAGACCACGCGTGGATATTGAATTTTATGTTTTTGTATGCTAGGAACCCCGTACAGAAATGAGTAGTGTAAGGATCCATTCTAGCAATTAACGCCTGACCCTAAAATGCTCGTATCCCGCAGAGATCTAATACCAGACGCGTATGGATAATCCGATGAGTCAGAGAGCGTTTCAAGTGTACCACCTACAGCGGCAGTGGCGGACTCTGCTTGTATGCCGGTGACCACTACAGGCCTGCTCAAGAGTAATCCCCGTGGTGCCAAACAAGAAAGCAAACATCACTGCAGACATAGGCAGTTATTTCAGGATAATTTGCAGAGTATTGCTAACTCCGACATACACTCATGCAATTCGCAATAATAAGTTCTTTGTGTTAGCAACAGAGACAGAGCCCAAGGAGAAAAACCTTCGAAGATGAGGCAGATGAGGCAAGGAGTCATTTTCAAAGTAAACGACTGTTTCTATGCGAGAGCTGTTACCGTGAGTAATATCGATGACGGTCTGGACAACTCTGGAGGAGGAACGTTCGGGATCGCATATTGTGGCGAAGGGTGCCACCGGTCACCCAGATGCCTCTATCGTACGACAACTCATCATTGTGGACTCGAGGCGAGATGTATCAACGGCAGAAACAGGGAGACGGATGTCCTAATAGAAATTCTGTTGGGATATGGAACTTACTACTGTGCAATGCATAATATCATAAATATTAAATATGTATAGAAGACTACCTAAGTAGTGGCACGTGACTGATGTTACACGTGCTATGATGAACTGTGCCTACAGAGTTAAACAAATAATCGTACATTATGTGTGTGCATGGGCCCACCACGGGTGCATCTCGGTTATCGTATTGAGATCATTAATGTACTTATCACTCGAAAGAGAAAGCTGGTATGATTGATTTGACGACAGTTACTTTTATTAGTTCAAGTTGACAATGCATCTCATCTTTCATAAAGGTACATGAGCTTTCGAACATGGAATTCTGACAGTACGATTATTGAAACATATTGTGGTCATCATGGCTCAAGATGTAGCTGAGACGGTGAGTCTCTGCCTCGCGATTTATATTGCATGTGTTTTATGGCTTGAGATATTATTTCAACTTCCAGTCGATCGTGATTCGAAACTTGCGTACATTCTCATGCTCCACGCAGTATTAACACGACAATCATGCCCTTTGTCTTTGTCTTATCCTATTCCTAGGGACCTGAAGATCTCGCCTAGAGGTTCTCTTAGAGATTGTCAACAGCGGTCGCGTCTCACGATCTTCGGACATACTCTGGCGCCTTGAATGCCGCACTGCCATTGCATGTTTTGAAATACAAGGGCACTTAGATAGCACGTGGTGCAATGCTGTGCTTGACTGAGCAAATCTGATTTTGTCTCGTTACTAACGAACCTAGAGTTTATTCGAACGAGAATAATGGAGCTGGCGCTCGGCAAAATCGGAAGTCGGAGCAGACTGCTGTCCGTAATACTGTGTACGAAATTCGGTGCTCTGTCCCCCCATTCTCCGAGCAAACGAGTGGCGTCGGATTCCCTCAGAATTGCATTTTTGGCTGTGGCAAGGCATGTTGTAAATTCCTCGTTTAAGAACTCAAGAACTGAGTTGCTTTGTGTCTTTCGCCACCATAAGAATAGAGACTCTATGTGCTTGATAATTCCGGAGCGCGTACAAGCAAGGAGTATACAAGTCGAGCAAAACTTCAACATGCCAGGGAAGGCTAGCAGTTGTGATCTCTGGCTGATGAATGAGTTGATGAATGGTTGACGGAAGCAAAAATAGGCAAGTGAATCTCAATAAATCTCGCCCCTGGACGACGCGAGCCCGATCACGATCTCGGACATATTGTCGCGTCGTCCGCCGATAGCGCCTTCGAAGGGATTTTGGCAAGTTGTCGCTATCCAGGCCTACTAAACATTCATGAGCCGCCGCGACCACGAAAAGTACATAGATTGCATGACCGCTCACAGATCAACTCTCAATGAAGGAAGGGTCCATTCTTCTGTCAGCTACGCATATAGTTTTCTCCGCGGACTTCCTTGTTTAGGAAGGGAGAGAGAAATAGAAAAGCACTAGTCTCCGCATTCAGAGCAGAGTATGCATCATTTAGCGAAGACTGGCTTACTGCATATCATACAGGTACGGAACAGAGTTCAAGCCATGTGTGGACGAGAGCTGAAACAGGCGTTCATGACGTACACTGCCGCTGATATCACTGGTGGTCTTTGCGTCTGACTTTTGGGCTCCCACGTTCCATAATGCGGAGCGGAAGGCGGGCGGAAGGGAGCGGCAGTCCATTTTTCATTTGGCACAGCCAATCGCTAGACTAAAATTTGATCAATGTCGTGCATAGGGAACAGGAAATCATAGTTGCTAGAAGTATCCAGGCTTTTAGGCCTCCGCTGTGATTGTTCGTATGAGCTTTGGAAGTCAATTCGATCCGCTAAAAGAAGGTTTGACTGACGGATGAAGGGACCATTCTACCTGGGCGCTCTGATACAGATGTTCTTGAGCGGCTACTCTGTGCGGTGCAAGCACATTTAATGTAGACGAAATTTGTTTTCATTTCGACTACCTTGGTGAACAACCCCAATCAAAAGCAACCATCTGCCCCAATGTCCGTCTGACTTGGGATCGCTTATATCATGTTTCTACCATTCATGAAGTATGATTGTGATTTCATGAACAATTCGGGTTCCGCCATATCGAGGATGTCTGATGGCACTTTCACGGGCTCTACCTGCTGTCCATGGCATCCGCGTCAGTCGTGGACAACGAGCCGTGGTGCACAATGCTTAAATGAGGGTTTGCTGATCGTTCCAGGTTACCAATAATTGTCCGAACACTGCGTGCTACACGGGCTTCTCGGCGAACATTACAGTCTGTTTAAGCACGCAGAATAAAATAACCAGGAGCGAGAGACATGTAGAGAGACTGCTGAGCCTGACCTAACTGTATAAAGTTATCCGAGTGGTGTGCTGCTTGACCAGCTGAACAACTGAACGTGCTGCGAGATGCGCATTTAGAGCGAGGAACGAGTTCCCTGCATTTACGGCTCAGGCCGACTGATCAGAATATACTCCCACTGTCCCCTTTTTTCATTCTCTGTATTCTGTTTTGTTGTGTATAGAGGAGGTTGAGTTTACAGTCTGGGAAGGCTGATCAGGGTGTTTCATGTTGCGAGATCGGCGGATGAGACTGCCTCGTTGTGATGATCTGAGAGAGGTGAAACAGTTCGACCGCCTTGTCTGATTTCATTACCGTAATGTTGTGTAGAGAGGGACAGGGAGAGAGTCGAGAGACGAGCAGGCGAAGATGATGCTGCGTCATCGTGGTTATCACTCGTACCAGAGCCGATAAAGGAAAACGTATGACTTGCGCCGGATCGACCATCGCTCTGACTCTCGCTAGATCACCAGCCATCAGTCCTTTCCAATACGTTGCTGCTGTTCGTTGCGCTACTGGCAAACGACCTTGTTTTCTTCAGACGAGAAGCTATATCCGTGGATGACAAACGAGCTTCGGTGCCTTTCAGCGTTAGATTGCCTTCCAATTACAATTCCATCACTGCATCTGCCTGCGTGGCATTTTTCAGTGATCCGAACCTCATTTGTTCTGTCTGTCTCCACCTCTACTCAGTACTCTAGCGCTGCTGCTTATGAACCAACTTTATTGTCCTATGCGCTTACCATCCTGGCATTTCTGCTACTGTTGGCGTGCATACATCTCTGCACTGCAGTTGAATTGTTAATGCATTCAGAATACTAATGGTAGACTACACTCGCTTTCAAGTTGTTCCAGGTGGTTCCTTGCATTGAGAGATGCGATCAAGAACAATCAACATCCCTTATTGATGGCTGTCGTTGACCCCAAAGCTATGAATATACAGGCAAGTGACAAGACCCTGCGATGGTTTTCCTGTGGCACTGTCTACCAAGGTCTTCTTGTCTGAAGCACTTACGACCTGGCCCTAGAAGCAGATCGCGTTTCTTCGCGACCCTCTCTTCACGATCATAACTTCAGCGTTACAGTGGTGCCATCTTGTCATTGCCAGGCAGCCGTTGGCCCACCTCCCCGTAGAAGCCATCCGGGTCACTGACAGATGATTTGCGATCGTATAAGTTTACTTCCCAGGTGGTTCCCATTTACGAGCATCGCCATCGCTCCTGCCAACATCTCTGTCGTCACGAGTGGCTCACGACCTCCTGTACATTGTATTTCTTCGTTGCGTTGCACTGCTCTGACCCGATCATTTCACTTTCGCTTTTAAGGACGCGATTAGTACGCTACGTCGCTTCCCCAGGAGCTATCGAGAACCGCACGCGCCACGTAGGGACGCGCGCCTGTTGCTAGACTTCCGTCACTGACAACTATTATCTATTGCGCTCGCTATAACATAATCACTATACGACATTCACTCGCAACACTAGTCTTCTTCCGCAGCAATAATACTTACGACTTGGCAAGCTTAGAATATCACCAACGTATAATACCCGAGGAGATCGAAGCCAAACTTTCGTCTCGTTTCTCTCGACTTCCATATTTCAAGTAATTCTGATTGGGCGCAATTTGCGGACAAAATGTCATTCACGAATCCTTGGAGCGATCCCAGACAACAACAGGGTCTCCAGTCTCCGTTCCAGCCGCAAGGAGAGTCAGCGGGACAACCTTTGCAGCAATATACGGAGACCACTTCACAAGTGCGTTGCTATTCATTGCATATGAGATGGCGTCTCTTACTGACCCGAATTATAGCGCGCTACCCGGATTGGGCCGATCCGTACAATGGCATCCGGCGAATTTCACACAACTTCGAGATCATCAGTCTCAAGTTTAAGCGGTGCAATAGGCACAGCTTCTCCGTCGCACCAACGACCAAGACCGTCGCCGGACCATTCCTCGAATTCATCTCCATCGAGTGATGTGTCAAATCAGTCACATCAGCGCGAATTGCACCTACAATGGGATATGGGGTTATCGGGCGTGGATGTATCAAACGGTCACACTCTGCACACCCAGGATTTATTATCTCCTGGGAACACCCATGCTGCCCTTCTTCTTGAAGGCCTTGACGTCAACCAAGGCATTCATTCCCCCTACACACCCTCCTCGACGCTGTCTGAGCTCCCAGATCCCCAATCTGCTGCTTTCGTGATGTCGCACACGCACTATCCACCACCCTCCGTTGGTCGCTTCTATCCTCAGCGACCTTCGTCAACAAATGGTCTGGGACAATCCTCCCCTATGTTGCTCCAGTATCCACAATCTGCTCCTGCAGAACACTTGGGATTCTCGCAGAGCAACACTGCAATTACCAATATGCACGGCACGCCCTCACCACCAAATGCCTTCACCTCAGTAACTGGATCCCCGTCTTCGGAAAACGAAAGGCTCAGGCAGATAATTCGCGAGCTCCAGTCTCAAAATCACGAATTGACCTCGCGTGTCGAACAGTTGCAGAGTGAAGTGGCCGCATCTCGATTCGCCCAGGCCAGCAGTATCACTTCACCGGCGGACTCACTTGCAAACTCAAATTTCACTCTGTCCGTCCAGGGACACATGGATGCATCATGGCGACGCCGCAGCGAAGCGCGTGTAAAGAAATTCTGTTCTCCAAACAGAGCTGGAAACGCTCTATGCGCCTGGCACGACACACGACGCGAGCGTCGTGCGTACCCTCCTCGAATGGCTCCTCCGGGAACGCTGAATTGCGGATGCACTCAAGCAGAAGCCCTATTTGAAGAGAGCCTTTCACGTCACGGTGTTGGGAGCTATCTACCTGGCGACAATGTTCGCATGGACCCTGCACTTCGCAATCCACTCTTGCGCCTCCTCGAGACGCGGTATGGCTACCGTGACGGCGATTTCGAGCGCGATCCCATTACTGGCCAGTGGATGGAGAATGAGGGACCCGAGCGCTGGGAGGCTGAGCTGCAGCGCAATGGTGGAAAGGCACACCGTTGATCGGACAATGCTTCGTCCGTTAGTCGGGACGTCTATTCTCATGCGGAACCTGCCGACCGCTCTCTAAACAAAGGAATTTTCATCCTGGTCATCTTCGGCGCTGTAGATATTTTTATGATTTTGACTTCGCATTTACTATAAATATTTATTGTTACATAGCTTTCATTAGGACGGTATTGCTCTCACCTATCTTTATACTCTCACTTTCCCCTTCCTTGCATGCAGTACTTACCAGACACGCTCTACGGTTGTAATTCGCACTGTCCCTGCTGTTCACTCTTTGCTCCCATCCTCGTATACCCAACGCATCTGTCTCGCTAGATCCACTGTCCTTGATCTTACTATGTGTACAACGTTAATTAGTACTCATTCGGCTGCCGATGATGCCGACGAATGAAAATTTTCATTATGCTTAAACGTTGTTGCTTATAACATTGAAATGATGGGGGAGGTCGCCTTCTCATCACGACTTGACGAAAGACAGCGAGGAAATGATGGCGGATATTTATGCCTAGGTGGAGTCTGGCGGAGATGTTCCTTCTCCCGTAGCGGAGGGGCTTAGACAAGATCGTGGCGTGTGGAAAGGCGTAGAGCTTCCGAAGACTCGAATTCGCTTCCTAAGCGAAAGTTTAAGATATCAGAAATGATGCGGCATTGAAACGTGAAGAATTGGTAGAGTGGAAGCACTTTTTTTACAAACCTCTGCGCAGGCATGGGAACTCGGAACACGAAGCTGTTCCGCCACGGTAGTCACTGATCGCCCTCAGAAGATTTAGCAATAGCCCACCAAGGCTTGCCTTTCGGAAGTAATCTGCCTTACAGCATGGGGGTATGAGGAGGTCAAGGCGATAGACATCAACGCACGGTGACCAAGAAAGAAACCGGTACGTGTTGGAATAATTATAATGTCCGATTTGAACGTGATTTCGAGTCGAGGAGATTAGAAAGCATTAACCGGACGAAATTTTAATAATTCATACGTGGAATTGGATGGAAGCACGACTTCGCCTGTTGATGGATCGATAAAGACTGAACGTGTTATTTCTACCGCAGGCCTATTCGGACAACTGATATATACACGCACAAAAAGAATTGTCAGCGACCGTTCGAAAGGGGGCAAGAACTTCCAGAACATCGAGCGTATGGATAACGTCGCTGGAAGAAGACAGGGTAGATTAGGAAAAACAAGTCAATGTTAACTTACACTCTGAATATTCGCGGGATGGGATAGCAATGAATTTGCGGCGTGTGTCCATGATTCCTCGGTTCCATTTCACAGGTGTATTGCAAAATTTCTTGGATTTGACATTTAGATTCTTCTGATATTTTTGAGTCTGTGTTAGATTCCAGGGAGACCTCCGCAACTTTTGACTTTTGTTGTGTCTTGGACATTTTTTCTATCTGGACTAGAGAATAGAGAGGAGAAGAGAGAACTTAAAAACTGGACAGATAAGGAAATCGGGGCCGGGAAATCTGATCACGCCGTGGGAGAAACGTGTCTAGCGCGCCTTGTGAAAGAAATCTTTTCGCGCGAGTCAGTCGACCTCGTCCTTCTTGTTCTCCTCCGTCCTCCATCTCTCCTACAACCTCGCTTGGTCTAAGAAAAAAACAGCATGTCGCAGAACTTCAAGGTTGCAGGTAAGCCCGGAAGCTTTCTCATAGGTCCGATGATGCTCACCTGCTCTGTCAGACATCTCTCTCGCTGCCTTCGGTCGCAAGGAGATCGAAATCGCAGAGGTAAATTTGATCGGCCTCCTTCCCAGTCGCACACGACCCTAACGCCCATTAATCTTCAGCACGAGATGCCGGGTCTTATGTATATTCGCCAAAAGGTTTTCGTGCGAGTTTACTGGCGCTCAGAAGCAGGTCTAACATCATCATCAGTATTCTGCATCCAAGCCCTTGAAGGGTGCGCGCATCGCGGGCTGTCTTCATATGTATGTCCAATCTCATGATCCGTTCTCCATCAGCTTCCTCTGATAGATCGAAAAAAACTCCGACTTTAGGACAATTCAGACTGCAGTGCTCATTGAGACCCTCACTGCGCTTGGTGCACAGGTTACTTGGTCTTCTTGCGTAAATTACCTTAATTTGTCCAAGAAGTTTGGCGTGTTTATTGACACGTACCTTATCAATAGAATATCTACTCCACCCAGGACCACGCGGCAGCTGCGTGAGTTTTGACGTACAATTTTTTCATTGGCGTGCAATTAAACTTTTGATCGATCAATTAGCATTGCCGCTACCGGCGTTCCTGTCTTTGCGTGGAAGGGCGAAACGGAGGAGGAATACACTTGGTGCATTGAGCAAACTCTCGCCGCCTTCCCCAATGGCCAGCATCTGAACATGATTCTTGATGACGGAGGAGATCTCACGACCCTAGTTCACGAGAAGTTCCCCCAATACCTCAAGGGTGAGCATTCAAACACAAAATGGTAATGAATGAAGGATTTATTTGTTATCCACAGACATCAAGGGTATTTCTGAAGAGACGACAACCGGTGTTCATCATCTTTACAAAGCATTCCGCGAAGGGAAACTTAAAGTTCCCGCTATCAATGTCAACGACTCGGTGACCAAGTCGAAGTTTGACAACTATTACGGCTGCAGAGAGTCTTTGGTCGATGGTATCAAACGTGCGACAGATGTCATGCTCGCTGGAAAGGTGGCTGTGGTCGCTGGCTTTGGCGACGTCGGCAAAGGCGTAAGCTTGATATTTTAGAGTTTATCTGAAGTGACCACTTAGAAATTGCCATCTTTGCAGTGCGCGGAGTCTCTTCGATCTTACGGTTCTCGTGTGATTGTTACTGAAATCGATCCGATTAATGCGCTGCAAGCTGCCATGGCCGGTTATGAAGTAACGACTATGGAAGATGCTGCTTCCCGTGCAAATATCTTTGTCACTACGACTGGTAACCGGGATATTATTACCGCGAAGCACTTCGAAGTCATGCCTGAAGATGCAATTGTTTCCAAGTAAGTTTTACTGCTTCTTTGTCACGAGTTATTCTAATAGGACCCTTGTAGCATCGGTCACTTCGACGTTGAGATCGACGTTGCTTGGCTCAAAGCCAATGCGAAAGAGTGCGTGAACATCAAGCCGCAGGTCGACCGCTTTACAATGCCATCGGGTCGTCACATCATCCTGCTTGCCTCCGGCCGTCTCGTTAACCTTGGTTGTGCGACGGGCCATCCATCATTTGTTATGTCTTGCTCGTTCTCAAATCAGGTTCTTGCACAAATTGCTCTTTGGACGACGCCCCAAAACTTCCCCCTTGGCGTGCATATCTTACCCAAGGAACTTGATGAAGAGGTTGCGCGTGCACATCTCGCACAAATCGGTGTGAAGCTGACGAAGCTCACAACTACTCAATCCGAGTACCTCGGTATCCCTGCCGATGGCCCCTACAAGGCGGCCCACTACCGTTACTGAGCGCAACACTTTTTGCCTGGTCCCGGGCCTCAACGTGCCCCGGCTGGCTGTGCGCTTGTATCTATTATTAACCTGCTGTGCGCTATGGCGTTAGCAGATGGGGGCTGTCAACACCCTCTTGTAACTGTTGTTGTATCGATGTGATCATTGGGGTCTCAACGCCCTTTTCCTCAGCGGGATGGCTGGGACAGGCACCAACGTTCGCAGTCTCCCGCTGATGTACCGGTACGACTAAAAAAGGTTTCAACATCCTTTGTAGACTAGAGATAACGATCCATGACTTGATTCATTCAAAGAAAAGATGTAGCAAGCATATTTTTAGACAAAAATTAAAAGATTAAAATTTTACTTGTATTTAATTCTGATGAGTGTGGCTTCGGAGATTATTATGTAAGTGCTACGTTAGTTTGCACAATGCGCAAGAAAACCTGCCAGATGACTAACAAACACTTCCTCTTTTCTGGGTACCGTTGCTGGAATATCTCGTCATGTCAATCTGTGGAAAACTTGTGCCTTCATCGGAAATTGCTTTTATCGCAATGATCTATCAGAGTTTTGCAACCTGCCGTACCACAACTCCCTTGAGCATGTTCTAAACGAAGTTGTGGCAAGCTTTTTCGCCACTGAATACTGTTGTTGCAAACGAAAGGGCTGGTAGCTGCGCAGGGCGACCGCTTATCATGTTCATCACTTGGCGCAGTGTGCAAACTCGAGGTCAGATGTGAAAAAAAAATAGTTACACTGCAAACCAAATAGCACTGCTACTCCGAGTACTCAACCAGGTACAACTTCGGAAATCTAGCTGGTTTCGGCCTGGGCCCGAAGTTCTGTTCTCACCGTCTTTATTAAAAATAGTTATCAAGTTTGCTGTTGGGTTACACTGATGAACGCCTTGACTTTACTCCGGATGCTGGGTGAAAACATGTTGAAATTCAATTCTGTTCTATCTTAACATGTCTCGCTCTTTGCCTCCGACTTCCGAGACGTACCCGTCGGTACTGACGATACCGAAAATATCCAATTCCAAATATATGTGGACTGAGACCGAGTCTCAGATAGAGAATCGGAATATACAAGACAAAGCTCACTATCAGCCCAAACCCCATGTCTCAAAATAATTGCTATAAATTCTTTTGCTAAAAGAACCAAATTAGCGTGGCCTTACCTCCTTTGTCATACTTCAAGGTCAAGGACACTTCCAATTCATAGGCAGACACGCCGCGGCGCATTAACAAGCTGCAACAATGAATCAGCAACCGGCGGCTCAAAATCCGATGGATTACACTTCTACGTCAGAGAGTAAACAAGAGAAGTTTATCCAGGAGGACCTTGTCTGCTCCAGGAACAATTGCGATTTCTCCAAAACATGTAAGTTTCACGCTGCGCATCTCGTCATTGTACACTAAGGTTCGGCAAAATTTTACTTCCTTTGCAGGCTTGTGCTCGTGGTGTTGCGCGCCTTGTCTTTTCCAGCGCAACTTCAATCGTTACGAATATATTTACGAGGGAAAGCGCGACAAAGATCTTAACTCGAAGTGCGGCTGGTGCTGCACACTCCAAGTCCTATCTTTCGGATGGGCACATGCCGTGCTACCCGTATGTGCTTATTCACCATGATGATCGTTGAGTTCTAACATGTCATATTCTCCTTTTCTCTTGCGTACTACTAGGCTTTTCTGCGTCGAAATATCCGCACTGCTCGGAATATTGACGGTACCCCTCTGGGCGATTATTGCTCGTCTGCCTTCTGCTTGCCATGCTCACTCATTCAGGAGACGCACGAATTAGATGCTGCACTCAAGCAGAATGGTATTGAGCCCTAAGCCTTTATCATGTTAGAGCCGCTTTGGGCCATTTTTCCTTTATACTTTGGCTCGGACATATTTTCCTTCCATACTATATTGTTTACTGGGCGAGTTTCAGTAGTAGGATTATATATTTAATAGGACATTTCTTGTTAATGGCTCAATCTTCTTTCATGGTTGTAATTTCCATTCATCACGATTCTAGCAACCTTGACAAGAAAATATACAACTTCACGAGACGTTGGATTGGTGAAACGGATGGTGGAACTTCTTACCTTCGGTTGTCTGGGATGGATTTGGACGTTTCCCTCACGTAATGCTTTACGAATGCAGTGACAACTAACACTTAAGACTTCATAATCTCCACATTGATTTGTTTCGGCTCCTGTCAACTATGTGGACATGATTGTTGTCAAATCACCTTACGCACGTTCTCAAGAACTCCAATCTCACCCATGTACTGCCTGGATATAGCCGACTCTGCAGGAATAGGGGCAGAATATTGGCCGTATAACTGAAAGTAATATAAATTGCACGCCTTCTTTTGTAATGACTCTGTTGCCTAGGTGCTTTTATGCAAGTTCGTGAGGAAGTCCTAATGTTTAACATACATGTCATTTAAACGCTGATCGAAGATAGATACATCTGTTTCAATTAAGCTTTTATATAAGCAGCGCTTAAGGATAAGTTACACAAGCATTCTGCAGTTTACACCTGCAATTCAAGATGAATAGAACTCTCTGGCCCAAGCTTCCAACGATCTAAGCTCTTTGCCCAGCTCTGGATAGAGTTCTCTTGCATCAAGACCACTGCCGTATTCTTCTTTCTTCGCATTCTCCACTGTGTTGTCCCCGCGGATCCAAATACTGTACGCGTATTCCGAACCATGTTTCTCAAGCCCTCCCTGGGCTTTCTGGATCCTTTCGGCCAGTTGTTCTGTGCTTACATTGACAGTCTCCAATTTACGTCCTGCAATACGTTCAGCGAGGTCGAGTGCCTCGGTTTGTGTTACTTCTTCGGTCCAGCAGAAGACGTATCGGTTCTGAGTGCGCTCATCTGCGAGAATACGTGCGACGAATTTGCCGATATCGCGACGATCTGTTACGGCACACTTGACATTGCCTGTGCCATAAAATGGCTTGAGAAATTCTGCGAATCCAGGGTTCTTCGAAGGATCCGCATAAGGTAGTGTAATCTGCATCCTAATTTTGTGAAAGAGATTCAGCGTATACTTGAAGAAATAATAATTTGATTAGACGGTTTACTAACCACCAACCAACGTCAATGAATGTGTAGCCGAGACCAATCTCTTTGATGTAGTCGTGAATCGCAAGTTTCTAGAAATATTTCCGTCACAAGAACTCAATTTCATAAGCTTCGTAGAGTTTATAAAGCATCTCACCTCGTCGTGCAATTGCCTAAGACCGCGGACACAGGAAGTACCCCAGTCATTTGGAACCAGCCTCTTGACACCAATCCTCTTGCATGCATCTGCAAGGCGCTTCTGGTGCTGGATATCTTCGAAGGAAATGGTCGAGATGACTATATCGATACCCTTCAATGGCTCGATGATCTGGTCGACAGTCCAGTTTGCTATATCCAGAATGCGGATTTCGACCCCACGAGCTTTGAGCGCCTGCACTTCAGGCTTGGAGGCTGATGATGGGCGCACCCCAGCGATGACCGTCTGCGTAATAAGATCAAATAATTGTGAAAGGAAGAATAGCGGACACTGATACATACGAAGTTGCCGCTCTCAAGAAGGCCATCGAGGACGGATGAGCCTGTTTGGCCTGTTGCACCAATGAGTAGTACAGATTGCTTCGCCATCGTGGTTAAGTGTTAAGAAGTACTCCTGATCATGGGTTCCGGAAAGGTCTATTATTTATATGACTGTCACTCATACTGAGAAAGTATTTTACAATAATGTATGACGAGAAGGAGATTACTAGCTTAATCAGCAGGTTGGTAATACATAATCGATTTGTATGACATCAACAGCGGCGCGGATGACATATCTGTACCCCTTGAACGGTTTTATTCACGCTGCAATTCAAGCAGGACGTATGCAGATACGATCAGAAAGCAGCCTCACGAAAAAGATCTGTTTCTTCCACATAGCTGTATTTGGCGTACTCCAGAATAAGAACCTAATGGGTGACTTCCTGTAGACTTTTGGAAGGATTTCCAGGTTAAAAAGGTACTAGAAAAGGAGTAGTCTGAATATAAGCGAAGGGTAGTAAGAGTAAGTGATATGAGAACCGAATAACACACGTAGTTTGTTGTCTTCCAGTCTGAAAATGGGTGACTTCCCGTAGGATTTTGGAAGCTTCCAAAATCCTACGGGAAGTCACCCAATAACAGTAATGGACCAGTTAGTTTTAACAGCTGCCCACTTCAAGTTTGTCAACAACGGTAACTCATGAACTTTCCCACGACTACAAATACGATTCCTTACTCTCCCGACTGACGTGCACGCTCACCTCTCCTTTCGCCGACGCTTCGTACAATGTCCTAGTGAGCCTCAACAGTTATATAGACGATTATAAAGTACTGACCGTGATGTCCTCTTCAATCCTTAAGCGTAATCTTCGGGCGTGCAATTAAGAACGAGTACCTCTCACTGGGTACTATCATCGGCACCGCCGCAATTGCCTACGCGTCAATGGGTGGCAGCAAAAAGCAACCTGCTCCATCAGGTGGAAATGTGCAAGAATCTATCCAGAAGGTGAAGGATGCCGTTCCTCTAAATGCTGGCTCAAGGTTCGTTTTTCGTTGTGTATTTGTCAAGATGTGTCTAACGAATGAATGTCATGCGTTCTATTTGCGTGTCCGAATTCAGTGAAGAAGAACAATTGTATGTCGCCTTCATTTTCTCGTATGTTGAGAGCTTGTGATGACGACTGACTAGGCTTGACAGTATCAAAAACTTCATTGCAGAGGAGGAAAAGAAAGCGGCGCATCATTGAGACTGGACACTTCGTCAGAGTATTAGTGCTCCTTTGGTCGAACCTGGTGTAGACTGCATATTTGCACACGTTACAGCTCAAATGCACAATTAGACCTTTTCTTAATAACTCATATGTTTTACTTGTGTGTACTTTCCGCCAGTTAAATCGGTGCCAGTGACGCGGAGAGAGTTGGTTGCCAAGTTGAGTAGCGAGACCATCAAGCGAGACCAGTCTCTTCAACTTGACCACTAAGTTACACAACGGCGCCCATGTAATAATGTCTTCAACTTCGCGCAAGCCGCTCAAGCGTCTTTCATTACTGCAATCCCCTACTTCGTTTTCTTCACCGACATTTTCAAGCACCGATAGTCCTACCGTCGCGTCGAGACGTGTCGACCGCGACGCGGCTGGGAACACGGTTCAAAACGCAGGCTCCCCGAACTCTTCGGTCGAGGAACCGACTGCGACAGCGCAATCCGAGCAGGTGTCCAAGAATGCGCGTCGCCAGTCGTCTATATATTACGTCTCGCGAGACCGAGACCTTGAACGCATCGCGACGGATGAGCGTTTACCAGTGAATGAACGGAGGTTCTCTGCTCCTCAGTGTCGAAACAATGCCGACGATGCAGCCTCACCAATCTCAGAAAGACAGAGGAAAAGACAGAGTGTTAGTGTGCTTGAGGAGCAACCTGCACCGATGACTTTGGCAGAGAAGTAAGTGGCTATTTGTTGAAGCTTGCCACAATAGTCGAAGTCTAATGAGTTTTATTTCTTGTACCAGACACGCTGACTTATTGCGATTCATTGCTCAGAAGGAATCCAGATGTCTAGAGCTGCGCTCACAGTTGGCTGTCGAAGAGGCAGAGCTATTTTCTCTTAAACGAAAGTGGGAACGTATAGTAACTCGTGGACATAGAGGTGCTCCTTCTGCGTCTGTATCATCTCTCGAAATGGATCCTTCGGCCCAGGGTGCCGTACTTGCTGGTCTTAAAGAAGGTGTTCAGGGTGTTGGGCGCCTCATTGCGCAGCTTGGTGAACTTGGCACTCAAGGCAGTGATACTGGTCATGTTTCAAGTGCCTCAATTTCTACCTCACGGACTTCGTCATCATCAACGCGGCTCTCCCAATCATCGGTATCGTCTTTGGGAACATTTGAGGACAAAGAGCCTGAGATCCTCGAGAATACGACCTCGGACTCTGCAGACCCTCACTTGAAGCGTCATTCACTGTCAACACCAGTTCGCCGAAGACCCTACGAGCTATCTTCTCCTTCGACACCGTCGCCTCCCATTCTCACTCCCCGTACACCACTCTCTGCATCTGTCCAATTCTCAGTGGCACAAACACAGCCCCCCACGGTTAAGCTGTCACATTCACAGACCACTGTTCAAGTCACTTCTAAGCACAAGAAACGAATGAGTGTCGCTTCAGGCACTTTCCCTCCCGCCTCATCCATCCCAGGAGTAAGCGTCGCACCACTCGTATCTTGGGTTGATAGCGTTGGGAAACGGCTAGTACAACTGCATGTCTCTGGTCATGAATCGGAGCCACGCTCCAATTCCAATTCACGAAAAGATATGGAGTCGATACACAAACGTGCATCGACACTACTGTCAGATGCTTCAAGTTCATTGTTCGCTGCGCTCACATCGCCCACACGTCAGTCTCCCGTAATTGATCTCACGGACCCGGCATCGCCGTTTTTGCTCGACGACGACAGTGACATGCACGGAAATGATCTCGGTACGCAGTGGGCCACTGTGAATACGCTTTCACCTGAACGTCCGAAAATCGCACCCATTCCTGCTGTGCCGAATGCAGCTGTGAAGAAGGTGTCTGATAACGGAACCCTTCCCGACAGCGCAAATGGTACCGATGCGGACGGCGAGGAGTGGAACTGGTAATTTGCATCAAGCCTGTTCAATATACTCATTCTTTCGCTTGTCTCTCGTAACGATCTTGCGTTGACGCACGTTGATATGCATTGTTTCACGCCCTATTTCTCATACTTCGTTGAACATATTGGATACAGGATATAAAATACTGAAATACCCTGCTATACTGGATCACGATCGTGAATAATTAGGTGTATAGTACATACCTTTGGACGTGAATGTTATGTGAAACTGTACAAATATACCGCTCCTTGCATGGCCTTTGGCCAATGGAAGTAGAAAATTCAAGGTTCTTCTCTGTCATCAAGTTTCTGTAACAAGAAAGGTGTGCATACAGAACTTACCACCCTTAAGGATTAGAGTTTGAGATCGTGGGAAAACAAAAAGTGAATTCTCTTACGAGCAACAATTCAAATTTATTCCGCTTTTTGCGATCTGTCTTATGTCACTCAATGTGCTTGTATTCGGCGGCCATCTCATAGCTAGTGTTTCAGTCCGTTTATGATTTTAACTGCTCATGAGCAATGGTTAAATACTTCTGTGTTATCATGCTAATGTACTCAAGTACATATAAAGTCAAGCCATTCAACTATACGGGGTCTCGGTTGAAACTCTTGCACAGACTGTTGACTGAATTGCACAATCTCCTGCCGCTTGCTTGCGCCTTGGCTCGGCCGCTTATGCCGCTGAGTCAAATAACTAGTCAAATGTTATTAAGTCGATGTGTAAGTCCGAGATGGACTTTCTGTGGTCCTTCCGCGACCGAGAGTTGAAATAGTGAGGTTTATGGGTCTATATAATAGGCGACCCATGCGGTCATGAAGAGAACAAAGGTACCCTTTTTATCAGGATGGCGAGGCAATCTGTACTACTCATTGGTGCAACTGGCCAAACAGGCGCATCCGTACTCGACGGTCTTCTCGAAAGTGGCAACTTCGTACGCCTTAATCTCTCTGCCCCACTTTGTATCATTTATCTGACGTTATAATGCAGACGGTCGTCGCAGGGGTGCGCCCACCATCAGCATCGAAACCCGAAGTGCAGGCGCTCAAAGCTCGTGGAATCGAAGTCCGCATCTTGGATATAGTGAACTGGACTGTTGAACAGCTCGTCGAGCCATTGAAGGGTATCAATATAGTCATCTCGACCATTTACGTCGCGGATATCCAGCACCAAAAGCGCCTTGCCGACGCTTGCAAGAAGATCGGTGTCAAGAGACTGGTTCCGAACGACTGGGCTACTCCATGTGTACGTGGCCTCCGAGGTTTGCATGATGAGGTTAGTTCTACAACCCCTAAGAAACGTGTAACAAACTCAGGATGAAACTGGCTCTAGAAACTTGCTGTTCATGATTACATCAAGGAGATCAGAATCGGTTATACATTCATTGATGTCGGCTGGTGGTCAGTCATACAACTTTTCGAGTCTTTTGTCTACTCATGCCGCCAATTATCTAGGATGGAAGGAATACTGCCTTATGAAGCCGAACACCCAAAAGTGCCTGGACTCTCAGAATTCCTCAGGACATTTTTTGGCGAAGGCAACGTCAAATGTGCCATAACGGACCGTCGCGATATCGGGAAATTCGTCGCACGAATTCTCGCAGATGAACGCACTTTGAACCACTATGTCTTCTGCTGGACCCAACAAGCGACGCAGAGTGAGGCCTTTGCCCTGGCTGAGCGTGTTTCGGGACGCAAGGTAGACAGAATAAACGTCAGTGCAGAGCAGCTAGCCCAACGGCTCGAGAATGCCAGTGGACATATCGAGAGGATCATTTTGGGGTACGCGGATAGCGTTTGGATTCGAGGCGATAATACTATTGAGAATGCGAAGAAAGAAGAATATGGTGGCGCACTTGACGCTAGAGAGCTTTACCCAGATCTGGGCAAGGAGCTTAGGTCGTTGGAGTCTTGGGCAAGGGAGATCTATTCGTCTTGAACATGTTACAATGCAATACAGGCGTAAACTCAAGTTCATACGTACCGGTATCTAATCTGTATGGTCACATGAAAATTTATTTACCTGCGTACGTTTGTCCTGCCGATAAAAATACCAGTGGAGGTAGACGTTGCAATATAAGAATTATAGTTGTAATCGTGGGAAAACAATGGCTAATTCTTTTTCGACTCAGTTACTATTCTGAATAAGCATGTTTTGCTTCTGTCATCCAGTTAGTCTCAGATCTTTCAGTTGTTCTTATTATAGATCCTGAAACTGTGGACCGTCCGTTTATCATTAAGAATAGAGCATAATATGTTGAATTCAGCAATCGTCTAAAATCTGCTGCCGTAGACCTTTAGTCCGCATCTGACAATTGCTACAACACGTGGTAATAATGCTTTTCAGGATCGTCCTCTTCTCATACAGAAGCATCTCGATAAATAGCTTACATCCAATCATGCGTGTGTTGTTTCTGCTAGGATATTTAGACAGCCTGCTGACAGTATTACACAGGTGCAATGCAACTTCACAGGTATCATTCTTCTTAACTCTCATTATCTGATGCTATTTCACAGTTACACAGAACGTTGTGCAGGGGTACTTTCGAGGCGCCCAAATTTCGTGGAATCGAAGTTTGTCTCTTGGATATAGCCTGAGTGAACTGGGCCAGCGACCAGATCATTGAGCGCTGAAGGGCATGACACGGTTATCTTAACCGTTTACTTTCACGATATCTGGCACCGAATGTGCCTGAATTGCAAAGTCTGTAGATTCATGTGCTTTATGCCTTTTGTGTTGCGTACGAAATAAATATTATCGGCTGATGGAACATTACCAAGTTGCTGAGTAACCTTGTAATTTGTTTTCTCGTCATGCTCAATACTACCAATATAAGGGACGTCCCACTAAATAGACGTTCATTCCGGATATCCCGAAATATTTCTTCGCCATGATGGCAAAGCAGTCTGTGCTTCTCATTGGTGCAACAGGCCGGACAGGCTCGAGAGCAACGACTTCGTTGGTATTTATAAACCTACCACTCTTCTTTCATCTAATATTATTTTTAGACGGCCGTTGCTGGAGTACGCCCATCGTCAGCGTCCAAACCCGAAGTGGGAGCGCTCAAAGCTCGTGAGGTCGAAGTCTGCCTCTTGGATGTAGTTGGCTGGTCTGTCGACCAAATCGTAGAGCCACTGAAGGGTATCGACATAGTCATCTCGACCATTTATTTTAGAGACATTCAGCACCAGAAGCACCTCGTGGATGCATGCAAGAAGACTGGTGTCAAGAGGCTCGTTCCAAATGACTGGGGTACTGCTTGTGTTCGTGGCGTTAGGCAATTGCATGATGAGGTTAGCTCCTCTATAGAATTCATAGAATACTTGGGGCTGAGCCTAATCTGAAAATGGGTACAGAAACTTGCCGTCCATGATTACATCAAGGAAATTGGTCTCGGTTACACATTTATTGACGTTGGCTGGTGGTTAGTAAACGATCTATCAATGTACTCTCTTGAGGAATACATCGAACTCCGTTACAGGATGCAGATAACTCTCCCGTACACGGAAACTTCTAAATCTCCTGGAATAGAAGGACCTATCGAGACATTCATGAGGTCGTCTCTCAAGTCTTTCTACGGTGCGGGAAATGCGAAGTGTGCCGTAACAGATCGTCGCGACATCGGCAAATTCGTCGCACGTATTCTCGCAGATGAACGCACCTTGAACCAATACGTCTTCTGCTGGACCGAAGAAGTAACGCAAACAGAGGTATTTGATCTCGCCGAACGCATTGCGGGGCGTAAGTTGGAGAAAGTTCATGTCAGCGCAGAGCAACTTGCCGAAAGGATCCAGGATGCTAAAGAAGGTATCGAGACAAGTGATTCAGAATATGCGTATAGTATTTGGATTCGAGGGGACAACACTGTAGAGAATGCGAAGAAAGAAGAATACGGCAGTGCTCTCGACGCTAGGGAGCTTTATCCAGAGTTGGGTAAAGAGCTCACATTCCTGGAAGCTTGGGCTAGGGAGTTCTAAGCATCCTGAATTGCTAAATGAACGCATATGTACAACGCAAGTAGACACCTGTCAACATCTTGTTTATAAAGACGCCAGAATTGTCCGCGCACAGAAAGTTAACAATGCCTATACATCCAGGCACAGGAGTGATTGTCACTCTTCCATGCGACCACTACTGACGAGAGCACAAGACTATATTGTGCTGGCAGCACTTGGACGTGCATTTCGTAATTTAGCAAGGCTTAAACATAGACAAGGTCGCACACGCCAGAAACCAGAAGTAGAAACCCGACTACCGGATCGCAGAGCCAGTACGCATGGACGTCATTTGTTCGCTCATCCCGCCGATCGACTGCCTCTTCAGGGCGCAGCCTGCACAGGTGGCAGAGGTATAAAGCACAGAAAGTATCGGGAGTTGTGTCTCTATCCCAAATTCATTTCCATCATCAGTAGCACGGACGCTAAGACGTATAGACGACAGCTTTTCCTTCATAGCATATAGCATTTGTTTATAGACATGGCGATGCAAAAGACATTCAAGGGTTACGCAGTCTGTGGTATGTCTTCCCAGTGGCATTGCTGGAGAACCCGTAGCGCTACGCCTAACGGCTAATTGGTAGACGCCAAGAAGTGGAGCGACTTCAGCGTTGTGGACTTCCCTGCCAAGAAGTGGGAGGAGACAGATGTTGAGATAGCCATCACTCACTGCGGGTACGTCCACTTTCTATTGCTCCGCTGCGGCGAGGAATACAGATGCATCTCGTTTAGAGTGTGCGGATCGGACGTGCACACGCTTACAAGTGGTTGGGGTGCACTTGAGACCCCCATAATTGTTGGGTAAGCGATTCGTGGTTCCTAGGTCTTGCCGTGTCAACTTCCGCTGAATTGAATGAAGACACGAGATTGCAGGTACAGCAGTCCGCGTTGGGTCGAAAGTACAGGATATCAAAGTCGGAGATCGTGTAGGAGTCGGTGCACAGGTCGCATCTTGCTACCACTGCAAGTATTGCAAAAGCGACAACGAGCAGTACTGTCCCGCAGGAGTAGACACATACGTTAGTACATACTTCTTCCTCAAGACTCAAGAGCAGTCGCCTAATCAAGCATAAGATTAGAATTCGAAGCATCCAGACGGCGTACGTACTCAAGGCGGCTATTCTACTGGGATTATCGCGCATGAACAGTTTGTCTTCCCACTTCCACCTGGAGTGAGCAATGCCGAGGGTTGCTCGATGCTGTGTGGTGGGTTGACAGTGTTTTCTCCGCTCGTGCGCAACGGCGCAGGACCAGGAAAACGCGTTGGAATCATTGGAATTGGCGGCCTTGGACATTATGCTGTGATGTTTGCAAAAGCACTCGGCGCAAGAGTGTACGCCTTTACGCACCAACGTGACAAGGAAAAGGACATCAAGAAAATGGGAGCAGATCACGTAGTTTTCACGAACCCAGGCTTCCAGGAAAAGTGCAAGATGAGCCTCGATTTGATTGTCTCAACGCGTGACGAAGCGTCGGATTACCCACTAACCGAGTATCTCTCGTTCGTAAATTCCATTTTCGTCTATCTTCACAAGACGTGCGGCATTGTCTCAATAATCTCTACACAGGATGCTGGACATGCATGGCAAATTCATCAGCGTTGGCCTGCCAGACGCTCCACTTCCCGCAACAGGGGCCTTTGCGTTTGCGGGGAACGGATGCTTCTTCGGCGGCTCACACATTGGGTCGAAGAAAGAGGCACTGGCGATGCTTTCACTGGCGGATAAGAAGGGGATCAAGCCATGGATAGAAGAGTTTTCAATGAAGGATGTGAAGAAGGCAGTCGAGGGTGTTCACAAGAATAACGTGCGCTATCGGTATGTACTGAAGCAGGATATCGCCTAGGTCCAGAGAAGAAGGGTACAATAAGCCAGCCGAGTGCTGTTTAAGTGCTGCTGTGCAACTCTAACCCCACTTTACATTCAAATCGTCAATGCCCCTTTGTAGCTGCCATCTTTGGCAAGGTTCCAAAATTACACGAGAATACTTCATATACTTTTATTATGCAGCCGACCAATGAGAATATGATGTCAGATTAAATGTGACAAGGGCTTCCATATATGGACGTAAAGAACCGTTGCTTACTCCAAGAATGTCACACGCCAATGAAGCACAACAGCCACTATATAACACGGCGTGTCTCTAGCCAGCGGAAACAGCGACACTGTCCTTGTTGTTGGTGTTGTCGCCGAACTGTGAGCCCGCAGCGGGCCTCTGCCATTCAACGCGACCCCAACGACCTCTGTTTGGCGTTCCATCCACTTCAAGCAAGCAGGCAGAGGATAAGGGCAAATACAGAAAGAGACCGGACACCCATTGGTCGCATTCTGACTACGTACTGCGCAGTCGCTTTGGCATAATCCGTCAACATCTGCTTGTGTGAATCGAATAACGTCGCCGGTCTCGACGGCCGAACACTTCAGCACTTACACGTGAGCCGACTTGCATTGTTGACGTAGGTACCATCGCCTCTATGGTTGTGCGCAATCCCTATTGACGCCAGAAACACAGGCGCAGCATCAGGAGAACCGACGTGACGGAGGTCCGAACGCGCATCGGAGCGCGCACTGGTATCCGCTTCTATTGTCCGACGGCGGTGGCTGACGCAATTTGGCCGCGCATGCACCAGAAGACAAAACGATTTACCGTTCATTAATCGAGCGTGTTGCTGTCCGCCTTGGGCGTTCGACGAACTAGGTGCCGCTCAGACGCTTCGCCCCATTTCGATTAAGCTCCACCGCTCGTTCCGTCTTATAACCTTGACGGTACTCAAAGGCAAGACCAAGCAGAAAGTCCGCGCTCCCCGGACTTTCTAACCATCTTTCAGCACACTCTGCCAGGCGAGCACTTTCAGACGTAATGTCTTACCCACAGTCTGGTTGGCCACCTCCACATGTGAATGCATTCGGTGGGTCACGTTCATGGGCGTATGCAGTTCCTCCACCACACGGGCATGGGCATCCGTACATGCCATATTCTCGTCCGCAAGCGCCGCCTAGAGACGACTATTGGGCAACAGAGTTGCAAGATAACCCCCTTGGTTTAGAGAACATGCACATTCGGTGGGTGTACTACCGATTTCTGCTTGTTGTCTGGTCGTGTATGGCTGATGCTTCTTCATCTGTAACGAAATATTCTTCTCTCATTATAGTTCCGATGTGCCGGAAAGGGAGAACAGTATCAACGACTCCAATACAGCACGCATACCCTCGTCTTCTGCATACTCGCGCGCATCAGATTTTGCTCATCGAAACTCATATCCACCGAAATCAAACACGAAAGGGTCGTTGGCAGCTTCAAAGTCTCATCCAAACACTCGTGTACCCAGCCCTTCACGACCTCGTCATCATGATTACAACCGTGAACATGATGTAGTGGCACCAACAGCTCGGTATGCTACGTACCCGGAAATACCTGGGACGACGTTAGATGGTGACACTGATCGTGGTGTGGCTGCGCATCACCGCCCTTCATCGCGTGCGTATGGCGGACGGACAAGTGTGCCGGCTGAGATGGGCACTCGCTATTCGTCCGCCTCGGCTGCGGCTGCGGCTGCGGCACAAAAGGCTGCGAGATCGCAGACACTTCCTGGGATTGTCTCCTATCGCCAACACGCGGGTGTGGGTGTGTCAGCTCGAGAGATGCAGCGATCCAGGACGCTTCCCGGAGAAGCCTTTGCAAGTGGAAAGAATAGAGAGATGGCAGCTGCTGCATCCGCGCCGAGAAGGAACAGTGAACGGTATGACTACCGGCAGCCTGCTGATGACGACGAAGAATCGGAGGAAGAGGATGAGGATGAAGAAGTACGCGTTCCTCGAATGGCCATACGATCTGGACATTTGAGTGGGACACCAACAGAGACGAAGAAGGAACGGAGTAAAATGGACCGTGTCAAAGCGTGGATTGATAATGCTAAACATGCCCTCTCATCTGAAAATGATCAAGATCGTGATCAACCGCGAGACCGTGTACGGGAACGCGAGGGAAGGGCAAAAGCTAAGTCGAGATCGAAGTCGTATCACTCGGCACATACGGGTGAAGACGAAGATGACGACTACGAGATAGTGCATGCATCTGACGTTCAACAGGCATCAGCCGCACAGTATGCTCGAGAGAGGATTGACCCAGCGGGTCATTCATCTGTGATGGGAACAAGTCATAAACAAACATATGACGCCGCTGGACTTACAAGGTTTGGGGATTCGGAGATCGTTGAAGAACCGGAGGATATGTATCAAAGCTATGCAACGCGTCAACGATCACGGTCCAGTTCTCAACACCAACACCAGAAATACTCACCACGTCGTGTAAGTCCATACCAAGGGCGAGAACGGCTCTTAAACGAAGACAGTTCTTCACAGTCTTCGATTGACTCCATAGGCGATGGTGAAGGCGTGTACCATCGGCAACGATATGATCAGGGCAGAACCGAACGGAGGTCGCGTGGGACTCCACATCCAGCACCTTCACATAACTTACCTGTTCGGAACAATTCATTGCGCGTCAGCGAGGAGAAGCCTGTCGGCGCGGCGGCGCAAATGCAAGTGCAGGCTCACTTGCCATCTCCGCGTAGTCTCCGCCACTCAGCAAGCAGTCGAACGCCCTCTTCACGTCCTTCCTTCGAGCAATCGCTTGCGGAACGGGAGCGTGAACACGAGCGCGAGCCTGACATACCCAAATCACCAAACGGACATCTGATGACTGGACAGTCGACAGCTTCGGGAGCTGCTGGTGTGTATGGATACAAGACCCCGCCGATCACACCGACACGACATGAGCACACGCATCGTGCAGATGGTGTACGCTCACCATATGCTCCGCACGCGTCGGTGACAGCAACGCCAATGGAGACGGGAGTTTCTGATGCAGCGCCTGCATACCAGACACCAGCGAGGCTGGCTTATTTGTATCGCGGAAGTAGCGCGTCGCCATCACCTGCTTCGCATCGTGCTGCGCCAGTTCAACCTCAGCCGCAAGCTCATGTTCATCATTCACAGGCATCAGCGCAGCAGTATGGTACGCACAGTTCTGGCACGGACTTGAAGCCCAGGAAACGCTCTCCTCGCACATCTCGTTCGCCATCGCCGCTTCCTGCTGGGCAAGGACAAAGTTCTTCAAGCGCTTACTACGCTGCACTTGATCAAGCACGAGCACCCTCACGTTCACAATCGCGCTCGCATAGCTTGACGCATGGGAATAGTCATACGCATAGCCATAGCTATTCTATTAACCAAGGTACCACTCAAACGCCGAAACACGACGTAAGGAAAAGGAGTAGCTCTCGTGCGGCTGCTGGTGTTGGTGGATATTCATCCGCTTCCGGTGCAGCTGCAGCGGCCGCGGCGGCGTTCGCTGGTGTTCCTTCGTCCAGCGCATCTACCGCAACGGTTCAGCCACCAAGCGGTGGGCGACATGTTCGCGCGGGTTTCTGGAATCGACGTGGCGACCATCTTACAGATACATGGCACATTATATATTGTCCACCAGGGCGCTGCTACCCTCGCGATCTTGCTGATTATCCCGACAATGCTTTTCAGGATCACATGGGGCGTTTAGTTAAACGCCCGCCTGATTCGTTCCCTGAATTACCAGAATCAGTGCCGCGGAGTGCAGGAAGAGCACCTGAAAAAGGGTATGATCAAGTACGTTTCTATCACCGTGGCAGTTTCGACACGCTCTGACCGGGTCTTTGACTTCTCTTCCAGTTTATTAAGTATGTTTTAGTGGGAAGCAATAGCTAGGACTATAAGACCCAGCACACATATGAGTTAGGAACTTACAAACTTACATTCCGCAAAGCTTTTCCAATCGTCAAACCGAGGATCTCATTCGTACTTCTTGTGTATACTAACAGCGTTTCTTGGTCTCTCATTACGAATTGTAGTCTGTAATCTAAAATCACGTTTACCATGCGCGTATATTCGGTCTGCTTCGTGTTGGAAGGATTCATCTTTCAACGCAAAGTCCATTTCGAAATCTCTCTGTCTTAACATTCTCCCCAGTATCACTATAACTTAGTATAAGAGTATTCTGTCGAATTGTAGCATTTGTCAGCGATATGCAAAAGTTCATCTTACATAACGTGTAAAATCACGTGAGGCTTTCAGACTAGCACCAAAGCTACGCAAAGTAAAAAAAGGGGAGGCAAGACAGAAAATGAAGATTGATATAAGTATACTCTCTTCTATGGCTCCGTTGTGGAAAGATTGCCAATTACTTCTTCATGCTCTGTCACTCGGAACCAGTGTGTGGTTGACAAGTAACCATGCTGGTATGTTGTGGAATTGAGCTCAGGTTCTCCACTTGGACTTGCTAGTTGCTTCGCTAACTCAGAATCTGAAGTCAATCTAGGATAGTGTGTGGCTGCTAGTAGTTCAAGCTATTTACCTGATTGGTATTTGATCTGGTGCTTCTTCTCTAGCTTTGAACTCAGAGTTGTTCATCTACTTGTCTTTGCTACTCAGTGTCATTGACACTGCTAAACATTTATCCAACCTGACCCTAATTCTGATGACACTGAGATAAAGCTCTCTACTTTGTTTGTTCTTGCCTCGTTCTCAGCATTTGCCACAGCTACACCTCTTGGAATCAGAGTCTCAGCTGATGCTGGTGTACTACATTACACGTGTTTAATTTAACATTTTGTAAACACACTGATTGTACTCCTACATAGCTTTTCCTTAATCTTACAGATGTATTGCCCTTGTCAGTTGTTGTCGAGCACAATGGCATCAAAATTAGTGAAG